CCAGCCGACAGAAGACAAGACCGGCTCTGCCTTTTCTCCACCTGAAGATCCATCGCCAATGATCTAGACACCCAGCACAGCAAGATAGCCATATTCACTTCCTATTGTTCACTTCATCGATCATCAGGTCAATCTGCCCTTCTATATTCTCTCCCAGCACGGCGACAATGACTTTCACCACTTCCCACGACTTCCCGTCCTTTGACGCATTTGCTGCACTCGAGAGTGGCTGGCAAGTTTTGCCCTCAGCCTCAGGCAACCAGTTTGCGATCGATCTGCCTCAGCTTTCAAGCGAAATAGAGGATAATGACCTGGGCAGTGTGGACTCCTCCACGGTCGATGCATTCTGGGACCCCAGTATCTTCATGGTTACTCCAGCAGATCAAGCGCCCTCAGACAATGATCCGTATCACTGGCGGCCCATCTCCACTACATTCCAACACCATCTGCCCGCCGACCTCGTGGGTGATCGGGACAGCAGCCAACTTCCCACGCTCGGCATCAACACGGACACCACCTCGTATCGCAACAGCTCTGGTGACGAAGTTGACCTAGTCAGTCCCACTCCTTCAGATTGGGGCAAGCATGCTCCGACTCAAGAACCTCCGACTCCGAAGATTACGAAGCAAGCTCCGCGCCGGCAGAACCATTCCTGCGACCAATGTCGCTCTTCCAAGCGAGCCTGCGACTTGTCGAAAGACATATCCGTGCAAGGGCAGAAGCCGTCAAAAGCGTGCTCGCTGTGCAGAATCCGTGGTATGAAATGCACCGCCACATGGCTTGCAAACAAACAGTCTGAGCAGCGTGGGAAAAAGCGCCCGAGACTTACACCTCCTCCTCTTAGGGAAGAAACTCCTTCAAACCTCATCCCCTATACAGAGGACGAGCATTCGTGGCTCAAAGATTTTGTGTCACCACCTACTCCAGAATCGAATCTTGCAAGGCAAATGATGGCTCAAGAAACATGCTCTCAGCACTTCAACCTATACGTTGACATTTTCGACATCCCTATCTCCCATTGCATGACACACGAGAGTATGCCTCCGGGATATTCTTTAGGTGTGGCTGCCTTGTCGCCAATGAGCGACAGCTCCGGCTTATCCAACTATTTGACCCAGGCCAATTCGTGGATCAAAAGCTGCTGGGACAGAAGCCTCGAACTATGGGGATCGAAGGTAGCTGCACCGCAAATTTTCCACACTGTGAGTGTCTTGGATGCTCTCTTTCAACGGAATCGTTCGCACCCATACCGCATTTCTATGACATCTCGAGACGCGGCGATCACAGAGACGTACAAGTGGGCTGCAATAGCTCTTGCGGCGCAGTTCGCCACTGCGAGTGTCGTGCAGAAGGACTCGAGCAAGTCTGACTTTTCCGGCAACCTTCAATATAGCCACGATGTTGCATCGGCTGCGTGGGAAGCCGCAAAGCAGAAGGTTTTTGGAAATATTGCGGCCACCACCTCGTTTCGTGTGGCATTGTCATTGCTTCTTTTCGGCCTGATACCCCGTCCTGGCTCCACAGACCATTATGAGGAGCTCGAGGAAGATGCCGAGTATGCTCTATGCGAAGGCATCCGTCGCCTACAGACTCTCTGCGCTCAAGCCCGTGCGCGTCTTTCAATAGATACACAGGTTTCTCCTACTCAGTCCGTCGCCGATGCACGCAGAGCTCCAGCAAGCATATTCAATTTCCCGCATTTTTCGCAAAAGGATAGGAAATATATCCTGGAGCTAATCGGAGCTGTGGAGTGGATGGCTAATCTAATTAATGCTGTGACAATTGGTGCATCTCGTGGAAGGACAGGGGCAATCGGGCCCGAAATGTCCCACTTGGGGACGTTGCGATCACGCGAACATACGACCGCTTCAAAACCAGGAGACGACACTTTGTGGCTCTTACCACTGCACGGGCATAGTATGTGGCCCTCCGGTCTGAAAGCGACCGAACCAGAGGTGGTCGCGTTTACAACACTCTGGCACAATGGAGCATCTGATGAGACGATTCTCCGGGAGTTAAGGCAGTCCGCATACACGGCAGTCGTCATGTGGCGGTCCGTCGCTGGATTGACCATGGCAATCGAACGTATTCCAGCGACCAAACCCAACTACGACGATATCTTTCACCATTACAGGACCACGCTGTCTCTTATTAGCGTGTGGCGGTCAACCTTTGGAATCTTGGACAGTTCCATAAGAGGACTCCTTGAACAAGCCCCTTGCGAGCTGTGGCGTACTGTAGCATTTACCTCCAACGACACCGATCTCGCCATTCTAGTGTTCTGTGATCTTGCGCAGAGACTCGAGATCCAGCTGACCCAGGAACAGGAACAGTTCACGCCAGAAATGGAGCGCCTCCACAGTGCTCTGCGGTCAACGAGTGCACTGCGTAAATGGCAGCGCCTGATTAGCGCTGAGCAAGTGTCCATGATCGCTTCGACGTGTAAAAACACGTCCCGGCCCGGCTTTCAAGGCGGCAGCGGCTTGAAGAGCCAGATCCAAGATATCGCGGCACATCCGGTGAGTCTCGTGGCTTCACCACGGCAAAACCCCACTATTGCTAATCTCATCTGTACAGAATCCGTTCATGATGGTTCAGCTCCATACGCTTGCAGCCAAGGCCTTGACCGGGGAAGTACATAGCTCAATCAGCCAGCTAGAGGGCAAGCGGGTTTCGGAGCTGACCTCCAACATTACTATATGCCGGCAGGCGTTGGAAGAGTTCCGAAAGACCTTGGTCACCTTCCCAGATGCCGCAAGCTTCGAAGAACTAGTAGCTCTGTAGAAAAGCCGGAGCTTTACTCCATTAAGATCTAAAATGCTCTTACTCCTGAAGGCCTGGGTCTTCGTAGCAGCCCATTCCACGTCACTGGACGGAGTACGTGCAGAGATTTCGTCGCTGCTCAGCAGAATGAGCACTTCCTCACGCCTTTGCATGGCATTTTCCGATATTATCATGACGGAGGCGCGGTTCCGCGGCAGTCTTTAACTTCCATTCCGCCCACAACAGGGGGTAGCAGTCGCTTTCACCTCTCCCCATCACATCGTACAAGCTTCAGACTGCAGTCCAACCCGGCAAGTGTGCATCACTGCTCTGTCAGAGGTATTGGCCAAATTCTCACCTTGGCTACCGAATATAACGAGCGGAAATGCCCGTAGACGGCAGAAAGATCTCTGCAAGCCAAACTCCATTCTATCCATCACTGCGCCGGGTTAGTTCTCGAAACCAAAATCAGTATGATTGACAAGCCGAATACAAAGGACTTCTTCGACGTGGTGGTCGTCGGGGCCGGCATGGCCGGTGTCGTGGCTACCCGGGACCTGGCCTCACAGGGATATTCTGTCGCCCTCCTTGAGGCTCGCAGTAGAGTGGGTGGACGCACCTTCGTGGAGAAGGCCTTCGGCGGCACGGTTGATCTGGAACTGGGCGGCGCCTACGTGCACTGGACACAGCCGCATGTGTGGCACGAGCTGTCGCGACACAAAATCCCGTTGCTGCCACCGTTGGAATCCAACAAATGCTACTGGCTAGCGGATGACACAGTGCATTCCGGAACGACAGCAGAGTACGAGGCCGCAGTTGGCCCGCTGCTGGAACGATTCTTTGCAGACGCCCGCTCTCGCTTTCCGTCACCGTTCGACGTGACATTGATGGACAACAACGACATTGAGAAACAGTCACTCCAAGACCGCATCGATTCACTCAAGCTCACCCCTTACGAGCGAGACTTGCTCGATGGGACACTGTCGGGTGTCGTCCATTCATACGAGGAACAGGGGCTGGCCCAGCTTCTTCAAGCAGTGGCCACATATTTTGGCAATTTCGGCGCTTTTCTCGAGACGGCCGGCACCTGGTCAATCCAGGGCGGCACTAAATGTCTCATCGACGCCATTTTGGCGCAGTCACCTGCTGACGTGCGGCTGTCGACGGTCGTGGACTCAATCACAGACGAGGGCACCCGGGTCACAGTGATGAGCACTTCTGGCGAGGTGATCCACGCACGTTCAGTCATTGTGGCATTGCCGCTCAACACCCTTGGCGATGTGAAGATCACGCCCGACGTTCCATCTCCCGTGCGAACCATGATCGACCAGAAGAACCCGGTCATGGCAACCAAGATCTGGGCCCGGGTCAAGGGCGAGATCGAGCCGTTCAGCATGTGCGCCCCGGTCGGCAAACATCCGATCAACGCGGCGAGGACCGAGAGCCGTCACGCCGGCGACACATTGATCTTTGCTATGGTATCGGACGCCGCTGCGATCCGAGCGGACGATCGCAATGCGGTCCAGGCGGCTTTGCAAAAGTTCGTGCCGGACATCCAGGTGATCGCCACCGCCGGCCATAACTGGGCAGAAGACAAGTTCTCGAAAGGAGGCTGGATGATGCATAGGCCTGGAAACCTCACTGGCGCTGCGCCGCAAATGAGACAGCTGCACGGGCGCCTTCGTTTTGCTGGCAGTGATATCGCCACCATGGAACCTGGGTCAATCGAAGGGGCCATGGAGAGTGGCGCGGCTGCGGCCCGTGATATCGTTACCCTCTTGGGGATAAATAAGTGCTAAATACTATCCGAGAGGGTCTGAGCTTGCTTCTCCTAGAGTAAAGTACTAGTTAGGACTCTAGAAGAGAGTCCGTTGTTTCTTGCTTCAGCTATATTTACCCTACTACTATAGTACTAAGTAAAGTATTGCGGGTTCGCTCGTGGAGACCTGACGTGTTGTAAAGCGGCTCGTAATACGCCATTTGTATAGAAGGTCGGACACGAATGGCTCCGACCTCGGCACCTTCTACCAGCAAGGCCTTATCAACTCCAGATTGGCGGGTATTCTTGGCACCCCAGGTCCCAGAAAGCTCCCCTCGCTTGTCAGCGTGACCATGGAGTGATCTTTCTTCCAAGCCACATCAATGGTCTTCGAGTGACAGTGCGAGGTTGCGCAACAAGCGTGGGTATCCAGCCGTGTCTCCCCACCTCGCCAGCTTTCTGCAATCTCGAGGCCGGGATGACTAGAGCAAGCTCGTCGAGGACGTTTACAGCGTGCTGGACATGCCGCCGACGAAACATTGCTTGTGACGCGGCCCTCCCGTCTTGTTCGCAGTGCAGGCGCTCGAACATCACCTGCGAAGGCTACCACTTTAATCTCGTCTGGGTCAATTCCAAGACAGGGAGCTATGCTCCACAACAACGGCGCACCTTTCCCTGCCATTTGACGTGGCGAGGCTATCCGACGTGGACGTTGGAGGAGGTTGATCATCTAATACGTGACTGCGAACACAGCCAATACAGACAATGTCGATGCAGACTGCACCAAGGCCGAAACCCTTTTACCGTCTTCCCTCGAGTTGAGGACAAAGCCAAGCCTGTCAACGCCGATGATGCGAACATGGGCGAAGAATTTCTTCCGTCGCCACGGGCTGTCCACTTGAACGATGCGGACTTCCGATTCCTCACTTTCGGGCCATTACAGGGACACAAGAGCACGCCCAGCGTCCAAAGCACTGGCACTTCTACTTCACAGGCTTCCAACCCTGAAGAATGGAGCCTGGACACTCTCGTGGGGGCCGAGAGCGATACGCTCGTCAGTGAAGAACAGGACCTCGTTCAACAGGAACCCAGGGATCCTCTGCGTCGATCTACAAAGAAGACACCAATATCACTAATCTCGCAGCCAACCCAACCTTGGAACGTGGATGCGAGTTACAACGAAAATAGATTGTTCCACCACTTCTTGTCCTATCTCGCAAAGCGCATGATTCCCCTGGATGACGATTTCAATCCATGGAAAACCGTCTACCCATCCCTCGCCATGCAGACCACACGTTCCACGGGAGCACAAGCTCTATATCATGCACTGCTAGCCCAATCTGCGTACCATCTAGCTAACCTAAAAGGCGCGGAACGCGGGTTGCAGGAGAGAGCCAGTGCGGTTCGCCACTGTGGGATCGCGCTGTACCAGCTCAGTAAGAGCCTGGTCGCGCCATCAAGGGAATACACCACCGTGTTGGCGGCTCTCTATACCGTCATTTTAGCTGAGCATGTCTTCCAAGGCGCGGCTTCGGGGTGGCAAATCCACATCCGCGGTGCCCAGGCGTTCGTCAGTCAATACTTGGACAAGCAGCCGTGGAGGCAATCTCCAGAGGCCTATATCGTCACACAGAATTTCGCCCTATCCGTACTCATCTCCAGTACTGTCAACAACAACTATTTAGGTCCGGCAACGGCTGACGGTGTCAGTGAGCTCGATGGTTTATTGCGTGATCTGATGACGAAACACGTCTTCGGGTACACGATGGGCGGCACTTCCCATATCCTGAGAGCGATACATCAAACACTACTCCTTGAAGCCCGAATAAATCGGAGAGGTGGTGCTCACGGGCGGCTAGAGCTTGATGCAGACACAATTGCTCAGGTTAGCGAGATCCTCCAACTATCGCATGTTCCCTTGGCAGACAAAGTCGAGGCATATATATGCCACCACGGACTGAGCGGCGTCACTGTCCAACCGCGATTGCGCACATTGACTAGGCTTCACCTGCGACTTTTCAACACCGCAGTGACGATCTACCTGTTTTGCACCGTCCTTCGGTGCACGCCCTCGTCGGTAGCGCACGACGTATTACAGGTCCTCAAGGACGCCACGGCTTTCATCGCCATGCACCACGGCACGGTGTCAGTCTGGCCAGTGTTCGTTGCAGCCACAGAGGCGTATACACTAGAGGCTCAAGCCCTAGCCATGCAATGCCTCGAGACTCTCAGAGCCCACGGCGCTAAAAACCGCCGCGATATGCAACGTGTCGTTCACCAGGTATGGTCGGACCGCGAAAGATTGGCATGCGAGCGACAGTGCGACCCTGGCGATGTTCTGGTCGATTGGCGTCAGGTCATGAAAGGACTGAACATGAATATCTTACTTTTGTGACCGAGATACCGTGGTGAACATGAGGGGTGTTCTGTTCCTCGTTAAGTCTCTGCTCGATTCCGGCATGCCCTGTTCATATCTTGCGTTGTAAGATAGGGGCTTATGCATTCGGTCAGAATGGTTGTGTGTTTGGTCAACGAAGTCAAAACTTCGACGGTATCCCCCCAGCCTCAATCGGGCGAGGGCAGCCCTTTTCAAAAGTACGATCCACGGTAGTGCTGCCGACCAGAAACAGTGTGGGTACAGCATCTCGGGCATTGTAGGAGCATGTTAAAGTACATGCTCCTTTCGTCTCTGTGATTCACGAGACATTGAGGCCATGCGCGTGCCCAATGCTAGACACGACGTCGACGCGCCAGCCGGTCTTCCCCAGCAATCAACAAACCTGTCCTGCGGCCGACAAACGGACTAGGGTACATGACGGGCCTCTAGTAACCCAGCAGGGGCCTCAGCAGCGGGAATCTGATGCTCGAGCCGCCTTATACTTTATGATCACAGCCACCTAGGTTATGGATACGAGCCTCGAGGGTGGCCAACTTGACCGAAGATTCCGTGTAGTGTGGGGCATCTGAGATGAGGTCCAATGCTTCCTGTTAGCGAAAAACTAGTGCCAGGCTTGCGGGTGTTTTCTTCCTGAGATGCCTTTTTGGATGTTCGGAATGAAACAATTGTGGTCATCAGACTATTTCTGACCCACTGCTTAAGGGCTTTCGCCGGCTATCAATCGGCAACCAAGCCCCTTCTTACTCACCAACCCACGGCGTGTGCAGCAAGAGATGTAGGTCCATCTGTGGCTGGACCTGTGTTCTCTTCACCATGATATAACTTCAGTCTGCGTTCCTCGCCCAGAACTTGTCATTGGTAAACTTCAATTGAGCCCTGAAACACTGTCGAAAGTTCGTTCAGCATCATGCCGTACTCATTGAAACAGAGAAAGGTTTTGGTAACGGGCGGCTCGAGGCAAGTACGAATGTGGCTATTGATACATCTGCTGCATTTCCCGCACGGAAATCTTGCCTGAAAGTATAGGGTGCATCGTACTGATCGTTGCGGACATGTAGGGGCTTAGGATCTGTGATCTGCGAGAAATTCGCCGCTCAGGGTGCCGATGTAGCGGTCAATTATGTGAACAACAAGGAGCGCGCCGACCAAGTTGCCGAAAAGTGTTCACGCCAGTTTGGAGTTCATGCCATTACTGTTCAAGCTGTGCGTGGGTCGGAACAGCGACGACCAGTTGTTGGGCCCACTCTCGTGACAGACCAGACTGATGCTCCTTTTCCAGGATATTGGAATTACGGAGGACATTGCGCGGCTGGTGGCAGAGACCGTCAGGCTCCTCGGTGGACTCGATATCATCATCAATAACGCCGGGTGGACTCGTTTCTCGACATTTGGAGACCTCTATGCTCTCAGTCATGATGAATGGAACAAGGTCCGTCCGCACCCGTGCCATTCTATGCAAGAAAGAGCCGATTGAAGCTATCAAGAAGACAACGGAAGGTGATTTAAAATTAAAGACGGAAGACCGGAGCCTGGCAGTGATGGCTGGAAGGATGTATCGATTTCGCTGACCACCCTTTTGTACAGTGTTGGGCTGTCAATGTCATGTCTCAACTGTCGCTGATGCAACATGCCGCACCAATCTTTAACAATAACCCCGATGGCGGTGTCTTCATCATTACATCCTCCATCTCAGTGAGTCTTTCCTGAACGCGTGGCTCCCTTTCTACACGGTCTTGATCTGAGACCTAGTAATACAAGGGCAGAAAAGATCCCAGACCATGCCGATCATGATTTTGACTTTCACTCTCATTCAACAGGCCACAACCGTCCACGGCAGCAGCATGGGCTACTGCGTCACCAAAGCTGCAGGCTTGCGACTGATGAAGTGTCTGGCTTCTACACAAGGCCCGAAGATCAGAGTCAACGCGGTTCTACCGGGGCTTCTGCTGACAGAATGGGTAAGCAAAAGATATTCCAATCCCAAGAGCTCTGTGCAGTACCTGCCATAATTCTGGACTCGGCTGATCAGTTCTTACAATCTCGTTACACACAGGGCATGCAATTTCCAGAGGCGGCGCGAGAAGTTGGCATTGCGAGAGCCGTACTCAAACAAGAGGTCCGTCTCTCCGTCCCGTATACAGACATACTTCCTCATCCCCATTGCTCTGCGATCTGAACCAACGACGGTCTTATCTTGACAGACAAAACTCGACGACTGTGCCGATGCTTTTGTTGCGATCGCCGCAAATACTTCCATGACTGGACAGCAAATTGTCGTTGGTAGGTCTGCAACACGATCCCGGGCTTCCCTGCGTTCGACCTCAAGGGCGGCCGCAAATTGCTTTTATTTCAGTGCTTACGTTCCTTCAAGACTCTGGTATAGCCATTTGATGGAATGGAAATGAGGCAGGTTTCGGACAGGTCTGCCTGCTGGGCACCAGGTGCTGATCGATGGAACTCTTTCTGTACTGTATACAAGGAACCAAAAAATCTTCGTATACGATAAGGCAGTAAATAACACTACTACAACAAACCCCCTTTCCCCGGCAAGCACACTCCTCGTTGTTAAGCATATGCTCCCTTCATGGCAGGGCAGAATATCTGGCATGAATGGCATTCTAATGGGTCGGAATGCGCAAAGAGCACTCAGATCGCGGTCGACGTCGGCTTCAAGTCTAGGGCAGAGACGCTGTAGGGGCAACTGTATCTTATTGAATGGATCTTGTACCTCCTTCTAGGCGAAAATTGCCTCGTACTTGTCGATGAAAGACTCGATCGCCTTCAACAGGGGCTCAAAATGCTGGTCGGTGATCTCGATCGTCAAAGCCAAGAAGCCCCGAGCGGCAATGTAAATCCCTTGCTCCAGCAAATGATGATACAAGAGTGCTTGCCACTGCTCTCTCTCCGGACCCACAATGACCACGACAAAGAGACTCCCCAGTCCTCTTGCTATCAGCCTGAGCCCCTTATGGTCTGGCTTGGTCGTTCCGGGCAATCGCCTCTCGATCAGCCGAGAGATTTCCTGTCTCAGCCGGTCACCTCTTGCGTTGAGGTTGTTTAAAGACACGGCGTCCATCATGGTACAGCCCGCCACACCCGCTGCCATGGTGATGACGTTGTTGTTGAACGTGCCTGAGTGATGAAGTTTGTTCTGTCGAGGATCGAACAACTGCATGATTTCGCGGCGGCCCCCGAAGGCTCCAAAGCTCATCCCTCCGCCGAGCCATTTCCCAATGGTAGTCATGTCAGGCTTGATACCCAGGCTAACCTGGAGCCCTCCGTAGTGCAAGCGCGAAGTCATGACTTCATCGAAGATGAGCACCGCTTTCTGTTTGTCGGCCAGGTCTCGAAGATACTGTAGGAATCGCCGCGTGCCGGGAAGACAGCCGCCCGAGACTTGCATCGGCTCCACTATGATTGCCGCCAACGAGTCCTTGGGTAGATTCGACACCATTGCCTCGGTCTCCGCGATGTCATTGTAAGGGGCAATGACAAAATCTTTGTGGGAGTTCAGGCTATACTTGGGCTCACGCTCAAAGAACATCAACGTACTGCCATGGTATCCATTGAAGAACGCGAGGATCTGGAAGGACAGAGGACGTCAGTGCAGGCCAAATACGATACGTGGTGAATCACCGTGACCATGGAGAAGCGTAACTGACTTTGTCTTTACGAGTGAAATTGACAGCCGCCCCTAGAGCCATCAGGTTGGCTTCGGTCCCCGAGTTGCAGAACCGGATGGAATCCATGCTGTATTTGAACATTTCCACCAAGATCTTTGCCAATTGGGTTTCGTATTCGTTCTTGCCTCCGAAGCTCCAGCCTTTGTCCAGGGCGTCGGTGATGGCTCGTCTGATTACTGGAGAGCTGTGTCCGTATATCCCGGCCGAAAACTCGCCCAGGAAGTCGATGTACTCGTGGTCGTCAACATCGACGAGGTTCGCACCCTTTCCTCGCGCAATGGTGATCGGGAAAGGGTGGACGTGCAGCACTGAACGGGTGTTGGCCCCCGGCATGTCGTTTACGCCGGACTGGAACAACTCGAAAGACTTCGCATTGTTCATCACATAGCGATCATAGGACTCTTCAAGAAGTGCTTTCAGTGTGGGAGACCCCACTCCATTGACAGCGGGGATGAGCTCGGACTCAACCATATTGAGCCGAGTAGCGGGAAGTTGTTAGGAGGAACGCGGGCAGAGAGGTATGAACCTCCAATACGAACGATATAGACTTGAGTTTGCCCTCAGCAGGAGACCTTTAAAGCCTCGATTTATATCCATGCGGCTTTTTGGGTAGTATAGAGACTTTGAGGATGAAAGATATCGTGTGTATCCACCGCAGGCCCTTGTAACGTTCTGTCAGTGTCCACCTTCCTATCCGAGAAGCACGACACTTTGAGAAGAAATCGCGCAGATCCATGAGCTGAGCCAACTTACAGTCTAGCCCTGCTCCCTTGTGGCGGCACCAGTCGTCTGAGTGGATAGGTCATGGCTGTGCGTTCGATGACCCTCGAGAGTAGTCGAGTTGCGCACAACCCAGCAGGGGAAGGTCTTAGGATGGCTTAGAGTTTCGCCGTGGATTGCCCACTTTGGTCTGATATCCAATCACTGGTGTAAAGGGGCCCACCAGTGGATTAATTGCTAGCCAAGGCTGGAGGAATATTCTCCGGCCCGCTTTTGTCTTCGCTACTGGCGTCTTGGCTCATTTCACACGAGGGCATGGAGATCCACAGCCGCAGCGACTGTACATAGTAGAGCAGCCTTACACTTCCAGTTGAATGTGGTTGGTGAGGCATGGCGACCGAGGATCTCGTCGTGGATTGCCTTCCCAGACACCCGACGGTCGCTCTGTTGTCATTGTTGGCAGCAGGATGAAAATCAATACGAGAAGACGTCGGCATTGGCCCCCTTCTTACAAGCAAGATAACCAATTCCCAGCCGTTGCCTCTCCATCCGGGGGTCGACTGATCTGTGGAGACCTGCCATGGAGGTGAAAGCGCGCTCTCTTGAGGTAGGTGAATATGAGGTATAAATCACCCTTCTTGCCGATGTCCAGAAGTCTCTTATCATCAGTCTTGGTTCTTTTCTTCACGGGTTCTTTGCATAAATTTGCCAAAGATGGCTTCCCAGCCGAAGACAACGGAGAAGGCGCCGGAGGAGGTGTCTTCCACCAATGTATCAAGCAGCATGCCTATAGAAATCGAGGACGCCACGCCAACATCGCCGAATGGACTTCGTCGCAGGCTTCAGGGACGTCATATGCAGATGTTAGCCATAGGTATGCTCTTTCTCGTAACAGCGAGAGGCCTCTGTTAACAAGGTTCAACCTCAAGGGGGATCAATTGGAGCCGGTTTCTTTGTTGGTTCCGGAGGTGCACTGTTTCTTGGGGGTCCCGCATCACTGCTCCTTGGCTTCGGCATCACAGGGCTCTTGGTGCTTTGTACCATTCTGGCCCTAGGCGAGCTAACGGTCATGTATCCTGTGAACGGAGCCTTTTACATCTATATGATTCGCTTCATCGACCCGGCTTGGTAAGCGTATGCTCGCAGCTCGTGGTGCGTTGTAACTGACGAAAGTCATGTTCCAGGGGTTTCACAATAGGCTGGCAATGTTAGTACCCTCTCACGCTGGCCTGGCCACGTTACGCCAGACTGACAACAACCAGATGCCATAGGATGGCTAATCACTCTCCCCTTTGAGATCATCTCCGCCGGCATAACCATCAACTACTGGCACGAGTATAATGTTGGAATATGGGTGGCAGTCTTCCTCACCGTGATTGCTATCGTGCAGTTCTTCGGCGTAAGAGGTTACGGCGAAGGTGCGTGGCCTCTTCCAACAGCATTATCGGTAAGCTGACATCCGAACAGTTGAGTTCGTCCTTGGGGTTATCAAACTTATTGCCGTGGCTGGGTTCATCATCTTGTAAGTGTCTTGAGAAAGATTGAGTGAGCCTCCTGAATCCCTAATTAGCCAATAGCGGGATCATCGTAGATTGTGGAGGAGTACCCACCGATGATCGTGGGTATATTGGCTTCCGTTACTGGAGTGGGAAGGATGGCAACTCTGCTTTTCGAAACGGTAAGCTCGAGCCCTGGTTCTCGCGCACGGCATTCGGGCACTGATCACGCCACAGGATTTGCTGGGTTTGCCTCGGTTTTTGTCCTGGCGGCATTTGCTTATGGAGGATCTGAGCTAGTCGGGCTGGCCGCTGCGGAGGCTGAAGACCCTCGCAAGTCCTTGCCCAAGGCCACCAAACAAGTGCTCTTGCGCATTGCGGGCGTCTACGTTTTGTCTTCGCTCATAATCGGCATCATTGTCCCTAATAACTCTCCAGACCTGCTGGGTGCCACAGGAGCAAACACCAAGGCTTCTCCATTTGTCCTGGCAATACAGTATGCTGGAGTCAAGGGGCTACCTTCGGTCTTCAACGCAGTCATCACAATTTCCACCTTCTCTGTGGCCAACAGTTGTACCTATGGCGCAACTCGCACTTTGCAGGCTCTTGCTCAGCATGGCATGGCGCCAAGAGTTCTCGCCTACATTGATGGTAAAGGGCGTCCAGTAGGGCCGGTGATTGTCCAGTTGTTGGTGGGACTGTTGGCTTTCATCAGCCTGTCTGCCGAGGCCGACACGGTATTCACCTGGCTCTTTTCAATCTCCGGACTGGGCTTGTTGTTCCTCTGGGCGTCAATATGTCTCTGCCACATACGTTTCCGACAAGCGTGGAAGGCTGCTAACCGGTCCATCGATGACCTTCCCTTCAAGTCGCCAATGGGGGTATATGGGTCATACTTCGCCATCATCCTCTCGGTCATAATTTTGATCATTAGTTTCTACGTGGCCCTCTGCCCGTATGGAGGACCGCCAAACGTGACCAATTTCTTTCAAAATTACCTCTCAGCTCCCATCATCCTAACTATTTTCGCGTTGAGGAAAGTGTGGACGCGAGACTGGACGTTGGGCATCAAGCTCAAGGACATCGACTTGGATGCTTGACAGAAGAGGCGATGGCGGCTTCTACCGTCAGAGACAAGGAAACGAGAAAAGGAGCTTTGGTCGGCGAGTGATCAAAGCAATCTTCTGGAAAACGCTCGAGATGGACGATGCGGAGAATATCAGAAGATGAAGTTGGATCACAGCCTTTAGGACGCTGATCGACCCTCTAGGCCGGGTTGAGCGACAGCAATAGGTTGATATCATGTCTCCACTTGTTGTTCGAGCTCTAGGAACTGCAAGGGATCGAAAATATATTTGAGATTCAGCAAAGCCGGTTCAAGGCGAGGACAAGAGGTCAACGATTCGAAATAACACGGGAACTCGACTGCACGCGACGTGGCGCTCGAGCTCATAGTCTGGTATGAAATGCCAACAGACTGGTTAGCCTACGCTTCAACTTCTTTAGCGTTTTCACAGACATATTTATACCCCTCTGGCCAAACTTTCGGCGGCCAAGTATCTTTCTTGGAGATGACGGCGCTGTCTGTGCCTGAAGCCAAACGCTGTACAACAGCGCACGTGGCCACCTACAACGGAGATGGCTTGAAAGGAAGCCAGCCGGGCATGCGATCATGCCGGAGGCCACGGAAGCGGTGGTTAATATGACCGCCAGCATGTGGAATAACCCTCTTATGTCTCATATCTTTTGTGCTTCCCGTGTCGGGACGACGGCGGTGATTGTCCCTCTGGTGGTTCTACGACTTGGTCTCATGTGGCGTGAGGTGGTCGCATTCTAGGCATCTGACTGTGAAGAACGGACGACAAGCGTGAGTCGGGTTTGCATACCTCCCGAATTAGCTTCCATAAGGACTTCGAAGGTGTCAAGACTATCAAGTTACCGGGCAAAGGCCCATGCATGAACAAGAACAGGGTCTTCTAGACGCGGCTTTTGGTGGAAGGCGACAGCCACCGCTTTGAGTCGACATGGGGCTATGCTGAAATAGGTGACTCGAGCGAGCATGACGGCTTTTCTTGTTACGGATCAAGCTGATGCATTATTCTGCCGAGGCTGTTGTCGTCGTGGACTACTTGATCTGGACCTTGCAGGAAAGTAGTCTATCCAGGCCATGCCCAACGAGATCTCGTGCCTCTTCTGACCATCCTATATTGGATACAGTGTGTTGTCGGGAAATGTGGAGAATTAGTCAAGGCAGATCTTTTCTACGCAGCCAATCTATATATATTGCGACGCTCATCAAGCAAGCCTGTGACTGTCTTGTCAAGTCTTGCCCATGATCCCTTGTCAAAATGTCGCCGTATCTGTATCTACTTACACTGCTATCCGTCTACTTCTCCATCGCCAGAGTTAACGCCAAAGCTTGTCCACCATGGGTGACCCCTTACCTCACAAACGTCATGGCGAGACATCCTGAATTTCCAGGCATCCAGTTAGCTCTGTCTTCTCAACGCTGTGGGTACGATTGCAAAACGAGCGTGAATTCCAACCTCAGCCACTTCGCTGACGAGCCGCCTTACCTGGAAGACACCCCCTGGCGCATTGCAAGCATCACGAAGACTTTCACGGCTTCGGCAACCTTGCGGCTTGTCGAGCAAAACAAACTAAACCTTCACGCTCCAGTTGTCAATTTCCTGCCGGCATGGGCCGTCAATTATCTTGAACAAGAACAAGGAGTTTCAAACGCCAGCCAGATTACCAGTTGGATGCTCTTACACCACATCAGCGGACTGGGGGACCACGCCACAGATCCAAGGTGGCTGCAAGAAGTGACGGCGAATCCAGAATATCGATGGACCCAGCAGACTATCCTGGCATGGGCCGCAGCCAATGTGACAGGTGTTGGGTACCCAGGCGAACGCTATTACTATTCCGACACGGGATTTACCTACCTTGGCCTGGTCGTCGAAAATCTGACAGATCTGGGCCTTGCAGAGGCGGTCCGCACGCTGCTCAGACTCGACACCCTCGACATGCCATCTACGTACTGGGAAATTCTCGAGCCGACACCCAAAAACGTCCTCGCGCGGGCGGGCCAGTATCTCGACGGCGCGGATGCGACCCACGCCGATGCGAGCTTTGACTTGTACGGTGCAGGTGGACTGGTAAGCAACAGCGGTGACCTCAACAATTTCACCAGGGCGCTTCATACGGGACGAGTGCTGAACAACGCATCGTTGCAGCTGATGTTTACGACAGAGAAGACCGGTTATTCTGGGTGTGGCATATTTAACGACACCTTTGCTGGGCAACAGGCATGGGGTCATCGTGGCTTCTGGGCCTCTTGGACTTATTACGTCCCTGCTCTAGATCTATATATCTCTGGGACTGATGGCGTAGGCGCTGATCAGTTGGACATGAACGCACTTGTGGAAAGTGTTATCCACCATGGCTGTCGCCCGGTCAAGATTGAAGATGCGGCAGGGATAGCTGGGGTAGTCTAATGGATATGATGCGGAAGCACGCAAACGAGGGAGAGGCATTGATGGATTACTTCACTGCAAGATTAAAAACTGATTAAAACAACCCAAGAGTCCGCCTCGTCCCTCCATCTGCCCATAGGTCGCAGAGGGAAAGGCATCCTTCCCTGGACCCATGCGTCGGTCCCATCAATTGCTTGGATACTTCCCCGATGCTTCACCCAGCTGTTTGGGCTTGTGGAATCTCGGCTGCCTACAAGCAACGAGGGTTACAGCGGTACATCCTCGCCACAATGCACGCACAAGAGCAGCTGGCTACGTGATGGCTGAACTTGATCAGTGGTTTCGGACCCACGGTTCGCGGATTGGGGCTAGGAACACGCAACAGAGCTCCCACCTACGCTAGACCCTTATTGCTTCCCATAGTATGGACAGCAAGCCACGAAAGACCGAAAACTAGAATTATGGACGGTACAGAGGCCGCCCAGTACACCCAGAACCTTGATTCGCCGGCCAAGTAGTCACCGCTCATGCTCAGTAGCGCGGCGACGAGCGACATCGGCAAGAATGTCATGCCCAGAACCGTCAGGACTCTGACGCTCCGTGCCTCATCAAGCGACTGCCGATTTCCCACGATTCCAGCCAGACTGGTGAAGGAGTTCTGCAAGCCCTCCGCATGCTGCTTGAGTCGTTCCAGCTCGGTTTCGATATGCAGGAAATCTGAGGCAGTGTCCTTCCAAGAGCTTGGTGCGCTTGGTTGACTCGTGTGACATCTGACCCGCTCTGAACCTCGAGGCAGCTGTAGCGCTGTAATCAGGAGCCCTACGTTGTGACGATGATCCATGAGTCGGCGGTGGTAGGCTTGTAAGTCACTCCATGCGCGCTCCACCCGACCCACATCGAAGGCCCCCAGACTGTGCTTGCGCGTCAACGTCCAGCTGAGATGATTAAGGACGAAACGGTAGTAGCTCAGTAGGAGCAGATACTCCGAGGCGACGATCTTCTGTGCAAACAAGGTTACTGATCCCGGGTTCGGCGTGAGTTCCAGGTGGTTGCTGTGAGTCCGGTAGTAGAAGCACAGATCGTCAAACATGGACGTCCGAGGGGGAGCAAGGGCCTTCCGAGCGTCCTCCAACGAATCGTACTGGATGAAGTCCGCGTAGCCGCCCTGGAAGGGTTCGGGACCGGATTCTTGCTTGGCGATCGCGTTATCGGCTTTGGAGCCATACATGGCGTACCGCAAAGGCTCGTCAACAAGAAGCATTGCTGCACTAGTGAGCTCAAAAAGCCCCAAACCTACAGATCGCGGCTTACCGTCCCATCCACCATGCGCCGTTCTCTTCCCCCAGAATGACATCTTGCACTGTAGTGTCCCTACTCCATCCATGCTGTCATCGACACGCGCTGTGGCGATGTGGCGCTCACTTCCCTTCGCCCTCATGGTAAATCGCTTCCAAGCCTCGTCTTCTTTCACTGGTTCAGTATTCATATGCAGCATCTGAACATAGTCCAGCGCAAAGGTCCTGTCCGCGTCGGCGAGGCTGGGCAACGGCAGCGTGTTACCGGCCCTTTTATGCGGTCTTTCCCACAGCGCCACCCTCGCGTGCCGATGGAAGACCTGAGGGTCGACCTGGAGCCGCAGGCCCACCGCGGCCCGTGTTTCATCATCGAACTCCTCCAGAATGAATAGTCTCCGCCTCGGTGTACTGCTTGTAGCTGCTATTTTGGCGGGCATGTCGTATTGCTTCCGGAATCCCTCTGCACCATATACTGTCGACAATTCCACCTGAGTGCTAGAGTGAAACTCTACACACGCAATCCTGACGCTCCGCGATGCTGGCCGCGGATACCAGCGCTTGTAGTCTTCATAGCGAAGATTGGGATACTTGTCGGTCAACTCTTTGTGCCATTCGCGGTATAGCTCGACGTCACGTTGCGCGGAAGGTGTTGTCATTGCTTGAAAGGTCCTTTATGCAAGTGCAACTGTTTTCGAAGGACATGGTCCTCATGGATAAAGTCGAGGATTGATCGAAAGGTTGAGGTTCGAGATGATAGCCGCGACAAAGATGGGATGTTCCAGGCAGTAGTAGAAGATCTGCCAATCAGATCAGGCGCTAAATTGGAATTTGGGCTACTCGGCAGACATGCTAGATTGGGACAAGCAATATTAAATAATTCTCACATCGAACTTGGTCGTCGACATTTATTTACATCATCAAAGACATGTTCCATGTATCACTCATTCCGGAGTAAAATGTCATTCGGCAGGTCTCACCTCTTGATGCAGTCAGCGACACGCCATATGGCCTGGAGGGAGCGAGTTAGACATGGATCTCGACGACAGCCAGGATGACGCCGGCGACGCCACGGTCATCACAAAGCTCAATAGCCCTCCCCTAGGAGCCAACGACGCGGATATATATGACCCTGAAAATTCACACGCTGTGCCATTCTCAACAGCCGCAGATGCTCTTGAGCCGACTGTGTTCCACCATCGAAAATGGGATCGTCTACGCAAACGCTACCGGGACCAATATCTCGAAATATTCAAGGAGACATTCGAGACCGAGGATAGAGACAACCTCGGCGACGACTTACCTCCAACTCAGCTCGGGGCCGTTCTTTGGCGATCCGAAGAAAAATCCAGGCTGTATGACGCGCTGGGTCGCAAAGGACGACATGAATTGAAAGCCCTTTCGATATTGGTTGGCACAAAGTCTGAGGTCGAGATCAAAGCGTACCTGGACAACCTGCGAGGACAGGAGGCGGACCGTCAACGGTTCGAAGCACAGCCGAAGAACATCTCCCACGCCGACATCCCTGCTGCTATTGAGATTGGCCGTGAATGTGAAGATGTCCTTGACACGGCTGCAGCCGCCTTGTCAGCGTTTCAGGAACAATACGACGCTACTGTTGGTCAAACCGGCAATAACTTATGGTTCATCGATCATGACGTGGCCGCTGAGCTGGATCAGAAGGGCGACGAATTGGAACCATCTGGAAACACTCGTGACCCAGATTCTGAAGATGCACGCGCGCCAATTTCTGAAAGAGCAGTCCAGGCTTTCCATCTCTCAACATTTCTCGTGCTGAGCGAGCGCTTCTTCATGAACAGACTTGCTGATAGCCCGGAGTTCTGGCAAAATATAGCAGAGGAGAGTCAACGCCCAGCGCTGACCTTGGACTGTATAACTCTATTCTACGACTTGATCGTCAACTTTGCACGTCGGTTGATCCAATCGTCTCTTTTCATTGCCAAGTCTCGCGTTCGTGCTGCGGCGACCAAAGACTACCAACCCGGAGGACTTGTCAGATCTGAAGACGTAGTTGCGGCTCTAGATGTGTTGGGCGTCAAAAAGGACTCGGAGTCGTTCTGGATTGGGCTGGCGAGGAGAAATGGTCTAAGAGTTGTGGACGACGCACATCGAAGAGGCGTGGATGGGAAGGCCGTTATGTCGTTCGAGAAAGTGGAAGAAACATTGTCAAGTCGTCCCAGAACCAGGTCAGGTTCGAGTACATCGGCGGCATCAACAAGAAGCCATCCACCCTCGGAGGAAACCTCGGGTATGGGCGATCTTGCGGACGACAATGAAGACAGCCCTGGTTCTGATGACGATGAGCAGTCTTCGGCAGGCACTAGCTACTCCGACGCGGAAAGCGAGGGGCCAGAAGCAAACAATCCTGGCGTGGAAAATTATGATTCATCATCTGATGAGCCTTCGGCTTCGCGGATATCAAGGGAAAAGCGGACACAGTTTCTCGAGGAAGAACAAGACCTCTACCTGACGAGAATGGACCGAGAAGCCCGAAGGAGGGAAGAATCCCGGTTGTTGGCTCTGCTCGGTCTTCAAGATACTCAAGATGAGAAGAATATAAAGGAAGAAGCAATCGAGGACCTGGGACTTCGACCACGAGTGCTGAGGAAATCTGTTGAAGATTGTATGGGATGGTCTGTCCAGTACGAGGCTGAGTGGGAGAGCAATGGGAGAATGCTGCCTTCCGAGAGCCCGTCGCTGGCGGAGCCTGCGCCAAAGAGGAGAAGACTGGAGCCGGAAGGTGATAGTGGCTGACGCAAGGCTCATGCATCTCTCCTACGCATCAAGAGTCGCACATGGGACGGAGATTTGTTGTTCGCGGGTTGAAGGCAAATGGGCAGAGGGCGCCGCGGATGATCTCAGTGGCTGGAGGATTAGGGGAAGCTAGTGAAGCTTAAGTTTTTAGCGGCCGATCGTTCGAGCTTCCGACTCGGGAAATTCACCGCCTCGGCCTGTAAACAACTTGGAGCTTCCCATTGAATACTCTACTGGTTCCTTCCATTCCACGTATTGCTCGCAAACATCTATCGCGCCTCATGCCGATGAAGGAGGGCTTTTGAGAGAATCCTATGCTCCCTTTGTCCTGACCAACACGCGTTTTTCTCGACCAAAAGAACGCGATTGACGCGTCGGTCAGGAACGCGAAGTGCACGGAGTATCGGTCTAAACGGCAGCTTCAGCATCTGGACTACATATTTCACGACAGGCGATTGAGGGCTGCTTCTTGGCCTATGCTTTGCTATACTCAAGCCAACCTCTCTCGATTTCAACCCTGACGAGAGGTATTCCAGTTCAAAACTAGGCCAGAGATATTGAAACCACGACTCCGTGCAACAAAAACAACAACAACATGGGCCTTCGAGAAGTGACCGGCGAGGACGAGCGAGCACTGCAAGAAATTGCAGACTGTCTGGCGAACTCGCACAAGGTCTTGCTTGTGACTGGCGCAGGCATCAGTACCAGCTGTGGCATTCCTGTGCGTGTCACGGCTACCATGGTTGGCTTGATATTAACTGTGCAAAGGACTTCCGCTCCAAAGATGGACTGTACAACATGATTCCCGGGCAGACCATGCTCCCGACACCGCCGCCATCAGAGCCTTCCACGCCTACGCATGCGCGGTTCAAAGACCTGGCTGTCGACGAGGAGCCTTGTTCGTCCCAATCGAGAAGCCGAAGAGTATCGTCGAGTCCTTCGTCGCGCCTGCGCGGCCAGGACTTGTTTGACTCGCGAGTGTTTCAACATGCCGAATCCACCACCATCTTTTACCAATTTATCGCTTCTCTTCGGCAGAAAATCCGCGACGAGGTGCGGTCCACGAGCTCCGTGCACAAATTCGTCAGGGTGCTTCGCGACGGCGGTCGGTTGATGAGATGCTATACTCAGAATATAGACGGTCTTGAGCTAAGAGAAGGACTTGTGACGGATCTGGCGCGCGGCAAGGGAAACAAACGCCGGTTCATGAAGAAGCACTACGAGGCTCCCCGTCCAACACATACACCGGGAACGGACTTTGATGGAGGATGCGAAGTCGTGCAACTACATGGTGATTTAGAGAAGCTCCGCTGCACCATGTGTTCTACGCAGTATCCCTGGACCGATGAGCAGACCGAGGTCTATCTTGAGGGAGCTGCGGCGGACTGCCCCAAGTGCCGCGACAAGAGTGACGAAAGACAAGCGAGTGGGAAACGCGGTCTTGCAGTAGGCGCGCTCCGCCCGAACATCGTCCTCTATGGAGAAGACCACCCTTCGAACACGTTGCTCACGCCGCTGATCCCCTTTGACGCCAGCTGTCAACCAGACGTGTTGATCATCATGGGAACGTCGCTGAAGGTTTTCGGGCTCCAGAAGATTGTACGAGAATTCGCAAAAGCCGTCCATTCACACAAGAATGGCAAAGGAAGAGTGATCTTTGTCAATCGTACTCGTCCAGCAGAGAGTGTGTGGGACGGCATCATCGACGACTTTGTGGCCATGGACTGCGATGACTGGGTAGACGACCTGAAGAGACGCCGGCACGATCTATGGCTCCGGCAAGGAGAGATTGATATGACGGTGACGAAGTCGCAGCAGCCGAAAAGAAAACGAAAGTCAATGGAAGAATGTCCGGGGAAGGAGAACAGACCCGAGAAGAAAGCTAGGGTAATCGTGGAAATCCGTCGTCCTGCGAAGCCGAGACAGGTCTCATCCAGCACCCCGAAGAAGGACAGATCCGTTACAAAGATGGCCAGGCATCCTTCCGACTATCCGGCGCGAGGAATACTGTCCCCTCTAGCACAGGCGAAAAGACCACAGATTTCGCCTTTCACGAGTCCGATTCGAATGGAGGACGAGGCTGGCCTCTTGAGTCCCATTAAGCGAGGAACACCTAGCCGCCCGCCATTTTCTCCCTTCACACCCCGGCTTCGTCCTACAAGCGCAAGACGGTCCGATGACCACATGAATGTCCCAGAACATCGGCAAGGCACGCCGATGCGACCTGCGTTCTCACCATTGACGCCAGGTGTCCGCTCTGGGAGCAAGTTGAGGTCAGAGGTGTTTATAGATGACTACTTGGACAACCAAGCCTTACCCAGCAGTCCTCCCGTCGAAGACTTTGAGATAGAGTCGCTGTTGGAAGAGGCTACGTCGATGGTGGAGGAATCACGCAAGGCTAGTGCATCTGCAGCGAAATCGAGGGAGACCACCTTTATGGCACAGATCTGGGAGCGAGTGAGAGATGGAGGCTTCTTCTCTTACGGGCGGGATCCAGACTCGATTCGAAAGCCGGCCGCAGACGACGGTGCCGAGGTTGAGACACCATCGAGAGGTCCACGAGGCCGGAAAGTCGACGTTTTTGCCGCCTGATTTGGTGTTGCTCAAGGAATAGATTCATCAACATTGGGCCATGGATGGACACCCGTGTTGATTCGATACGAGGCTACGACTGTACGACTTTGGGCAGAGCAATACAAGTAGTAAGGGAAGGGGGCTTCTCACAGCAGATGACAATATTTTGGAGTTTTGGCGTTTGGAATCTGGCGCCCAAGCACAGCGGGACTCGTGTGGGAAAATGCGGTGCCGCAGATGCCCATCGATGCACAATTTGGCGTCAACCAGCCAAACAACCTGACCATGTAGCAGCGTCATTTCTAGGCGTTGCTTTTTCTTTCTCTTTCTCACTTTTGGCTTTTTCCGCACCAAGAACCATCTCGCCCGAGTGTTTCCGGCCGAGGCAAACTTCTTGTCCCATCATGCTCTGCCCTTCAACCCATCGCTTGATCATTTCTGACCAATATTTTAAGCGCACATGACAAATGTACCGCGGTATAGCAGCCGCCTCGTCTTTCGTCTGACCCGTGCGCCCGGCGAGGGTCTCTGGGTCTCGACTCCAGCCCCCCCCCCCCCCCCACAACCCCCCCCCCCCCCCCCCCCCCCCCCCAAGTATATCATTCCGACACTTTCCACTCCCTCCCTCCCCCCCTCTTTTTTTCCTCCTCGATGCTGCCTCCGTGAACAGACCGCAATCTTCCAAGAAGGATCCCCGGTTGCTTTTTATTCTAACTATCTACAGGACGTCGGCCTGCCAATCCGACACAGTGTACGGAGTATTTTGACTGTGTCTTGAAAATCGTCGCGGAACTATTTTTTTGCGGGGTTCGGTCTACAAAGCTTTTTTTTTTCTGGTTGCTTGGAGACACAAAAAAGAAAACGTTCAGCGGTTCGGAAGTCAGCGTTTTGAGAGGTTGCGAGGAGTCTTGTTTTGGGGAGACACACGAGGAGTCCATCTCCTTCACGACTACGTCTGATTTTAATCGCTTGGGATACTGACCACAGTCCCAAGCACTAGTTGCTGGCTGTTGTTCGCTCCGGAAGAGTCGGAGGACGTGGCAAGGACAGAGTCTTTGCCGGGGTAGACACACGGGGAAGAAGGGCACAAACTGCTTACGCGGCATAAGCTCACTACCGCACCCTCTTACCAAAGTCCATCAGACATGCAGCCCCCCAGCAACATGGCCAAGGGGTTCGACACCATCGAATCCACCATCGAAGCCTTCCGCAACGGCGAGTTCATCGTGGTGCTCGACTCTCAAGACCGTGAGAATGAAGGTGACCTGATCATCGCCGCCGAGGACGTCACCACCGAGAAGATGGCCTTCATGGTTCGCTACACCAGTGGACTCATCTGTGCCCCCATCACCTCCCAACTCGCTGCTGGATTGGCCCTCCCGCAGATGGTGGTGGACAATGAAGATCCCAACCGCACGGCCTATACCATCTCGATTGACTCGAATGACGAGAGCGTCAGCACCGGCATCTCGGCCCATGATCGCGCCTTGACCTGCCGCACCCTCGCCAGCAAGAAAGCCACCGTCGACAGCTTCCGCCGACCTGGCCACGTCTTCCCACTCCGTGCTAGGGACGGAGGTGTGTTGGAGCGAACGGGCCACACCGAAGCAGCGGTCGAATTCTGTCGCCTGGCGGGCAAGGCCAAAGTCGGGGTCATCTGCGAGATGGTTGACGACGGAGAGCCGGTCCTCGGACAGACGGCCATGCGCGAACCCGGCATGATGAGGCGCGATGCTTGTCTGGAGTTTGGCCGCAAGTGGGGACTCAAGGTTTGTACGATCGAAGACCTGGTCGACTATGTGCAGAAGGAGAAGATGGTGAGGAATGGCCATGGGCACGTCACGAACGGGGTTAATGGGTACCATTGACGAGGGTCGAATGATGAGTCGAGCGGATTGCTAGACATGACTGAAGATTGCGTACAATGCAGTGAAGTTACTGAATGATGAAATGAAACTTGAATGTCCTGGTAGTGTGTTGTTCCCCCTTGCCATGATATTCCATCGCGAAGCCTTGTGCGCAGTCTGGCGCCATGAGGCCGAAGGGCGCCCACCAGGCTGCGGATGACGTCAAGCTGCCTGCGGCCTGCGGCATGCGAACTGCAAACTGCGCTGCCACGCATCCCCAGCAATTGGCGTCTCGACTGTTTCTCACCTCAGCACTTACTTTCTCGCAGCCTCCACCGACCACGAGTAATATCAGTTCAACTCGGGCTTCCCCATGTTTCTGCTCTGCTTTGGCGTTGGTACTGGTGTCCATCTGCTTCCTCGTCCAATGCTTCTCAGAATGAACGCACCTCCGCACTGTGATGGAGGCGACTGTCACAGTTTGCAAGCCACCATTTTGTGCAGTGAATCAAAACTGTCCAAGAATCAATCTCGCTCAAATCTTCCGCAACAGGGCTAGAACCACCCTGACTTACGTCTCCCATCCCCCTCGGCAAGGCGCAGGCCAAGGAGGAGGGGGTATTGTGTCGGATTTTGCCAAATTTGGTGTTGCTTCTCCCGGGGTCAATCCCGTGTTCAGCAATCCACGTCGCCCCCCCGTGCCGACAAGAAAATCAGCGAGACCCGGATCCTGGCTAACGCTCCAAGACAGCAGGGGTGGCCTCTTTTCAGAAAAGCAGAATCAACCTCTTCGGGCCACCCATTTCTCCTCCCGGTCAACTGAGTCCTCGACGGACGCACTCAACGAGGCCCTGGCGGCGTTCCTTTGAGCAGCCACTATCGCTTCGCCCCCCGTCTCAGCCTCACGCTAAACCGGACATGATGCAGGGCCCAAATAATACGCGAGCCGCGAGATCTGCTTAGGATAGGGATCCAAACGGCCTTTTCCTCGCTCTCCGTACTTCGTGCCTCTCTCCTTCATCTCTGCCTCGCTCTTGCTTTTGTTGGTTTGCTCTTTTCGTGGCTTTGACTGAAGCTCGGCTGAGTCTCACGTGGGAGAGTCGGACGCATCTTTCTGAGGCTTGTCTGGCCGTGGTACCTGTCACTTGCGACCAAATAAGGAGCCTGGTGTGCCGCACGTCTCTCCCTCTACTATTCCCCTCTCTTTCGCTATTCTCTCGTTTGACTACCTACCCATACAGACGCACATACACTGACGGAGTTTGGATTACGTTTCCTTGCCTCCTGCGGCGCTTTTGCTCTTCTACTTTGGTTACGTTGTCTTGGCTGTTTGCATTGCCTCTCCGCGCTGCCTGCATTTTACCAGACATAACGCCAACCTCGACTTTGGTTCCAGCTCTTCGATCCACACTCCATCAAGCGTTCCATATACTTTTTGATTCAGCATAGGCAAAATTCAGACCACGACACTTCTAAAATACAAAAGCTCGCGTCGGAGAACCGGAAGCAGAGGATCATTCCCTGACTAAAGTTATTACCCATCTCAATGGCTCCGGCCTCATCACGTCTCTTCCCTCGACAGGGCTTCGGTGACAATGACGGTCCAGGCGACTTTGGCGACCACAGGGGTCCTGGCGATGGCAAGGGAGTGTCGACCTGGGCAATCCTTGGTATAGTGATTGCCATTGCCGTTATTGGGCTCATTGTTGGCTTCGTGATCTTCCGACGCATTCGACGCCGCCGCAGCAGGACGGCGATTCCTGCAATTAACCTCCACCCCCCAACATCGAACAAACCTCCATCAACTACCCCATCAGCGGGCGACCCCTCGAAATACGGCGCCAGTAGCAATGGAGGGTACACGGCGACGGCCGACCAGAACCAGTCCCTGCTGAACAACGCAGAGGCACCCGCCATCGTCACGTGGGATCCCAGGGCATCCGAGCACGGCGGCGTCGGGTCCACGCAGGACGGGTTCGGATATGACAACAACCTCAACCTCCTCCAGCGGCCAGCCAGCGTGGCCAGCTTCTCCGCCCCGCCTCCCCGGTACGAGGAAGCTACCAGCGGCACCGGCACTGCTGCTGGGCCCCGACCACAAGGCGAGGCTGCGAGCTACTTCAACACCGCGGTGCCGATGGGCCAGGAGCGCGGACGTAGCCTCACCCGCGAAGGCGAGGGATCGAGGCCGCGCGCCCTGAGCGTCGACCAGAGGAGCATCAACGGGGACCGGAGGCGGAGCATGTCGCGGTTCAGAGAGGAGGGCATGTTCGACGTCAACGTCGAAGCGAAAAGCTGATCATGCCTACATTTCTTTTATTATTTGGTTATTGGGTTCGATTCCCTTTTTTAAACACCCCGTTCGTTGCAGCATGGCTGGATGAGCCATATGCACATGCATGCAGGCACGTTTTGTACGGAGTTCCGGGGAAAACATCGCGGGATATGATACCTTGATGTACATGGTTTTATGGATATACAATACTCATGTGGCTTGAATGGTACAAATTCTGATTTCGGAAGAGCTTTCTGGCTTGTGCTCTACAAGCAACAATAAAACGGCCGGTGATATATCTGGGGTATCATTTTTTCTCGATTTTTGCCCTTTTTGCACCTATTTCCACTCCCATTCCAACCAACCCCCTCGATCCCATTTCTGAGGCGCCTACCTGGACGCCGTTCCTTTTGTAATACAGAAACCTTCGGCCCGAGAGTATGAAATTTGATCAGCTCCAGATCGGCCATGGGCTTAAAGGTGCACATTGCCTGGAAAAACACCACCCGCATGCATGATGCTGCATCGGACAACAAGCGCGAGCATGCTGACGCCCTACTTCTTGATCTCTGGCTTCTTCTCGGAGTAATCCCTAAATAAACCCTGCATGTGCACGTTTGTGATTTTCTGCCCTCTGCGCACTTTCCGCTTCTCCTTCTTGGGTTTCGCCGTCAGGTCCGTCCGAGCCGGTTCACCCGTGGACTTGTGATTCATCTTCCGAAGCTCTTTGATGGTGTCCTCGACGCTCGGCAACGGGATCTGGTTCCAGAGGTCCTTGAACTCTTGGTCGAGCGGCGCGTGGAGGGTGGGGTCATCGATCCAGACCATCCGCGGGTGGTGGTCCTTCTTGTTGCGGGTCACCAGCAAGCGGTGCTCGGCCTCGAGTTTGTCGATGGCGTCCGCGACATCGGCCCAGCCGTCCTTCAACTTCGACACCTGGATCCCCATCGCAGTCTCTTGCTTCTGGAGGAACTGGAGCAGGGAGTCGGCGTCGGTGATGTTGTGCTCCGGTTTGAACAGGAAACTGTCCGTTTCCTTGTCATATGTGACTTTGGAATTGGCGTTGAGAACGGCCAGGAAATGCTGGACCGTGGTCTCGTCGCGTCTCTGGACCGGTAGGACGAAGGTGATCAGGTCGGAGGCAGAGATGCGCTCGGGGAACTTTTCCCGTAACCGTCCCACGGCGTAGACGGCGTTGGTGCGGACATCTATCCCTGCCGGATCGGTCACGGGCGGCGCGTAGAAAGATGACATATTCGGCTGGTGAGTCTGTTCAAAGCGCGAATGTTCTCTTTGTTTGCGGTTCCCCCTGGTTGCGGCGGAGCGAGAGGGTGGCGGGTGAGGATGGAAGGGGAGGCCTAGTCAAAGGTTCCGCTTCCGTTTGCGGCGGAGAGTCTATCTCATTTCGAAGTAGCGAGCAAGTGACAGCGAGCGAGTGTCTGTCGAGGGAATCTGAGCATATGAATGAGAGATGAAGTGAAGAAGACTTGACTAACAATCTGAGGTCGAGTTGTCTGTGTGGCGGCTGAGGTATGTGAGGTACTTAGGCATAGATAATCGGCGGGGGCAAGTAAAGCGAAGTCTAGTACTCCGTACATAGTAGTGAGCCTGGAGCCCCAGTCACTACCGCAACAGGCGTGAACAGCGCCAAAAAGTTAAGGTTGGACTTACATAATTAGGCTCCTACACCCTAAGCGAATGCCCCAAGGTCACGTTCTTTCAGTTGCCCGCGCTGCCCGCTTCTGTCTGTTTAGAGATCCATTCTCGAACATCTCCAATTCCATCCTGTCTTCAACATTCCACCTCTCACCCATTCACCACGTTCGCTCTCTCGCTCCTTCTTATCGTCGCTCGCGCAAGCAGCTTCTTGCGCCATGGTGAGACGGGTTGAGGTAACTTTCATTTCACCTTGACGTTGCGCTTGTGGTGGGCGCCTTCTTGACTTGAAAGCCACTATCCCTCGTCCACCCGCGAAGACTCAATCACAATTCTACAGCCCCCTTCACAATGGCCGCCGAAGTGGATGTTCGCGCCATCTCGGCCTTCTCCTCCCTGCCTGAGAGTTCCGTCACTTCCCTCATCAGTGAGCCGACGCCCGAGCTCGTCACTGCCCTTCTGCGCGCCATCGAAGCCAAAGTGAAAGAGTTTGAGCAGAACAAGTCCCAAAAGGTCAAACTCGAAATCGAGCTCGAAACGGTTGTACGGACCAGTGAATCCAAAGCAAAAGTTCTACAAAACTCGCGCGACAAGGCCCTCGCAGAGTCAAGTAAACTTCGCGTCGAGTTGCAAACATCAGGTACGAAATTACTCTCGCCGCTTCCCTTAAACCTAGCTGACTTGTATATCACAGAAAATGCACGATCAAAGTTGGAGACTGAGCTCGAGCAGTACCGCTCTGCCACGGCAAATGAGAATTCGGAACTCAATACTCTCAAGTCTCGGATTTCTTCCCTCGAAGCCTCCAATCGAGATACCTTGGCTCTCCTTGAATCAAAGAATGCCGCGTACGATAGTCTATCCCAAGATCTCTCGGCTCAGCACCAGAAAGCTGCAGAACTTCGAAAACAAGTCAACACTCTGGAGCAGTCAGTGCAGTCTGCAAATGCTACCGTTGCGAGTGCAAGATTCAAGGAGCAATCACTTCAGCAAGAAGTAGAAATGCTGAAGAAAAACAATGAGTGGCTAGAGACAGAGAGGAAGATCAAGGCTGACGAACACACCAATTTCCGAAAGGAAAAGAACGCGCGGATCTCGGAGCTTTCGAGGTTGAACGAGCAATACATCTCTGAAGCTGAGACTCTGAGACGGTCTGAAACTTCTCTCAAACAACGCTTAGAGGAGCAGACGGCCAGATTTGAAGAGACGCTGGAGGAGATGCAGAAGGTGCGGGAAGAAAAGATATCGGCTGAGGACGCATTCAGAGTGGAACTCGAGAGCGTGAACCGTCTGGCCGAGCTGCAAGCGGCGTCTGCTGAGACAGCTAAACAGCGCGTTCAGGAATTATCCGCTGCTCTGGAGGAAGCTCGTGAGGAGGCGGCAGAAGAGATTGGCACCATTCGTGCCGAGATCGAAACCGAACATAATGACCGGGTCGCCGCTGAGCAACGTGTGGCCGAACTCGAGGAGTCTCTGCAGCAGATGTCAAGTGAGCTGGAACAGGCACGGGTAAGACAGAGCACGCCTCAACGCACAACCAACGGTTCGGGCATTACGACACCGCTTCGACCTGGAACCCCTAGTGGCATTTTCTCTCCGGCATCCGTATCTAGAGGGAAGTCTCAAATGACCATGACTCAACTTTTTTCGGAATACAAGAAGCTCGAAGGAGAACTGGCCAGTGAGAAGCGTGTTAGGGAGCAATTGCAAGAGAACCTTGACGCCATGGTTGACGAACTGGAAAACAACAGGCCCGAGATTGAGGAACTGCGTGCCGACCACGCCCGACTGCAGAGCGAAGTCGTCGAGATGTCTGCGATCGTCGACAAGACGAATGCCGACCGGGACGCCACAGTGAAAGAGCTCAGAAACTGTCGAGGCCAGCTTGAGAGCAAGTCACGCGAGGTCGAGGTTCTGGCTCAACAGCTTCGAGACAAGGGCTCTGAGATCCGGTACCTTCTGGTCGAGCAATATGTTCGCGAGCGAGGCGAGACCCTCACCCGCGAAGATTTTGAGGAACTGGAGAGGCAGAGTGAAGCAGCAATGTCACAGGACATGGCAAATCTCTCCGAAAACCAACAACTAATCAATCAGCGGCTCATTGTCTTCAGAAACATCACCGAACTACAACAACAGAACGAAAATCAGCTGAAGACGATTCGAAATCTCGTTAGTGAACTAGAGAGCAACGAAGCGAACGACCGGGAGCAACAGAATCATGCGCTTAGCCGCGAACTAGAGCAAGCTCGGGCACAAATTGCCTCGTACCAGGATGAGCTGAGGACGATGGTTGCTCAGACCAAGAGCTTCGTCAAAGAAAGAGACATGTTCCGAAACATGCTCACCAGACGCGGTCATTTACCTAGCCAAGTCCAACCGAACGACTTCTCTCGGTCGTTACCAGTCCCCAGTGGAGAGTCACCTGCAGGGTCTGTAACCGGTGGCGATTCGGACTACGCCAAGCTCTTAAAAGATCTTCAGCAACATTTCGACTCGTATCGACAAGAAGCGACCACTGATCACACAGCTCTCAAGAACCAGGTTGCCGAGCTGAGCAAGAAAAATTCGCAGTTGCAGGCTGAAATTAGTCGGACTGTGGGGCAATTGACGGCTGCTAATCAACGATACGAAATGTTACAGGCCAACTATAACTCCCTGAAGCACGAAAATGGGGAGATCCAGAAGAGATCGTGGGCCGCTATGGAGAATGCGACAAAGAACGAGCTCAAGACGCAGCAAGTGGCCGAGGACCTCGTGGAAGCCCGAAATCTTTTGGACAGTCTACGCCGTGATTCCGCAAATCTCAAGGCCGAGAAAGATTTGTGGAAGAGCGTGGAACGGAGACTAATCGAGGACAACGAGTCTTTGCGCAGTGACCGAAGTCGACTAGACCAGCTCAACGCGAGCCTCCAAACAATCATCAACGAGCGGGAGCAGACAGATTCCGAAACCCGACGTCGCCTTCAATCTCAAGTGGAGTCATTGGAGTCTGAGCTCCAATCGACCAAGAGAAAGCTCAATGACGAAATCGAAGAGAGTAAGAAGGCTACGCTACGTCGAGAATATGAGCATGAGCAGGCCCAGAAGCGAATAGACGATCTCGTTACCAGCCTGGGCACGACGAAAGAGGAACTGGCTTCGGCGAAGACGGCTAAGGACCATCTGCAAGCCAGGGTTGATGAGCTCACGGTGGAACTTCGATCTGCAGAAGAACGTTTGGAAGTGCTGAGCAAACCTGCAGAACCTACAACTGAGTCAAGCGTTCCCGAGGATACTGCTTTGAGCAAAGAACAAGAGCTGGCGGTGGAAATTTCAGAACTCAAACGTGATCTCGAGCTCAAGACGGCGGAACTTGAACGCGCCAACGAACAGGTGGAAGTTTACAAGAACATTAGCCAGTCAAGCGAAGAACGCCTTCAAGAACTCACTGAGACCAACGACCAGTATCGCGAAGAAACAGAGGCAGCTCTTGCTGAGAAAGATGCAAAGATCAAGGATCTCGAGCAACGCATCGAAGATATTTCCGCTGAACTCAATACCACCAATCAAGAACTGTCACGGCTGCGAGACGATCAGGCCGAGTTTAGTCGGAAACTCGATGAACAGAAGGCAGGTTTCGAGTCCGATATTGAGCGGCTGAAGGAAGAGGCAGAGAAGAGTGCTGAGCAAGCTCAATTCAATCTAGAGGCCTCCAAAATCCAAGCTCAAATTGCCACAGAAGCTCAACAAAACTATGAGACCGAGCTATTGAAGCATGCTGAAGCAGCCAAGACATTGCACACAGTTAGAGACGAAGCCAATCAAATCAAACTAGAATTGGTTGACTTGCGAACACAAGCTGAGACGTCCAAGGCAGATCTTGAGAAGAAACAGGCCAGTTGGGACGAGATGAAGGAAAGATATGAGAGAGAGCTTGCAGACCTCAAGAAACGACGTGAGGAGCTTGCGCAACAGAACAACCTGTTGCATGGCCAACTTGAAAGTGTCACGCAGCAGATTACGGCGCTGAAACGCGATCGCGCAGCCCTAACGGAAGGCGTAAATGGGGAAGCGCCTGCTCAACCTTCTGCGGAGTTCGACAAGCTGCAAGAGGTCATTACTTACCTCCGTCGGGAAAAGGACATCGTCGATGTTCAATACCAACTTTCAATCCAAGAGGCGAAGAGGCTGCGACAGCAGCTTGAGTTTACCCAGTCGCAACTAGACGAGACGCGATTGAAGCTCGACCAGCAGCGCCGTTCCGAGGCGGACTCGGAGCGCAACGCCCTTAGCCACAACAAGCTCATGGACACTCTGAATGAGCTGAACCTATTCCGCGAAAGCAGTGTTACCCTTCGAGCTGAAGCAAAACAAGCCACTCAAGCTTTAGCCGAGAAGACCCGGCGTGTGGAGGAGTTGGAAGGCGAAGTACAATCGTTACATGCCCGTGTTGCGGAACTAGAGAACCTGTTAGAATTGAAAGAGGGCGAGTTGAAACTGAGCCAAGAAGACCGAGATCATTGGCAACAACGCACCCAAAACATTCTCTCGAAGTATGACCGAGTGGACCCTGCAGAGATGGAAGCCCTCAAAGAGAAAATGACCACTCTTGAGCAAGAGCGTGATGAAGTCCGTGTGGAGCTTGACAAGGCTGTTGCCGAGCGGGACGAGGCTCGTACAGCTCTTCAAGCACAGATCGAGAGCACACAGGCAGCAGTCGACTCTGCTAAAGGCGAGTTGAAGACGAGGCTGGAGACGCAGTTCAAGGGGGTCATCAAAGAGAAAAACAACACTCTGCGCGAGAGGAAAGTCGAGTTCGATGCACTGGCGACGGAACGAGATGCTTTACACAAAGAACTTGATTCATTGAAGGAACAGCTGGCCGCAGCCGAAGCACATCCTGCTCCGGCACCATCGATTCAAGTCAATGGCGAACACCCAGCAACTGCGGACGTTTCAACCGCTAGCGGTGCGGCTAACGCCGACATTGACGAGCTGGCAGCCAAAGTGAAGGAATTAGAAGAGACACTGGCAGAAAAGAATAAGGAGCTCGACGAACTGAACTCCACGCAGGAAGAGAGGTTCAAGTCAAGAGTGGCTGCCAATGAGGCCATCCTCAACAAGCGGCTGGCTGAGTTTAAGCAACAAGCCCAGCAAGCGAAAGTAGCTGCCCTTGAAGAGTTAACGACCAAGCTCAATGCTCAGCATCAGCAAGAAATGGAGGCTCTCAGAGCTCAGTCAGTGCCTATTGCAAGCGAGCTGCAGAAGCCTGCTGAAGAAACAGCTGGCGCCGCTGTTCCCGTCATCAATGGCGAGATTCCTGACGAGGTATTGCTGTCTCTGCCCGAAGAGAAAGCAAGGTTCCTCGTGAACAAAAACGAAATTGTGCGACGGATCGTCCGAGCCAACATCAGCAAGGGATTAGAGAAGGAGAAAGAGAATATCCGGAAAGAAATGGCGGAATCGAAAGGCTCTCAGAACGAAGATGCCTCTATGGGACTGCCTGAGCAACTGGAGGAGCGGCTTCAGTCCGAGAAAGAAGCCATCATCAAACAGAAGGAAGCGGAGTTCGAGACCGAGAAAGAAGCTTTGATCAAACAGTACGAAGAGAAGCTCGCTCGGGAAAAGCAAGACATGGCCAACAAGCACGAAGAGGAGCTCAAGACCCAGAAACTCCAATTCGACGAAGAGTCGGCTCGGAAAATCGAGGAGCAAGTCAGGAATGCCGAGCAGCTGGCGGAGAAGCGAGGCACTGTCAAACTTAACATGTCTCAGAACAGAGCAGCTCTGGCAACTGCGAAACTGGACGTGGTGAAGAAAGCAGCAGAGGAGACGCCTGACAAGGCAGTTGGAGAAGTATGGCAGATTGCCAAAGACGCAAAACCCGCTGCTGCAGGGGCTGCAGTGGCACCAAAGCCGGCAGCTCCTCCCGCTGCTACTACTCCTGCACCAGCCACGGCGAAGCCAACCGTCTCTGTCAAAGCCGACGAGGCTACTCAGCCTCAAATTGCGGCGCCCGACCAAGCGGCGGCTGCCGAACCTCCTTCGCAGCAGCCTAAACAAAATTCATTCCAGCAGCCTGCCTCTCAACCCGCTCAACCCGCTCAACCTCCTCAGACCCCCCAGCCTGCTCGGCCTGAAACTGCAAAGCAGCCTCAGCCCGGCGCGGCCTTGATGCAGCAACTCCAGTCCGGAATTCCCCGCGGTGGGTCGAATCGAGGTCGGGGAAGCGGTATCCCCAGAGGTCGCGGAGCACCCAGAGGCGGTCGCGGTGGCAACCCAAGTGTACACACTGGCGTTGGCCAACAGGCAGGCAGGGGTGGAGGTGCCAATAGTCCGAGCCGGGGTGCGTTGAATCCTCAAGCCGCACAATTTACTCCTGGTGGTGGAAACAAGAGAGCTCGGGAGGACGGTGAGGTTGCAGATGGCGGCGGGCAAGGGAAGAGAATCCGCGGCGAAGGGGCTGCGGCGCAATAGGCTGTCTGGACAGTCAACTTCTCCGCAAGGGGAATTCAAGGATATAGGGATGAAGGTCTATTGCATGTTAATGGTAACGGCAATCGCGGGATGGTTCTCTGACATCTGATTAAAACAAATGGGCGTGAGCTGAAGAGAATTTCGGCTCGTTGAATGGAAATGCATGGGGGAAAGAGTGTCTACTATGTTCTGTACAACAAAATCAATGAGGTCGCTTTCGAGCAGAGCCCTTATTCCACGCCGCCTTCTTGTGCCAGAGCCCCATGGATCAGTGTCGAATCCCCATCTCTTGCGTTCTTGTTCTGGTGATCTTGTTCATTAGTGCATGATTCGTGAATTCGTGAATTCATGGACCCGTCCTTCAAAAAGTGTTAGCATGGGGGACCACATTCCCACAGTCCACATGTCCCACCACCACCACCACTACTACTAGTTACCACCACCACCACCACCGACCTTGAATGACACTGCGCCCTAGATGACAATTGAGCGTTTCTGGCCAAGTCAATAATCTAGGGTAAAACAGGCTCAGGCCGATTCAGCCAGCTAAGATACCCTTCCCATTCTGCGCAACTATCTATCTTGGGAAGTCCCCCATCTTTCTTCCTTTTCGCTTTGTCTCTTTGTTCTTCGTCCTGAGCTCTCTCAGGCCGTGTGACCTCGAAGCGTTTCTTGTCAAGGTAACAAGCAGGATAGTATTCTCCTCTGGGATTCCACGTCGACACTATGAAAGGGAAATTGACTGGCAATTGGACGCCGGGAGTGCGTTCATGATAGACTCCTGGCATTTCGGCTTGCGCATGGAACGATCTGACTTGAATCCTGATGGGTCGAGTTACATCAGGTTCAACCGTGGGGTAGTCGTACGTCGTCACTTCCGGTCCCTTCGGTGTCGCAATCGCCATGTTTTCCAGGAAAGCAAGGCGTACCAAGTCCAGAGTCTCCTTGAATAAGTCTATGTGATTTTTATTCTCTGGCGACAGACCCTCCTCGAGGCTTCGTAGTCGATCCTCGCGAAGATTTCTTGCTTTTTTGTCCACTTCATCCATCCCGTCGAAGTGATCGCGCGTCGCCGAGACGTAGATACGTCGACTTCTTGTATTGGGAGAGCTGTTGGAAAGGGAGGTCATGATGCATGTCGGGAGACCAGGCCAAAACGATATTGCCGTCGTTTGGTGCTCGCCTTGCTCTTTCTTTGTGGGTCTGATGTTTTTCTCAAATTCCAGACCCGACAAGAAACTCTTAAACCCACTCAGTGGGCCCCATTCCTTTTCTTGATCGGAAGTCCCTACTTCTTCCCGCTCTATAGCTTGGTACAGGAGCAGCACAAGCGGATTCATGATATTCATTATGTCCCGATCGTCCTCAGTCTCTTCGTCGTTGGGGTGGTTTTCGATATTAAGCTCCTCTAAATCGGTCAATATTCCCTCGACGGTTTCCTGATCTTCACGGCATCGCGTTGGGCTTCTAAGTCCGAGGATTCCTTTGCTTGCGGCATATTGGCGCAATTCTGGGAGGTACTCATCAAATACCAAGGAAAACAGTCTTTCTCTAACTGCACTTTGGACTCCTAGCTCGGTAGCTTTGGAAAGGATTTTCTGGTAGTTAGAAATGACGATAAACACGTTCTCTGCTGCAGACACATAAGGTTGCGCTCGAGACTTTTCTTGAGCAGCCATGTTAGAGGTATAGAATTAACTGACACTAGGTCAACTCTATTCCCGATTAACTTTGAGGTTGTTCTGAGGCTGAGAGAAATTGTGGGGCAATCTTGTCTTACGCGTGCTATCAAGTATCCAATCAGCGGGTAGGAGTGATTACCTATATGTACTCCATGTGATATAGACTATCATATTATGCAACGGAGTTCTGCTTGTTGTATCAATACCTGAGGCTGTGAAGGTTCCTACAACTTGGCCCCAGGGTTCCCAGTCTTGGAAGGCCCAAGTTCCGGGCTCGCTCTCGGTTATTGTTGCTAGGAGTGGCCCTGCTGCTGCCTGGAGGAAGGTACCGTCCGACCCTAATTAGTGGGCCGCCGCTTCGCTTTCTCTGATTTGGGAACATGTCATGTGAATTGCGCCAGATGTCCCTTGCGTCCGTGATACGAGACGATTAGCTGGGGTCGATACCTCATCTCGCTTAAGATCAAGGTTCTGTTGAATGTTGACTCTGTACGGAGTACCGCGCTGGGCCTACACTGGCGAGCCTGACCACTACTGTAGGTAAGCTATTTATCATAGCGTGTTCGCACACCCACAAGCCTTCGCCAATCGAGCTTAGCGAGTTTGTTCGCGTTGTCTCCAGGATCGATTTCAGCTCCATTCCAGCTCAGCCAAACCTGGGATTTCAAAAACGCATTACGTCTAGCCAACCGCTTTGATGCCTCTCAGTGGGCCACGCTCAAGGCTACGAGTTGCTATTACGGGCGGGAAGATAACGTCTCCTGACTTGATGCAGAATGTGCTGCTCTCACTCGGTGTGTATATCGTGCACAAGCCTCCGCAGAGGCCGGCATCTTCCATACCTCTCCCTGGCCATCACTGCTCTGTATTTTCTAATCTTTGGAAATCTGCCCCTCTTTCTCGTTCAGTCACTCACCCAAGTCACTCCTTATGCAACAGCAATGCACTCGTACTCTCCACTGGTTTACTGGATCGCATTTCTTTTACTATTTGCCGACTACAGTTCGGCCAACCAGGTAGACGAAGGTCAATGCTCAATCGTCACCAAAACAATTACCGGACAATGGACTTGGGTACCGCAGGAGTCTATATCGCCTGAGAGCATGAAAGGCCAGATCTGGGAAGGTCATGCGGCGGTTAATTCAACTTCTAATGCCAACTCATTCTCGCCTCCATCTAAGGGCAGCTCGATATCTGCGCAGACAAAGGGTCAAACAAGGCAAGGTTGGCAACATCAAACAGGCCATGCGGTCGCTACCTCCGTAATAGCCCCTTCCGACACGACAGAGACCGAAACAGGTCCACACGTCGTTTGGGACGACTGGTCTACGCCGGCTCATCCTGCCTCAACCAACATTGAATCTTGGAAGCACTGGTCCTCTCCTGCTGATGAAGCATACAGTACAAGCACACAAACAAAGGACGATTGGAGCAGCGTTGTCAAGAGCACGGAATCTACAGGCAAACTTTCCACCCGTGTTCATCCCGGTCCACACAGCAGCCATGAAAATAACAGGAGCACGAGATCCGTCGCACATTCTTCGCTTACAGACTCGAAGCCCTGGACAAGCCACTCGGCTATATCTCGTTCTACAAAGACGTCTACCTCGTCTTCTCGAATTAGAAGCACAAATTCAGAATCGACAAGTAGTCCTACCCACTCAACCCACTCAGCCTACACAAGCACCAGCTTACCTCACCTGAGAAGTTCGACCAGCTTGTCTACAACTACAAGCACTACAACCAATAGTACACCAGCTACTACGTCGACTACTAGCACCACCTCAGGCTCGTCTACAAGTACAAGTACTACAACCAGTAGTACGTCAGCAGCCACCACAACCTCGACAACAACCTCTACAACGACATCGACAACGACACCGACGACAACCTCTACAACGACATCAACAACGACGAGCACCCAAAAGACAACCTCCACATCGACCACGACCAGCACGCCATCGTCAACCTCCACATCGACAACCACAACTGCAACAACTACTACCACGACCACCACGACCACAACCACAACTTCTTCATCAGCGCCTGTATGCACACCCCTACTTGCTTCTTGTTCATCATCTATCGACACATGCTGTACCGGCAGCTGTGCTTTCTCGCCCGTTTTCGGGGAAACTCTCTGCTGCGTCCCGGACGGTGGACCGTGCAGCTTGAGCGATCCAGAGAATTGTTGTAATGGAGCCTGCGAATCCATTGCTGGTAACAGCGGTGTATGTATTTCTTAGTGACTGGGAAGATGGACGGCGTGGGAAGTGTTGGGATCTATCGCTGAAGTGTTCGAGAAGGGGTGGGTTGACGGTGTACAATCTGCACCAGCTCTACTACCTCTTGTCGTGCGGGATCGGTATCAGAGCGTTTCTAGCCATCCATGACGGCCCCCAGAGCACCTCTCCGGGCTGGACGTAGAGCGTCCTCTAGATATAGGGACGATCAAGCTAACTGACCAGTACGCAGCGGCAGGAGAAGTCTCAATCGTCTGTATGCCATGTCAGGCAGAATCGCGACTCTCACGGTCTTCTGGATGGTTCTCCAGCGTATAACCTTGGCAAGAAGATACTGGATTACTACTAAGAAATTAGAATCCGTCAATGTGTTGTTGCTGTCCATGACCGTGGCGTTGGGTGGCAGACCTGGATATCGCCCACATCGACGTCTCCATATGGGATCGCCCGTGCCAATGTGCCGAGGTCGCAGACGAAGATGCTGGAGAGAACCTGACCGCTATTGACGACTGGGAAGAGCTGCTCGACTCATCAGAGAATGTTGGAGTGATGAGGGCCAGGGGCAGTTGGGAGGCTCGATTGGCAGCTGCGCTGATCCGCAGGCAGCTCGACCCGGAGCCATGCACATGGCTGATACCAGACGGGGGATCTTTCTGTCGGCGTTGCTTGGCTTTTGCTGTCAGCAGATTCACCTCTGGAATCGGCATTATCATCGACTGAGAATGCTTGGGCCGCCGATGATGTAGCTCGATGAAGTCTCATCTGCGGCAGCGCTGGGAAGAGCCAAAGCTGAAGGTCTGTCTATAAAAGAATGGCACACGTCCTAAAGAACTATCTGCAATCTCTAGCAAACATTACCCTCGTAGATAGTCCTTTGAAGTATTGATATCCTTCCTGATAGTAGGGGTCTAAAAGCGGGACTAAGTACCGGTGATCAAAAGAATAAGGAGAGCGAGTAACGCCGTTGCCTACACAGGCTGAGCTATTAGTGTTGTCGCTGGATACCAAATCGTCTAAATTCGCCATTGGGGTTTTCGGTCGCGAGTATTCTACCAGAATTTATCCATGCTCTTCGAGTAGCGATCGGGTTCAAATCATCTGCGGCGCGTTCGAAACCCCCAAGGCCTGTCAAACTTCCATCAATACGAGTCCTCTGAGGAATCTGTTGAGCGTCTCGTCCAATTAAACTCTAAAGGAGACGGACTCAAGACGATCGCGGGCGTCATGCATGTGAGAGAGGGCGGGGAAGAAACAGAAAAAAGAAAACTGGGTGCTGACAGCAGCACGTTGACGTTGGAGACGCATCCTTACAACTCATGTCTGCTTTCTCTTCAATCCATACCTCCTCTTTGATCAACATCAGTCCCCAGTGACCCCACGAACAATCATGCCCATCCCCACCGAACTGGTCGGCAGTCTCCCTCGACCGACGTACCTGCAAAAGGCCTTTGCAGACTACGACGCCGGCAAGATCTCGCGCGACGAGCTCGTCCAGGCCCAGGACCGCGCCGTCGAGGACTCGTTGAAAAACCTCGCGGGCACGGGCGAGCCGTTGATCACGGACGGCGAACAACGCGCGAGTTCGTTCGCCACGTATCCCATCACCGACACGCTGGGAGGCACGGGTCTGTCGGAGAATCTCGCCGCGGACGGCCAGTACTTTGCCATCTTCGACGATGGGCACCACAGGCAACTGCCCCGCCTCGTGAAGGGTCCGTTCAAGTACAAGACCTACGCCTACGACAACCTAAAGAGGTCGATGCCGCTGGCGGGCGGGCACCCGATGAAACAGGCCGTCATCGCCCCGTCCATGATGTACCTGCTGTACCCGCTCAACGGCTCCGTCGAGGGATACTCGAAGGAGGAATTTGAAAGGGACGTCGTGGACGAGTGCGAGAAGGACATCCGCGGCTGTTTCGCCGCCGGGGCCAAGCGCGTGTCCATTGACTTCACCGAGGGGCGGCTTGCCGCGAAGAACGACAAGCGGAATCCATGGACTGGGGCGCACTTGTTGCAGAAGTTCATTGACCTGAACAACCAGGTCCTCGGTAAGTGATCCCCAGACGCTCAGGTGACAAGACGCCCCTTTGGGAGGACGGCCCTACCCTCGCGTGAGCGCATTGTGTTATTAACAAGTATTTCCCCTCCCCTCTTGCGACGATATACAGACCGATTCACACCGGAAGAACGCAAGGACATCGGCATCCACACCTGCCCCGGCGGGGACTGCGACTCGGTGCACTCGGCCGACGTCGACTACCACGAGCTGCTGCCGTCGCTGTTCCAGATGAACGCGGGCTACTTCCTGATCCAGCTGGCGTCGGAGAAGAACCGCACCCGCGTGTACGAGGAGATCGGGCGCACGATCCGCAGGGACGCCAAGGGCGTCAAGCAGGTCGCGTTCGTCGGCGTCGTCAACCCGCTCAACCCGGCGGTCGAGACGGCCGAGCAGGTCCGCGACGCCCTCGTCGAGGCCGCCCGCTACATCCCCGCGGACCAGCTGGGCGCCACGGACGACTGCGGCTTCAGCCCCTTCAGCATCGACGTCAAGCCCAAGCACAAGAACAACCCGGACTTTGCGCGCGAGGTCGCCTTCCAGAAGATCGCCAACCGCGTCAAGGGGGCGCAGATGGCGAGCGAGCGGCTGGGGTTGTGAGGGCGTGGGTAGAAAGACGAGGGCGGTGTTGGGTTGGGAGCTGCAGACCAACACCTTACTCACTCGCTTGATTGCTTGCTTGCTCGCTCTTTTTTGACAACGAGTCTTGATGCGGCGGTATGGGCTCATTCCAGTAATAATAACAAGGACGGAAGTGTATATAGGTAGCCACGGGCAGCCAAAAGTTCATTGCACCTTTCAACAAGGTGTTCTCTTGTCAACCCTGTACATTGCTCAGGGTGGCTCAGTCAATTTTTTCCATGATCAAGCTGTTGGACGTGGAAAAAGTACTTCAACCAGCCGACTGTGTGGGTGTTGTGAAGCGATCTGATATGTTGATGTTCTCGTATGTCTATGCTTGAGACACGGAGGCACGTTGCGCCGGGCGGCGTCTGGCAGCGCAGCCTTGCACCCCCAAATTCCCCGCCGTCGCTACGTATGGGTTGCCGCCTCCTTGCCCTCCTCCGTGCGACTTTCGCCTGCTGTGTTACCTAGTTTGTACCTTTCCTCCTCGATCACTTTTACACCCACTTCGCTCACCTCTCGACAGCCTTGGATCGAAATTCCTCATTAATACACCCGCGCTTTCCTGTCCCTCTCCAATCGCCAGGCCCTCCGCAGTCTTGCGAATTACCGTCCCTCGTGTCTCGCGGATTCCTCTCCACGAAACCATGGACAAACCCCCTTCCTCATCCTCTCCCTCGTCCTCAAACAAGAAACCGTCGTCACGCGGGACGGCCAACTACGTCTCCTCCTCCGGGCACATCTTAGAGACGTAAGTACTATACTATTCTCCGCCCCTCCCTCTCCCTCCTTCTCTCTCTCCCCCTATCGCTCTAAACTAATCACTGCAACCCCATGGCCGGCTCCTAGACCACCCCTCTCGGCCCGCATCTCCCGCATCTCCGACGACGTGTACAACTTCCTGGGCCTGTACTTTGTGTCCCTGTTCTCGCTGGACCCGTACACCGCGGCGCAGAACAGCCAGTTCAACACCCGCGGCCGGCCCAACGCGTACCAAGAGCGGCCGCGCTGGGGGGGAGGGACTAATCGTCTCGGCGGCGGTGGTGCTACCGGTGGTGGTGGTAGTACTTGGGGAAGAGGCGGTGGTGGTGGTGGAGGGAGTGGGAGTGGGAGCGGGAGTGGAGGCGGGTCAAGAAGGATGGGAGGGATTGACGACGTGCGCGCCCCGGAGTGTGGAAGCTGTGGATGAAGCTGGTGTCGAGAGCGTGTATACCCCGTCTGGGAATCTCGGAAAGAGAGAGGGAGAAAGGGAAGACCGAGACGGAAAACCACCACTTACAAACGAGAGAGGTTCATAACCTCTCCGCTTTCCGGGGCTTGGGGCTGGCATTCGTGAAAGCTATGGCGGGGGGGTTAATGCGCAGATGGGGTTTGATTTCTTGGGGATGGCGTCTCGACCAGAGACGAGGCTACAAAGAGACAAAAAAGGACGAGGCATATTCATGGGTGCGTTGCAGACGCGGAGCTCCCCACGGGGCTTGATGGTTCACTACCTATGCAGCAATGCGCACAGGGCAAGCCATTTCAACAAGCTGGGAGGTGGGAATCGAGAGGCTTGTACCATTGTTCCTGCGCGGCGGCATCGCACAGCATCTTGAGAAATGGGGCTGCAGAACCACCACATACATATTTTGGGCCTTTCGCACGTCAGAGCGAATACCACATGGCCCAAAATACCAGAAACACGAGGATGTACAAAGTAGAGCCGTACCGCACAAGGCAGGTTTCAACCTCCTGGAGATGGAACGATGCTAAGGGGTAGCGACAAACAATTTCCATTTGCCTTTCCTCGTTCTGCTGCCGAGACACACTCGATCAAGAGGGTTTTGGTTGACAAAGACCTCGATATGTCGGCATCTTGATATCATGCTTATACAATCCGAGGAACCATATCCAACCAGCCGTGCAATCAAATCTTCCCAACCTGTACACCCTTCACATCTATGTCCCCAGCTAGATCCGCATTCGCCGTCTCCCCTCTGCCGGCCCTTCTCTTTTTAAGAACATTCTCGATAAACGCTTCTCCCGCTTTATAACTGCTCCTCACCAACGGCCCACTCGCCACATATAAAAATCCCATCTCCAGCGCCCTAACGCGCCACTGCTCAAAGACGTCCGGCGTAACGTACTCGTGCACAGGCATGTGTCTCTTTGTAGGGCGCATGTACTGTCCAAAGGTGACAACATCAACATCAACAGCGCGCAGCTCTTTCAACGCATCCCAAAGTTGGTCCTCCGTCTCCCCAAGGCCCAGCATTATGGATGTCTTTGTGATCAGACCAGGTTGCGCGGCTTTGGCGGCTTTCAACACGCTGAGGGATTGCCGGAAAGTGGCGCGGCGGTCGCGGACCTGCGGCGTCAATGCCTCCACAGTCTCGACGTTATGCGCATATACGTCCAGACCCGATGTTGCGACAAGTTTGACCATCTCCAAGTCCCCTGCGTAGTCGCCAGTAAGACACTCGACCAAGATAGTGGGCGCTTTGGATTTGATCTTGCGAACCGTCTCCGCGAAGTGGTGGGCTCCACCGTCCGCGAGATCGTCTCGGTCAACACTGGTCAGGACAACGTAGCCCAGACCCCATCGCGAAAGAGCTTCGGCTGTATGTTCCGGTTCGTGCGGATCCAACGGAGGAGGGGCCTTTGAGGTCTTGACACTGCAGAAGCGACAGCCTCTCGTACACGTATCGCCCATCAACATGATCGTCGCCGTGGCCGCAGACTTGCTGCTTCCTCCCCAGCAGTCTGAGATGTTGGGGCATCGAGCCTCCTCGCACACAGTGTGTAGATTCAAGCCGCGCAAGTCGTTCTTAATCTTCTTGTAGGAGGAGCTGTCGGGAATCGGCGTTTTCAGCCATGACGGTAGGCGGGTGATTTGTTTCTGCTTGCCCTTAGGCCCGACGAGGGCAGTTTTTAATGCATATGCTTCCGAAGGTTCTAGCGGTGGTTCTTTTCCTGATACGAAATCTGAGAATGAAGGGCCTGCATTGAGCTTGTCGGCAAAGGTAGTCGCACGCACTCGTGGTTTGCTGGTGGGAAGGTCATCAGTCGTGGTGGCGAACGTCCGTGACGTGGTCGATGCCGACGTCGAGGCGGAAGGAAGAAAGACTTTGAACGGAGATGACCATGGGTGGCCGTTCAGGCAACGGTAACGAGGGACTGCAGCGGCCATGGTAGGGAGCTGCGCTGATGATGAGAATGATGTTCGTTGAGATGTGGCGGGAAAAAGGGCGTTGACATATGGTCATCGATTGAATGGCTGGACAGGCACTTGCTGCTTTTACAGCCCTATTTCTTGTGGCGGCAACAAAGCCGACACGGCCAGGCTTGCGATTTTGTGTTTACATAGGGAAAATACACCATCTTGAACCATTCCATCTAACCACCACCACAACCGTCCTCAACCCATCCTCGGGTTTCCTCCTCCCACTCATACCGGACATATTGAAACTCATACTAGGACCGCCAATCCCCACGTCATACAAGGAAGAATACTGGACCTCACCCCACCCGCAGGCTGATCGCTGATTTCGAGTTGCAGGGTGCGTATCGTTACTACGCCCGAGGGGGCCAGTACCTTCCTTGGGCCTTCTCACGACTTGACGACCTCCTGTTCGCCTGTCATGAACATGATGCTCGCCTTGATCAAGACACACAACACATCGAGCTCATGCTGGTCCCTTGGAGCGTACACGATGAGGAAGGTGTCTCCAATGCCCCACATATTCTTCAGGCCACCAAACCACCACGGCTGAGTCCTAGCAGATCGATGTCGTTGAGCCCAACCTCTTTCGATGAGGATTTTAGCGTCTGCTGGCGAGAAGTAAAGGTGTAGTGAAGTGTCTCCGTGGATATGCCCCATTTCACCGTTGGCGATGGTTGCAATTTCCGGAAGGTTGTCTGGTTTGGCAAGTATGCCTGGATGCACGAAGAGAGCAGAGTGATGTTTCTCGACGACGGAGAGCCTTTGCTGCAGTAAGTTGGGGTTGTTGTGGACAAAAGACGAGAACAAGGCAAGTACGCGCTGTCCCAAGGTCAGTTTCGAAGCCACCACAGCTGAATAACGTCCTGGTGTTCCGGAGCCACGCGATGCCTGATGCTCACTCACCGAGTTCATTTCTTGCCCTGGACATTGACTAAACTGTCTTTGAGGAGCGATGCCCAGTATGACTGGCCGTTCACCCCTTCGATCTGGTAATGCCATGATGTCCTTGTGAGCCCCATGATCTGGATAGTCTCCAGTCCATATGGTATCCCGAACGGCGAGGGTGAAAGGTCTGACCAGAATGTGGACTTTGAACCAGCCGAAGATGTCATGAGAGGGTCCCCCGACTCCCAACGATTTGAAGAAGCGGTAGTCTTGTATGCACCACCAGAGGAAGCTGGTCAAAGAAAAAAAGACCGCGACGTAAGAGAGGACTGGAGTCACCCTCTGGAGGGCAAGAGCAGTGGGAGGATGCGGTTCGGTGACGTTGGGAAGGCTATAAACATCCATGGTTGGGGATTCAGGGAAGCAGGTAGGGTTGGGAGGAAAAAGAGAGAGCAGATAAAGGTACTCGACTAGCAGATTTTATATGCGAGAAGTGAGATGGAGCGGGCGGTGTGATTATGGTCGACTTGAGGGCCAGTTGAACGCCGACGGGCTCAGATTTCCAGGCTGCGTTGTTGAAATGCATGTGAGGTCTCGAAAAGAGGAGAAAGTAGCACACTGCATTCGGGAACATAGCACGTATCGGAAGACCTACCGCCAAACTAAGAAGCCAACGGACGGTCAGTCTCACACAAAGTAGCAGGAGGGAAGAAAGGGCGGTCCATTGGGAGGAGAGCAAGAGGAATGACGAGGCAACATGATCAGATGTAGCAGGACCTGAGTGTGGACCCTCATTTGTCTCGCCGGAGGATTGACTGATGCCCAGTGACGCAGGGCAGCCTCAGAATATGCGTGAGGTCACTTGGACACTCGCGATTTCTCGTATCGTCCTCATTCGAGACGTGCAGCTATCCATCAGCCCGCGTCTTAGTTCGACTTCTCCGCAACGCGTGGAGTGAGTTCCTGGCCTGGCTTCCTCGAGGAATAGCCTATAACTGACGGGCGATAGCCGACGGTATTTTGGCAGGGCATCGGGGCCTGGGAATCGTGGAGGAGGTGCTTATATTCCCCTTCAGAAAAAACCCAACAGGTTCAGGGTTTTCCCTTGTTTACTGGGACGAGCGGGCAGGGGACGTGGGGGAAACTCAGCTCGAGCGTGGTGGGAGCGTGGGTGGTGCAGAGACGCAGGCTTGGAGACGTTTAGTTTTCTGCACCATTTTCCGGAAAAACCGGGACTTGCCTCGCCAGGCACCATGCATCCACCCAGAAGAACCCAGGCACGGCGGGAGATGCTGGGCTCAGGCAAGGACTCTCCTGCAGCTAAAAAGTCACGCGGGATTTTGTCCAGAGGCACCAAACGAGGGCATGCCATGACATCAACCGGGGATGGTTGGCGGCATGGACCTCCTCTTCTCGCTGCATAATCCTCCGAGTCTGTTGTGGTTTTTCTCCGCCTATCAGCTCGACGACGGGTTGTGCTAGAGAGGGACCTGCGTGATTTCGAGTGGGCTGCGTCCCAGACGACGGGAGGGAGGTTCAAGGCACCAAAAGCCTGCTGTGAAACCTTGGTGAGGTGTTCTTGCCACCACGAGCAACCCGAGATGGATGCTCACGCGACGTGCAAAAGCCCAGTGGTGGTGTTACTACCAAGAGGTCAAAATCAGATTGCCATGAGGAAGAGTTGCCTGCCTGTGTGGCCCCACAGTGAACGCTCGCCTGGGAGGTGAGCAACCGGCCTGGGAAGGGAAACCAACGATCAGAGTCTGGGGTAAAGTGGCCGAAAGCGAAGCCAGGCACAGAAATAGGCTGTGGCGCTCGTTTACTGGGACGGACGAGTCGAAGAGTAGGGAAAAGTCCCTCATGACCGAATTAGATGGAGGCGTTTGATGCCATGGTGGTGTCGAAGCGTGGCATTGATGAGGCTGAAAGATAATTGACAGTACTCGGCGAAGCCATCCCCAGAAATATGTGGCGCAGTCTGGCGAGCAAAGGGTACCGTAGTAATAGCAAAGTAGAAGTCATCCACCATGAGCTACAACATCATGTTTATTTGTAAGGTCATTCTGTCTGCTCTTGAACGCAGCGGTATCCTGTCCTTTGAATAATATCAGCCATCTCCAGCATGGCGTGGTGGCGGCCACCTCATCGGTACTGAGTACTCTAACTATCTCAGCGAAAACGTGCATTCTATCTCAGACTGTGGAATTTATTTCTTCAGTCGACTGGTCGGCACTGTTTGTGTACAGAGCACGAGGTATTCAATCCGTGATGCGCTCTTTTCGACCGAGACATTGGATGAAAGTCTAGGCTGCTGAAAAACAGCGATCATCTCATTCACATGTCGCATCGTATCGGCAAAACCGTTTTTCCGCTCCCGCGTGGTTGTGGCAGCAGAAAATCATCCCACCTGCGCTCCCCCTCTCTCCTTTCTCTACTGCTTGAAATCCCTGTTCAGCCCGAATCTTTCCCAGGCCTGGAATAAATCGTTGGATCTCCGAAGAAAGTCCCCCCCTGAGGAGCCCCCAAGGACTCAAAAGAACTGTCCAAAGTCCCTTGGAACCCTGAAAGATATATTTCACGCACCACAACACCAACCAACACGCCCACTATCTGCGTCATCCACCTCGATTTCTTCATCTCTATTGCCCGCTGAAGCCGGGCCTAAACCAGACTAACGGGCTCGCACCGACCAAACTGCGCCTTTTCAACGAAGCCAATTCTTCCCTGCCCCAGGCGACCACCAATCCGACCACTGCGGCGACTGCCTTGTCATCTGGTGTGCTCTCCAACACCAGTGTTTTCGCCTTCATTATTCCATCCCCTGCCTTGCCGATCCACACTATTACATACACTCCGTGCTCCTCGGTGACGACGTCGAAGATCTACCCTCGCGCTTCCCACGCACAGAAACACCAGCCCTTTCCCCCCTTTCACCATCCAAATAACCAGTGAATCAATCCATCGGAAAAATTCACACTCTTCATCCACCTCTCGGTCCATCCAAGTCTTTCACCGTGGCGTCCTCAAGTCTTCAGACTTGGTCTTCTGATCTTCAGCGAAATCTCTACAGCCTTGCCCAACCAGTCCTCCGACATTTACCTGCTGACTTCCACAACAATCTCAACCTTCTTCTGACAGAGTACTCCACCGCCTCCTACACCACCCTTGCCGCCCTCCTCCTCTCCCTCATCTACCTCCTCGCCCGCTATCTCATGAGTAGCTACGGTAGCTACGTCGCCTACGGTGGTCGTAGCGGGGGTTCGCCGTACACGAGCGCCATCGGCGATCCCTATACTCGCAACCTGTCTAATCACTTCGAGTACATTGATGCCGATCATGGCATGCTTCAAGAGCCGCATCGTCACTCCGTGTCCAGATTGCATGAAAATGTCCCGATAGAAGATCCCGATGCACCAGATGTCATCCTGGTGCGATACATGGCCTCGCTGTTTCCCGTCGAGTTCCCTCCATATTCCATCAGCGAAGAGACCGCCTATGTCGGTCAACTGAGAGAAGCCGTCGCCCGATACCTGCAGACGGATCCCAGAAGAGTCAGGCTGGTGTACAAGAAGCGCGACCTCAAGCACGATGGCTATCCCCTGCGGAAATATAACATGAAGCAAAACAGCGAGGTGGCAGCGATCAAAACCGAGGCTATACTGGACTACAGTGACCGAGATAGTCATTCCTCAGGCGGCGAGGACGTTCCTGAGCAAAACCCTCGACGCCGGCCACGCGCTGTGTCCTCAGTCCGACATCGTAGCGACGAAAATCTGCCACAGCAGAGACCCTCGGCGTCCTCCAACTTCCTCCACCCCAATGGCCATCTTTCTTCTGGGACAGCATCGGAACGACAGTCACGCACTAGCTTGCGCCCGGAGCCTGATGAGCGCCCCCTACGACGAGAGCCGTCTCGCACCAGAGGAACTTCACCCCACCCGTCCACGAGTTCGACACCCATTCCAACATCACTGCCGGCAGCAGATCCGAACACCCCATTGGGGAAGTTACAAGCTCTTTCAGATAAATACCACGAGCAATGGCTTCCCCTCTGCCGCAAGTTTATCTCTAATCCTCCTTCGTCGGCTCAGGACCGTGAGAAAGAACACCGAAAGTTGAGTGAGAGTGTCATGACCCATATCATCCTTAAAGCGGACGCAATTGACGTGGATTCCACCGAAGCACGCGGTTTCCGGAAAGGCCTATTGAACGAAGTCCAGGAGACGATGAAGAAGATAGATGCTGTGGCAAAAGGATGAACATCGTTTGTTTGGTTAAGTTTGCATCGCTCAGGCGCAGGAAATGCTAGTGTGTTACCGGTTGGATGGTTGTCTTTCGCTGATACTTTCTGCATGAATGAGCATCAAGTGTTTCATTGGACGAGTGGATTGGCTGTCGAAGACGACTTTTGCATGGGATGTGCGGCCAGGAGCAACGAAGTGAATGATAGAGACTGTTTACCGGCCAACCACGGAGCATTGCATGGAGGACAGCATTACAAAGCACATAAGATGCGTGGACATCCGAGCGAGTAACATTGGCACATAATAATTGGACTCATCGATCACCTCCCGAGCTGTTCTGAACGTATGTGCAAAATCCCAGGCTGCCGGCTGCGCCGGTGTCAAGGGGGGCTAACGATGCATGTCCTGTGCGTCTTCCCGCATCCTCCTCGAGATTGATATGATGATTTCTTTTTCTCTATCGTGACGGCGGAGGAACCGCTGGTGAGTCTCGTATAGGGACCGAATATGCAGGAAACACGCGGACTAGTTCAATTGCAAACATGAGGCGATGCACATAGGCGCAGATGTCCATAGAGTGCCGATAACCTTGACCATGTTGATTGCATGTGCTTGGTTAGCGATACGTCGTGGCCACGGCCTGTCGCAAGGCTGCACCGCGCAAGGCTGCGGGCCGATCGCGTCATAACTTCCCACATTTCAATGATCCAGCTCCTCCACTCGCGTGTCCTCCTTTCCGATCCGTCCGATACAGAGCCATGCTGCCATTAAGGAGTCTCTAATAGTTACGTCTCCAAATTACTTATCGACGCCCATTCCGCCGCCGCTGGAAGGGTCGGCCCCGAGACGCGTCTCGACGCGCCAGTCTCGCATCCCACTTCGCCGATCCCAATATCAAAGGAAACCTCCACACGCGTGCTCGGTCTCCATCCAGTCGCCGGCCAAGAAACAACGCGGGCAGCCTCACTGCCGCTCAACCTTTGGTGAGGCTGAAAGTGCCGCCTTGGCCTTGGTGCGTGTCGGCAACGAACATGCAGATCCAAGGCCCGTGAGGGCAAGAAATAAATTATTGATTGCCATGATTGAAATTGGGCTTCCTTGCACAAGGCGACAAGTCACGATCCCGGGGAATAAATCAAGCTAAAATGGGCCAATATAGCTAAATCTCTCACGCTCATGGAGGATTTATCGACGAGGATGCAATTCTGAGGACCAAACAATCTATTCGCGTCGCTTCGATTCGTGTGGAAAGATGATTGCCCTCGCCTGTGTGCGCGTGTGAGAGAGTGGTATATCAAGACTGCAGGCCTCCAGGATGCTCATCTTCATTCCCTCAATCACATTGTCACAGTGTCGTGGTCAAAGAGCTTTCATTCCTTTCATTGATCTCCAGACTCTTGAATAAGTCGGCTTTGTGCTTTGTTCAGCCTCTTCAAAGGTCTGCTCCAACACACTACTACCGTCCAGGCTTCTTGTTCTACCCAAGAACAACTCAGGCATCATCAGCTCGCAGTCTCTCACTGAAAGAAGCTTAAACTTCGTCCAACATCGATCAGCATGCGCTTCACAATCCTCACACTCTTGACCATTGCGGCCTCCGCTCTTGGCCAGGAAGGCGGACCAAGATTCCCCATGAACCGCACCCACGGCGTCAACCACGGCGCCAACCACGAGGGACATGGAAACCACCCTCGCGGTGAAGGGCAGCGCACCTGGGGCTATGCTCCCTCCGGCCACCCCCACGGCCCACCAGCCTTCGTCAAAGGCATGCCCGTGGGCAAGGGCTGTTTGAACAGTACCAGCGTCGACTACCTGGTCAAGGGATACACCTACCTCCTCCAGTATCCCGGCGGAGCAGACTTCAACGAGACAGCCGACGACATCCTCTCCGACAAGTTCGCCGTGTGGAGCGACTCGATCAACACCCTTGGGAACCGCACTGTAAGTTCAACCACTCCGCTCTCTTACCTCTTTCCCGTTCTCTTAAGAGTTCATTCTCCTAACCCAAACCCGCTGAATAGCTCGGAACACCCGCGTACCCCTCCCTGCAGGCCTTCATCGCCTCCCAGGCGGTGACCCCGCCGCTGCCGACGGTCGGGACCCTCTCGACGTCGTACACATGCGACCAGATCTTCTGGCGCTGGAACGCGACCGGGATCGGCAAGGACGCCATGCGCGTCCAGGGCATGATCCTCTTCGACGTGGACGTCGCCGCCGTCCAGATCGACACCGTCTACTCCGAGTTCAACACCGCCGCTTTCTGGGTCGACCTCGGCAACCCGGAGTGTCAGGCCAGCAAGTAAACAGGCCGCGGGAGAAGTGCTTGGAGGGGAGAGAGGGACTGTGAATCGTGTGAGTGCGCGCGTGTGTCGTGGAGTGCGACAACGCTCGAAGGAGCAATGCTTTGAAACGCGGCGACCCTTGGTTCACCATCATGACGCTGAAGAAATGACGATATGGGAGATCGACTATATCATTCGGGGGATGTCCACTTGTGTCGAGACAGCGACGAACCGGTGGGATTAGCCGTTCAGGGGCAGCAACGAGATCAAAGCATGGTTTTTGCCTTGATCAGGGAATCACACGAGGGAAGGAAAGCTCTGGCCGTCACGCGTGGCCGGGACGCCGTTGGGAAGGGCCGCCCAGGGGCTTGACGCAAAATATGGGTCTTCTCTCTCTCGCAAACTCGACAAAAAAGAGGCATACGAACGGTGTTTTTGGTCCAGAGGTCGTCCTTGCCTGCAATGGACCGGTTTTGAAGTGTTGGAAGCTCCTGGTAGCACACCCCGAAGACAACTTCAAGGGTTTCCTCCAGGCCGCGTGACCGGTGATCCCCCTTTATTCGCGCGGACAAGACGGGAAAATGTGATAGACATGACACAGAGGGGGAGGTGATGAAAGATAATATCCATTCCCTCCTCAGGCCATGTTTTCGATCCATCCACCCATCTATTCAGATAGACAAGCAAAAGAAGACCGAATAAATCATTTGCATTAGCGACAGGTTTCAAGGTTGCGAACTGGGTGACGCGTTGGAGAGGGATGGGACCATAAGTACATCGTTGCGCACTGCTCGTGCTGCTTGGTATATAGACATGGGTAAGGACAAGGGTAATGTGCAGGCCGGAAGATCGCGCATAAGACGCAATTAAGATGGGAAGAATCTACTACTCCCTACACTGTACAGCAACGAGACATGCATACCTTGAACACAGACTCGACGTACGTTGTATCCCCTCACGCCGCCAGGCTACCATACTCATTCAACAGGACGACGCTTGGAAACAACCATATGCGATCCACCTGTCCCGGGTATCTCGCATTCCACACCGCATTTTCATCCAACTGCTTTCATTCGTTTCCTCGTTCTTTGCTATATCCTCATCTTGCTAAGCCGTAACTGCTAGGTCGCGGAATCACATCTCTGATAATACTCTCGCTAGGAAGTCTCGTCTGATGACGGCGCCGAACCTGCAATGATAAGACAGAAAGAGACAGATCAGCATTGAGGACGACCATGGCATGATACGAAAACGGATCCTCGTCACAGATGGAGGGAGGAGTGATTGGCTCGCTGGGCGGGTAGGTTGAATGCGTCGAGGCAATGTTGGGGATCGCGGGAAGGGAGAAAGAGACACACCACTGTCGCAAGAGAAAAGGACTGATTGGGGAAAACACAGAATTAGACTTGTCTTTCCCTTCTTTACTTACCCGTAACATTTAACGTGTGTGACCAACTTCTCAGCCATTTGGTTCAAGCCTTGCACTTTCATCGACGGATAAGCCGCCGACTGCCGGACACAATGCCATACTTGGACCGGCGTCAATTCCGAGGCCTGGTCGATGGGCAAGTCGTCGGAGATGGCCAGGAGGCGTTCAAGGGTTGCTTTTGGGGCCGGCCAGGACAGGGAGGGGGAAGAGGAACTAGGAGACGCTATTGCTGGTGATGAGAGTGGTGAGGCGTATGTGTTTGCCTTTGCGTATGAGGTCGAGGTAGGCGGTGATAGCAAGGAGGATGACGACGGGGAAGAGGATGAAGGAGACGGATAGCAGCATAGAAGTGCCGCCGAGGCCGTGTGGACGTGGCCATGGGGAGAGCTGCTCGAGCTGGAAGGGTTGTTTTCGTCTTCCTCGTTTTGGTGCAGGTGGGGGAGACACGGAGATTCGAGCCTGTTCATGTTCTCAGTGTGTCATCCGACGGCTAGGGGTTGAGATAGCACTTGGTGGGAAGCATGGGGAGGATGTGGAAGATGGGATGGACCTGACACTGCTACATACTTGAGCACAAACTCCATCGCAACAACCACGGTGTCGAGCTGGGCCACGAGAATTGTCATCGCGCTTATATCTTTGCCTAGAGAGGCTGGGGTTGGCGCATTCCTGCCGACGCTGGGTGGCAGAAAGCCATAGTCTTGCCTTTGCTGGACGTGCATCTGAACTGGCTGGCCATTCCTCGTTTCGATCCAGACAAGAGTGCTGCTATAGGAGCTGCTGCCGACGGATGCACCAGGTCCACCCTCAGTAAAACCATTGGGCGGCGAGAGGTAAGCCGGCCTCACTGCGCCAGCTATCCCAGATGCGAGATTGGGTTCATCTGAGCTATGCATATAGCCGGTCCTGTTCGAATAGGCGTAGTCCCAAGGAGTCGAAGGAGTTGACTTGCGCAGCTCGGCCTCGCACTGGGCAAGCTTGCTTTTCGTTGCAGCCAGATCTAGCTCAAGCCGGTCGACTTCGCTCTGTAGCCTTGCTTCAGTGACTTGAAGACGCCTGACGGATTTCTCCAAGACGCGAAGGTATTGGTCTCGTCTTTCGCGGAAGGTCCTGACGAGTACTCGCGCAGACCGAGTCAGTCAGTCCAATCGTGTGTACCGCGAAGATGTCAAGATCGCCGCTGTCTGATTCGCGTGGTGTAAGATTACTTACTTTTGGGCCTTGCGCAATTGCTCGCGCCTGTTCGCGACCTTGTCTAGATAGAATTCTGCGTAAGAACTAGGTTTTCCCGGAAAGTGTTCTCTGGAAGATATGCAGGTACGTACCCTCCACAGATCGAAAGAAGGGCCGGAAGATGTCCGACATTGTCGCGTCTCAGAGCGAATACAAATGTCGTGGTCGCTGATAGAGGAGGAGCTGGAGGAGCATGATAACGAGGACACAGGCAAAGACCTGCAGTCGTAGAAGTCGATGAAGCAATGCAACAGCATCCCAGACAAGGAACATGCGAGTTGGAGGCGGCTGTCTGCCGTTTCGCTTGCGTCTCGGCCCCGCAACCACAAGCCTCTCCAACGTCTCCGGCCCCTGGATTCGATGCCTCGCAAGTGGAGCGTCGTTGGAAAGGTGGCGAGGCAGCCCCTGATGGATAATCATTTTCTTCCTGTTTGAGATTAGCCAGGCGACTGCGTAGCCGAAGCCACGCACGGGCTTGATCCGATCAGGAAATAAAATATTGGGTAATCCCGACCAAGGACAAGGAAGAGTTCAAAAGCCGTTATAACAACGGACACCGCTTTCCAGCCCGTTGAGATTGCACAGGAGCACAGGTGCCGAAGTCAGTGTCTCCGAGAGGCTTCAAGGAGTGTTCCGATGGAGACCTCAGCCATATCCCGCGGTATAAAACCTGCAGTAGGTACGCATGGAAGAGAAGGATCATTCAACTTCCCGCAAGAACAACACTGCCCATCTGAACCCACTGCATCATTCCCTTGCGACAAGTTGCAGCAGCAAACATGCTGAACAAGCTCCTTCAATCCTCGCTGCTTTTGGCGGCATCCATTGGCTCCATCCAAGCCGCGCCATCACCGCACTTGGGCAAGTGGGGGAAAGGACTCGCTCAAGCCAAAGGAGCTCGAGCGATATATTTCATAACCAATGACGCCAGTAACTCTGTTGCAGCGGTTCCCGTTGCCTCGAATGGCATGTTATCTGAAGGTACCCTGACTCCAACCGGAGGCGATGGTGGGAATAGCATCAGCGGAACCACGAACGAGCCTGCAGCTCCTGACGCTTTGATCTCGCAGTCTGCTTTGACAATCGCTGGGAATGTAAGAAAGCCTTTGCAGTGTTGGAAATCGTGATATATGGAAACGTTGCTGACGTTCGACCAGAATATCTTCGCTGTCAACGCCGGGAGCAATACCTTGTCAATGCTGTCCATTGACCCTCAGGACCCAACGAAGCTCACCATGATTGGTGCTCCTGTCAGTCTCCCAGGTCAATTCCCCAACACGGTCGCCGCGTCAGCCAGCAACCGACTTGTTTGTGTCGGTACCACCGGAGTCACCAATGGCGTCTCCTGCTCGTCTTTCTCCAAGAAAGGTCTCAGCGCGATGGACAGTCTGCGCTCATTTGACCTTGTTCAGACAACTCCTCCGGTTGGCCCGACAAACACGGTCTCACAACTGTTTTTCTCCGAAGACGAGTCTCGCCTGTTCGCGACGGTCAAGGGCAATCCTGCAGTCAATAACACGGGGTTCTTCTCGGTATTCTCCGTCGAGGGAGGCAGCTGGCATTCGAAAGCAAGTCTTTCGACGATGGACACCCGCAGCTCCCCGGCAGGAACGGCCGTGCTTTTCGGCTCGCAAAACATCGCTGGAACATCCAACGTCTTTGTAACCGATGCATCCTTTGGAGGTGCTGTGGTGTCGGTGGACCCAACCAGCGGCACGGCGTCGACGGTGGCAAAGCAGGTGATCGCGGGTCAAAGTGCCACCTGCTGGGCGACCATCTCTCCCGTGACTGGGACTGCATTCGTCGCGGATGTGGGCGTGAATCGTCTTGTGGAAATGAGCTTGACAGACGCCAGCATTGTTTCAATTCTGGACCTCTCGGCGAATGGAGACCCTGGACTCATCGACTTGAAAGCCGCAGGCAACTTCATCTATGCTCTGTCTCCGGGCAATGGGACTACGCCTGCAGCTGTGACTGTGGTGGATGTCTCTGGAGGGCCGGGGTCGGCGAAGCAGGCTCAACATTTCCAGTTGGCCGCAATGGGTGTCGACAAGAACGCGCAGGGCATGGCAGTTTTTTGAGTTGGACTACCTCTAGACAGTTGAGAGAACCCCAGAGGTTCCTGATGGATCGTTGGTGATATCTTGTGGCCAGAATCTCATTTTGCTGTGGACTGCTGCAGGCATCGAATGGTTGGATTGCGCGGTCTAGTATGTAGGTTTCCCGTCATGATGCCAGGTGCATCACTGTGGATTTTTGGAAGGCTCCAAGTTAGTGTGGAGCAATTCCGTCCTCCTCTTCTTGCTGCTGTTCCTGACTTGGTCGAAGAGACCTCGGAGGATCTTGTATGATTAGGGCGAAGTTCGGATCCGAAGTGGTGGGAGCTGGTGTGAGCAGCAAGCCTGCCTGGGCCTCAGAACACCTCTCATGTAGATGGAGAATCGGATCCTAACCCACTGTAACATTCGACCCCAGACTTTCTCTTCGCTTCAGGGCCGATACATCCCCGCAACAACGTGGGCACTGATGAACCTCCAGAAGTTGCCATGAGACGGCGTCGCTGGCCTCGGGCCTTGGACAAACGGACCAGGAGCAATTTGTGGGGTTAGTGAGTGACTCGTATATCCCCGCATTCCCGGATTTGTGGGAAGAGGAGGGCGCGGGTGGATAAGGGACGACGTTCTCTCCAGTTGTGGGAAGATAAGATGCTGCACTCGAGGTCTGGGCCCAGGATGCCACGGGAAGTTTACCTGTGGCGGTCTGTTAGTGAGATGGCACAAGACTGTAACCTAGGTAGGTAGTCGGAGGGATTGCCGCCGCCCCCTCTCCTCCGGGGCCTGTAGTGCTGATATTCCGTGACTGTGTCCATTTCAGCCTCCTGTTTCGACTGGTATTGCAATATATTGCAGCTTTGACAGCCTGCCACCTGCCAACACATCACGGTGATACCTTTTGCCAGGAGGTAGCAGATAAGAAGGGCGCAGGCGAGGCATGGCCGGTGGCAGCGAGCAGGTCTGCCAAGTCGGGTGAAGCGCAGTCTCGCATCTGCCCTCGACGTCCCACAAAACACCCAAGCAACTCTGTACCACTTCCCACCACAAGTCCACTCCTCCAGTCCTGCAAATGTCCACTTTCATCCCTGCTCCCCGCACACAGAACGGATATCCCGAGCCTATCAGACGCGATCGTCATGGCCTGCATTGGGCACGCGGTAATGTCGGTCTAGTCATCGCCTTGCAACTACAAAGTCGCTACTTGTCCCTTCCTGTCGGGTGACATGATCGTTGTGACCTACACCATCTACCGGGTCCCTGGGAGAGTGCATCATCGACTTTTACACAGAAATGACTTCGCACGCGGTTGCCGAGGGCGGCGTCGGCAAGGCTGCTCAGCCTAATGGAGCCGAGCTGGTTTCGGTCGAGGAGAAGAGGGAGCTCTCGAACGAGAAGCAGATTGAGGATGTGGACTCGAATGATCAGAACCTCCACTATGATGAAGTGGACGAAGAGCCAGAGCTTCATGCACGTACTTATGTTGCCCTCTTTTCCATGTTCCTCTTGAACATGGTTCAAGTGGTGGCTCTGCAGGGGCCTCCGGCGGTGGTAAGTGTTTCGTCCATGATCGGGCATGTCGTGAAATGGTGCTAATCGCCTCGATAACAGCTCGACTTTATTGGCGATAGTCTCAACAACTCGAAAACCCAGACTTGGGTCCCCAATTCTCTTTCGCTTGTACAGGCAGTCCTGGGGCCTGTCATTTCTCTCACCTCGGACACCTTTCAAGCTCGAAAGAGCATCCTCGTGGGCTCGTCCCTAATCTCTCTCATTGGGGCTGCGATTGCTCCGGGCTCGGGCAACATCTACAGACTGATCGTGGCCCAAACATTGATCGGCTTCGGCTTTGCGGCAGTCCCGTTGGCATATTGCGTTCCTAGCGAGATCTTGCCGCGGAAATGGAGGCCGAGTAAGTGAAATGTCCACCCCTGAGAGAGTTGACTGACGAATGTTTGTAGTGGCACAAGCATGCATGAACGTTGCCGCGGCACTGGGTGCTATTCTCGGCCCCATGTCTATTGGTTCCCTGACGAAGCGCAATCCAGTGGACGGGTGGCGCAAGTTCTACGTACGTTACAAGGCTCTACTATATCCTCATCCTCTGAATGAATGCTTACCGGTCGTAGTGGATTCAAGTCGGACTCTGGGGAGCGACGGCTGCGGGCATCTTTGTCGGGTATAGACCACCAAAGAGACATACCAGGCTCGACCACCTCTCTTTCTGGCAGAAGCTAGGCCACATCGACATTCCCGGCTGCTGCCTCCTTACTGTCGGCTTGTCTCTGTTCCTGACTGGCCTCAACCTCGGAGGCAATTTGTACGCTTGGACCAACTCGCGGACACTTGCGACTCTCGTGGTGGGAATTGTCGTCCTCATCGCTTTCGGCATCTACGAGTGGAAGGGCACCAAGACCGGCATCATGAATCACACCCTGTTCCGTGGTGGTCGAGCGGCAGGTCGTACCTTTGCTATCTGCGTGGGCCTGATCTTCATCGAGGGCATCATGCTGTTCTCATACATTGTCTTCTACCCTGTTTTGTGAGTCTCACTCCCAGCAACCCGGCAACGTCAGGCACTAACAAGCTTTCAGAACATCCTCTCTCTTCGAAACGGATCCATTGCTACTCGTATCTCGAGAAATGCCCTTTTGGGTGGCCGGCGGTATCTCCACGGTGATCTGGGGTTATGCCAGTACACGGTTCCGCACCATCCGTGAACCGCTCTTCCTGGGTTACTTGATCTTCACTGGGGCAATTATCGGATGGACCACGATTCAACCCAAGGACAGCACCACCGCTGTGGTGATGAGTGGTCTCGCGGGATTCGGGTTTGGGGCACCGCTGATCCTGATTATTGCCGGCGTCCAGCTCTCGACGCCACACAGCCTGATTGCGACGGCCACTGCCGTGACGACGTCGTCTCGAGCAGTGGCAGCCACGGTCTTCACGGCCATATACGCCGCAGCGTTGAACACCCGGCTCACCACCAACATCCCCAACGGCGTCGGAGGGGCGGTCGCGAAAGCCGGCCTCCCCGCGAGCTCCATTCCGAGTTTCGTCCAGGCACTTGCGGCGGGCCAGACGGACGCTCTGAGCAGCATCCCAGGGGTGACTCCGGCCATCATCGCCGCCGGCGTTGCGGCGCTGAAGCAAGCCTTCGCGGACTCGATCCGGGTGGTGTACATCATCGCCGCGCCGTTTGGAGCGCTGGCGTGCATTGCGTGCCTGTTTCTGGGCGATTTGCGCAAGACGATGAACTACGTGGTGGATGCGCCGGTGGAGGATCTGCACGCGAAGAAGCACCATCACCACGACCAGCGTCGGGAGAGCGAGCACGCGGCCTGAGGTGGTTTGCTGTCATTGAAGCCGGAGCTGGGACTCAGAGACGGGCCAGAGACGGGCCAACAATATAGAAAGCAATGCTTGGGTAGGACAAGGATGATGTCCTCCTGGGCCTTTCACCGAGATATTCTCAGATATGCGGATCGTGCACATATACGCAGGGCTGTAGAGCGAGACAACCACTTTGATCACCGTATTTGGTCTTGCCTTCACAAGCCGGAACCGGCCTTTTTAATTTGTTTCTACTTTTCATATTCCCCTTTAAATGATGCATCCATCCATCCATAATAATCTCAAGTGAGGATGAGAACTAGAACGCGAATGAGAATCAGCATTCAGCTCTGGGAGGGCCGTCTCGCCCACATCGCCCTTCACCGCTGCGCCCAGCCCTTGAGCACCCCGTTCCTCGCAATCCGTATCCTCCCGGCCCTTTTATATATATTCTTCCAGTCCTGATGTCGATCTCGATCTCGACCCCGGTCTCGATCTTCTGCTGCTGCTGCTGCTGCTCCTCCCCCTATTCCCACCGCAGCCGTGCCAGCAGCACCCCCGGCGGCAACAACCACCACCGACGACCCGCGCCGCGAACTCCGTCTGGAGGTGCGGTGGCCCGCGCAGGTCAGGAAGCCCTTGCACTCGGCCCAGCTGGTGGTGGTGTAGATGACAAAGTTGCCGAAGCCGTGCAGCGGGATGCACGCGGCCGAGGTCAGGTACAGACCGTAGATCTGGTGGGTCGGGGAGATGAAGTTGTTGTACACCCGGTTGACGCTGATGGGGACCTGTATTTCCATCGCGCGGATGGATTTGGTTAGTAAAGATTTCATGAATCGGAATTTCTTTAGCGGTGGGAGTAATCGTTCTTGTTGGGAGAAAACGAAAAAAAAGGGAAGGGGGGGGGGGGGGGGATGGGAAGGACTCGTGGGTTCGTTCGGCCCCTTTTATTTTCTTTCCTTTTCTTCTTTGTGTTCCAACTCAAGGGCGTAAAGGGAGACAGATTTAAAAACGACATGCACCCACCCAGGTAATAAACAGCACGATCGTGCACAGGAATGCAAACTTGGCGTATTTCCAGTGGATCCGGTCGAAGCGCGACGACGCCTTGCGCGGCGGGAAAGGGTCCGCCGGGGCCCCGCGCAGCATCGTCTGGTCGGAGCCCGAGCGGTCCAGGGTGACGGTGGGCGAGCCCGGGGTCGCGAAGATGGACGACTCGTGCGAGTGCGACGACGGGCGCGCGGACTGGGACTCCAGGTCCAGCACTTCGCGCGAGTAGATGGGCGCGAGCGGCTCGAAGCCCTTGAACTCGGGCGACGACGGCTCCGGCTCTGGACCTGGCCCTGGGGAGCTGGTGTTGTTGTTGTTGCAGTACGCATTAGATCTATCTGACTCTCTCGTCGTGGTGGGGGTAGCGGCAGACATAAAGGCGCGGGCGAAGGACGAAAAGCGGCGGTCTCGTTGAGGCGGGTTGCCCTCCGGCACGGGGTCGTCGTCCCTGTGCAGAGCACATTCGGCTTTGGCGGATTTGACCTTGCGCCGGACCAGGAGGATCTGCTTGCCGCTCAGGGCGAAGAGGAATATGGCGACCAGGATGAAGCACCTGTTCGGAGTGGTCAGTCTGTCCACATCGCCGGTGGTCATCTCCAAACTCACCAAATCGGCACGTAAAAGGCCACCAGCCGCAGGATCTGCGATTCTTTGGCGATCCAGCACCACATGGTCGCCGGCCCGTAGACGGTCTTGCCATCGGGCTTCCAGCACAAAAACACCAAGGCCGGGATGAACGGGAGAACAAAGGCCGACACTATCGCATACACGTCGACCCGTTTGAGCTCCGTCGCATTTCGTTTGGTGCGGACGGTCAGAAGGACATTGAACGCCATAATCATAACCTGGATCAACGCCGTTAGATGGGGTTTGTCGGGCGACGTGGGATGAGCGTACAAGTAACGGATCCGTCATCACAAACCAATTGATGAAGAACGCCTGGGTTTGACACCACGCCGACTCCCGGCCCGCGTTGATGGGATGAATCCCCCAGCTATACGCCGAACATGCAAAGACATTGGCGACGGCGATGGAAAAGGCAAGACGGTTCACGGGCTTCCGCAGCGGCGGGTAGCTGAGGAAGCTGATGATGGTAAAGGACGAGCCAGAGATGGACAGACATGAGGAGACCCGGGCAGCAATGTCAATGGCTCGTAGCTGGTGGGCGGAGAAGGTCTGGTTGTATTCGGACATGGTCTTTTCGACATGGTCGACTCACGCGGCTTAAGCCATCGAGGTGTTCGCTCGTCGGGAGCAGTCAGCGAAGCGCGAGATCAACAGGCATTGGTCTGCCGTTCGCGCCTTGGGCGCCCCAGGGCGCTGTTTGTGGTGGACTCGGCAGCTTTGGGTGCTGGGTTGCGTGCTCTCAGGGCGTCATATAACCAGTTGAAGCCGCTGGGCGAAGAATCAGGGTTACCACGAGACTGTAAAGAGAAACAGCATGACTTTCGGTGATCGAGGTCGGTTCAGCTGATGGGGTGCCGAGGGGGAATACGAGGAGGGAGACCATTCGTACCGGGGGGGCCGGAGGAAGAGAGCCAGCTGCAGGGACTGACAATGCCGGCGGTGCTGGTGTCTGCGGCGTCTGCGGTGTCTGTACTCGGTAGTGTCTGTCGTGTCTGCTGCGTGTTGACACATGCCCCCCACAGCTCCCATTCGCAGCCAGAGGGAGGGAGAAGTCGGTAGCGATCGCTCAGAAGGATTCAACGGGCGGGGGAGTGACGGCGTTGACCGGGCGTGGCTGGGCCAGTGCAAGCCATCAGCATGATTGCGGCAGGAATCCGCGACAGCGCCATGCCCGTCTTGGGGTCTGTTCGCATGGTGAGCAGAAAGGCTTGATTAAATAATCGCATCAATCAGATGGTTCGGGTCACCGGCAAGAAAAGAAGGGCGAACGAGATTGGGACACCGACCAAGATGCCAGAGGAATGAATGAATGGCCCGGCCAGGCCCTGTCAAGTGGATGGCGGCATGGATTCAAGCCAGAAAGCTGGGGGATGTGACATGGCTGATGCTCCTAGTTGGTGGCCCCCTCCACCTCCTCCTCCCCCTCCGCCACCACCTCCTTGATCTCATCTCCCGTAGTGGGCCTATATAATTAAATGGGGTAATGAGACGCAGGGCCCGCAAGGCTGAAGCTCTCCAGCTGGAGAGTGGGTGACATGCACGAATACTCGATTATAGCAGAACTTGCCCCAGAGTCATAACAGAATCTCTCGCCCAGGTAAGCGCTTACTGAGGTATCCAGGCGGACTACTACTTTGGGCACCACGGCGTGAATAGCAACACATTTACTCGGCAGTCATCCAACAATCGCGACGTAGCACACAACAAGCTGAAAACAACGACGACTCGGTCAGCGGTGCGGGTTTGATGGATGTCTCGAGCCAAACAAGGCCCGAGCAAAATGGCCCCTTTTCTTGGAAGATGCGGTGAGTACATTCGTGGCGAGATACTCTCTCTTATAGCCTCGCGTCTGTCTCTATCAAGTTGGTCTGCCCTTTGTGAATCGAAAACTTCAAGCAATTCGGCTCCAATATCTTTCGGGACTTCACCATGACCCAGGACCATCCCCGTTCCCTCCTCCCACCCATCGACGACCGAATCGTTTCGCCCCGCGATGAAGTAACAGCACTGCTGAAGCAGGATCAATATGACCCCGAGAATGAAGACCTCCGACACATGGTCCAGCAACTGTCGAATTCGGACAGCGATCTCGCCCAGCGCGTGGAGGAGGTCATCGTAGGAACGTCCGCGAAGCGAGAGTACGACCGCGACGTTGAGCCGGATGCCGATGGCGCCGTCGAGATTCTGCCCGACGTGCTGGATTCCGCTGCGCTGGAGGACATTCTCAAGAGCGTGAAGAACCTTCTAACCTTTTCGTGAGCACATCCCGAGCAGCCCCCAGACGCTGTCAAATACCTGCAGCACTGACGCACTTGGGAGTGCAGGTGGTGTGTGAACATGCCGATTCCACCGAATATCCTCGCCCATCTCAGAGAATCACGACGCGACGTCCATCTGCGCGTCCTCAAACGGCAAATGTCTGACGACGCAGCCAATCTCCCCGAGCTCGACTGGGAGTTCTTCACCGCGTTCCCGCTCTCTCAAACCCACATCGACCGGAACGACTTTGGCAGCATCGTCTACGCGTCCAGCGCGAACACGACATCTCTCCGCCTACACCTCCTCGTGCCATATTACCCGGCCAGTGAGGGGCCCGCTGAGGAGGAGTGGATGCGCCGCAAGACGGCCGTTGCGACATCCACGATCGAGTCCCTCCCGAGCCTCGCGTCGATCTACGCCACCGACTACCAGGGACAACTCCCGCTGCTCATCCCGGCCATAGTCCAGCACCACGCATCGACATTGCAGGTACTCAAACTTCACAGTCTCCCCGTCTTCCCGTACAAGCGACCGAACGGGCTGCTGTGTCCGACCGCCGATCAGATCCACCTCCTGGCAACTCGGTTGAGAGCGCTCACGCACGTGGAAATGGACTTTTCCCCCTTCGATCCGACCGAGGGCGGCGATCAGATGATCACACCCTTCGAGTCGCCCTCCCCGACGACCGCGGCGCTGTCGACGCTGGTACACTCTCTCCCAGCGCTCCGGACCGTGAGGCTCTGGATCGAGGTCCCCACCGCCAAATCGTTCTTTCAAGACGAATATACCTCCATGGGGAGCGATCCACCGCCGCTGAAGGAGGACAGACTGTGCCAGGCAGTGGCGAACCTGTATGCACTGCTGATGGAGCGCGGGGAAGGGCAAAGGGAGTCGAGGAAGCTGGAATGCTTGGAGGTGGCCTTCACAAGGCTGGATACGTGGGACCGTCAGGGGGCTTATCCGAGATTCTTGACCGTCAGATTGATTCCCTCACACTCCCCCACGGATATTCCGGAGGGAGGCGGTGACGCGAACAAGGGTTGGCTGGGGGGGTTCACCATGGAGGTGGGCGAATGGCAGGACGATTACGCAGAGCAAGACATCGAAGGCTTCATCGGTCACGCCGTCGGATTCATCCATTAGCATGTAAGGCAGTGATCGTAGTCAATCGAGGAAAAGAGTGTGTTAGATAGGCATATACAGAATCCGTCCTGCGCTACAGCATTTGCGCTCCGGTCGCCTCGAGTCTCGTCTCTTGCAGGTCACTCTACCTTGAATGCCGGCTTTCATGGTGCCAAGTTTGCAAGCATATGGAATGGGATTGGTCCCGAGGCAACTCCCCAAAGCATTACATCCTTCTCGTACTATGTTCTTCGTAGACTCAAGGCGGAGAACTGCTGTAGTTTGTGTGCCAAAGGCAGTGGAGTTGTAGGTAGTTCACGACAGCTATGTCGCAGAGATGACAGAAGTATGGGCCGTGCAGAGTCCACCAGACGCATACCCCTGATAACGAGAGCCCATCTCCTTCCTTTGCGGGAATCTGTACCCAACCCATGGTCAAGCAACTGGTGAAAAGGAATGTCGTTTTGCCAAGGTTGTCGATCCCGGCAAAGAGATAAGAGTTGCTGTGGAACTATGGACTACCCCAGCGACTGTGGGTGGTGCCTCTCCGCATCTTCCACATGGATCGTCCCAGACACGGTAGTGGATATCTTGCAGCACCTCTTCGGACATTCTCCAAACGTCATGGAAAAGGATCATGGCGGACATCTCCAGGCACGGGGCAGATATGGGCGTTATCGGTCCTGCACCCGCTCACGTTGGAAGGCTTTCTCTAAGGCGCGAACCAGTCTTATTGTGCGTTGCTTGTGTAGACTTTGAGTGATTTGCGAGTTGTTGTCGACGACGGGAAATATCTGCGAGATCAATCGACACAATGTCCGAGGACACTTCCAAGCCCAAGAGACGGATCCTCGTGTCATATGGCGTTGACATAGACGCAATAGCAGGGTGGTTGGGCTCATACAAGGGTGAAGATTCGACCAGTGACATTTCTCGAGGTATGTTGAGATCAACCAATTTTGGCTGACATGACACGGAAGCCACTCTCAACGGATGATACGAGAGACAGTCTATAGCAGAGAGCTGACAGAAATACCTTCATGTTCTGTCTGAGTAGGTTACTTCGCCGGCACAGAAGGTGTGAGAAGGTTATTGAAGCTGTTCGACAAATACAACATCAAGGCGTCTTGGTTCATCCCGGGCCATAGTTTAGAGTAAGTGTCTGTATGGACTTAGCACCGACTGAAAACCGGGAGAGATGGTCCTTGGACTTCTTTGCGAGCTGACTTTGGCGCGTCAACAGAACCTTCCCCGAAGAATGTGCTATGATCCGGGACGCTGGGCATGAGATAGGTTTGCATGGATACAGCCATGAGAACCCCGTCGACATGACATTCGAACAACAACGCGACGTCCTGGACTATACGTACCGGATGCTCACAGACTTCTGTCATGGAAAGACGCCCCGAGGAATAGTGGCTCCGTGGTGGGAGGTCAGCAGAGAAGCAACAGAATTGTTGCTTCATTATGGCATTGAGTATGACCACAGCATGAGCCACCACGACTGTCAGGCATACTATCTCCGGACAGGAGACAACTGGACAAAGATCGATTACAGCAAAACAGCTGCAGAGTGGATGAAGCCTTTCACCAAGGGCCAGGAAACTGGGCTGGTGGAAATTCCAGCAAACTGGTATCTGGATGATCTGCCGCCGATGATGTTCATGGTAAGTGGCGGCCGACCTCAACTGCTTGATGGAGCCGATGGAAGAAGTTCCTTGCCATATTCACTTCCGGAAAGCTGACAAACGTGGGCAGAAAAAAGTGCCAAATAGTCATGGATGGGTAAATCCAAGAGACGTTGAAGATTTGTGGCGGGTAAGTAGGAACCGTCCTCCCATCGAGATCCTGATTCTGAGTGTTTCCAGGACCATTTCGACTATTTTTACAGGGAGGAGAAAGAGGGGTTTTACTTTCCCATGACAATCCATCCAGATGTATCGGGCAGGCCGCACGTCTTGCTCATGCATGAAAGGCTGATCGAGCACATTAACAAACACGAAGGCGTCGAATGGGTAACAATGGCGGAAATGGTTGACGACTTCAAAAGCAGACACCAGCCAGTCGAAGGAGCCATGATGCCAGCACCACGGGGAGAGATTCTGTCAAAGGGCCAGAACTAGGAGAGACAGCGTTATGGCCTTTTGTTCATAAACTTCAGGGCACCCCCCAGTTTGGCAACCTTGATCACGTCACGTAAGGTGAGACTAATGCGTGTCTGCCGCCGAGCTTGTCCCGTCTCATAGGGTCGTTGGTCACCGAGGAGATCCCAGTTGACGATTTGTTTGCCGTCCAGATTCTCGTCCGTCTGGATCTCTGAAATGCCGTGTAGTGTGTTCACGTACATTTCGCCCGTGGTCACCAATAGACTCCGAGGCTCTTGCAAGATTCGCCAGGTAGGCTTCGCTTCTCGTTCGCCGGCTTCGTTCTTTTTGTAGATCTCGAGGACAGTGTGACTGCCCAAGCTCACTGTCGCCGTGATTGGGTCGTACGCAGGACCATCTTCGTGAGGCATGATTCCTTCTCCGGGCTTGTATTCATTGATCAGGACGTGATTCGGAGCCTTGTGCGTGGAATTCTCAAAATATTTGCCTTGTTCGAGCCGGGCGACAATCGTATCGAGGTAGGCCGGCAGGGGGCAAGCAAGGAGAGTGTCACGAGCAGGACCGGTCAGGGTTGAGGGCAGAGACAATAGCCGCCGGTGAGTGAGAACAGTCCACCGGGACTCGGGCAGTTTGTGGATGTCGTTGAGGATCTGCTGCTCCTCGGAGGGAGTAATGAAACTGGGGACGTAGTAGCATGAAGGTGGTAACCCTTCGATTGGATCCATGGCGGGAGACGACGCACTGTACTTACAGTTAAGGACACTGTGGACCAAGAAGATGTACATGGGACGTGTAGGAAGGCATGTTGTGGTGGCATTGAAGTCCTGAAAGTGGAAGAAGCACTTCAAGTTTTTGGATTTCTCCAACATCGCAAGCCCAAACCCGATTCGGTTGATGTGAAGAATGCAGCGCCTGGATGCTGTGCCACATCATAACCCAGCAAATGGAGTAACTGTGCAGAAGATAATGAAGAGATGGAGTTCTACTGGTCCAAAGGATAGTAACTTGCGTTCCCTCCGGATGGTTGGATCAATCCCTCTTCAAGACGTCATGACTCCAAGACACCGAGTTGGCCTCGTCCGGTCTTCTCGACTCCTATCAGTTTGTCTCTCAATAACCTGCCTTTGACATGGCCAGCTATGACCTGCGAACCTGTTTCACTCTACCGCCAAACTCTAGCAAAGCGCCAACGTCAATATGACTACGCAATAGCGACAGACGAATACACCCCATTTCTCTATCCATGGGATTCGCTCCCAGCCTTATATCTTCTCCTTGCTATTGCAATCACCCCCAAAATCCCTCCAAGGCCGGCCAGAGCTGCCCGATATATCGCATTCGTTTCGGTTCTCTGCCATGGAGTCTATGTGGTACGCCATCGCCGGACACTCTGGCTCGCGGCTGGCTATGGTATCGGGTTAATGATCGCTTGGGGCGTCATCATGTCTGGAGCTCTTCTCCTGTGCAACGACGTGCGACGAGATTTCCGAAGACTTGAAAAGAGAGCAGTCAAAACAGAGAGTGCAGATTCCGACCCGGCCAAGCTCACAGCGACGTCTTCGCAGCCCGACCCAACCCAAGATGTTGGTATGACGAAGCGGAGGATGCCCAGCTCGTATCCCTTTTCCGGTACGAAGCAATCCTTCCCTCGCTCCAAGAAGCCTCAACCTCCCTCGCAGCCATACAAGCTGGTATGGGAGGGATATCCTTACAATTCGGGCTGGTACCATGTCCTTGACTGGACACTCGACCTGATGACGAGTTTTCGAGCCGTGGGTTGGGAACATCGAATCTCAACAGTAGGGCGGATTGACCCATCGGCACAGCGCGACACACCCGAAAAGGTTTCCGCCACTGGAGGTAGCAGTGATGAAAGCCAGGCATCATCGACTATTTCGCAATATTCGCGGTCTCCTCAATTGAGAGCATTACGAGGGTTTATCACCAACTATCTCCTCCTCGATTTCCTGAAGACGGTCATGGTCACAGATCCGTACTTTCTGGGCATAGCACCATTGGAATCACGCACACCCTGGCGTTGGCTTGCCCGCCTCGATGATGCTGTTCCGATTGCAACACGCTTTTTTCGGCTTGGGATTACGATGTTTGGAGTCGTATCTGCATTGTCGTTAATCTTCAGCCTTAGTCCATTGTTCTTCGCCACCATCCTTCCTGCGCTTGTCGATGTCACAAAGATTACGAAGGCGCCTCTTTTGGAACTGTGGATGTATCCGGTCTATTGGCAGCCATTATCGACCTCGGTCATGTCCTCCGGCCTGGCAGGGTTATGGGGAAAATGCTGGCACCAGATGTTTCGGTTTGGCATCTCAGAACCGTCCAGAGTCTTGATTGAGAGATTGAACCTCGATGCTCGTGTCGACGTTGCGCGAGTCGTCCGGCTTCTGGTCGCTTTCACTCTGTCGGGATCAATCCACGCGAGTGCTAGCTACACAACATTCTCGCTAAACGGCTCTCATCCGTTCTCCGGCCCCTTGTTGTTCTTCTTCCTACAAGGTATCGGTATTCTCCTACAGTCTTTCATAGTCAAGCTCTTACACAGAAACGCTCCGTGGGTCAAAGATCTCCCGTCGGCTGTAGGTCAGACCGTGAACGTGCTCTTTGTGGTCTCGTATCTTTACTTCACAGGGCCGTTATTGGCGAACGACTTTGCAAACTCTGGAGTTTGGCTGTTTGAGCCAGTTCCAATCAGTCTCTTCCGTGGAATAGGGTTGGGACCAGGCGGAAAGGATGAAGGGTGGTGGGTGTGGAATCAGGAAGGCTCGCGATCGATGGGATGGTGGATGGGTGACAGATGGTGGGAGAGAGCGTTGGCGATATATTAGTCCTTTTGGGCAGACGTGCAAGAGAATCCAAGACACTCGAGTGATTGTAATATCGACGTTTTGAAGTCCGCAAGATATTTGGTAAGGAGAGCAAGTAACCGCAGGTGAGGGGGTAGTGGTTGCGGGTGGTCCCCACGTCACTTGATATAGATGTGCCACCGCTACTAATAATAATAGCGATGCAGCTAAATATGTACCTAGCGGATGCTAGTTGGGGCGCCCGCTGCATGATGTCACATGGCTGGAGGGTGCCACGGGCGCCCGAGGCTGCGAGATTGAACCCATCGAATCGAATTTGGGGGCGCCAAACGGGGGCGCCCATCGAGCACCCATCAGCCATCACCCATGCCCAAGGCCAGCTTCGGGTTCCTGGCATTTCGCCATCTCCCATCCTCTTGCATCTACCCACGCCGCCCGCTCCCACCTCCCACCTCCCTCCTAGCCTTTCCCTTGTCACCTGCGTCGTGCCCTTGTACCCTGCTCACTATTCTGCATCTGTTTGTTGCATCAATACGCTGTGCCTTGTATGCTGAATCGAAGCATCCACGACAGAGGACAAGAGGACATCAACAGTGGCATCGACCACCGTACTCTGACTCTCGAATCAGCTTCGCTGTGGCCCAGCGCGGACCTTTTGCACTGTCTTCCCACACAGTCACGCTAGTCAACGTAAACTTCCCGGTGGGCAGCACACACTTGTCAGTCTCGGCAAGCCGTCGCTCCACCAGCTGCGTCTGTGCGGTTCAGTAGGTCCAAAGAGCCCTGCCTCTGCCTCAGAACCCCGGGCCCAGGCGCAGGCTTTGCTCCCTCACGGACTTTCCATCTCTCTCGTCACAAAATTATCGCGACAAGGCCATCCAACTCGTTGGATGCACGTCATTCCCTACGCATTCCATCTCACCTTCCTCAACATCACCTCTTCTCGGCTCACCGCAATAGACGCCGTTTATCCATCCCATCGATCCGATCTCTGAGCGCGGCCTGGAGCTTTGCGCGCTTGTCTCTTCCTATCGGCCGCAACCTTGCCTCGACCGCAGATCCACCCCGCGCCACCTGTTCTGTATCACCTGCACCCGAAACTCCCTCAACTCTGCGCATCTCGCCACCCTGCAAACAGAAACTCGGCAGTTCATAACAGGTCGCTGCCTGCTGATGTTCATTCGTTGTTCTCTCTCCTTCAGTCATGGCAATGCAGGCGCCGCTTGCCAACGACAAGAAGAGAGTAAAAGTTTATGAGCTGCGCGACAATGACTGGTTTGACAGAGGGACTGGATTTTGCACCGGCCAAGTCATCAATGTATGCCCCCCTGGAGCCTCTGTTCCCTCGTAGATTTCGGGGACGCATCGTCGGCGACCAAAACAAAGGACGCGCGCTAATATCTGGGGTCCGCAGGATGAACCGCGCATCTACGTCGAGTCCGAAGACCAGCCCGATCGCATGCTATTAGAAACTCGCATTGTCAAAGATGATGGATATCAGAAGCAGCAAGGTACATAATTCGGAAACAAGATTGAGGATTTGGGGCCAACTGACGCGCTTCTAGACACACTCATTGTGTGGACCGAAACCAATGGCACTGACATGGCCCTCAGTTTCCAGGAGGCCGAGGGTTGTGCAGTGATATGGTACGCGTACCGCTCATTTGGATTGCGCGATGGTCTAACGGTGCTCCAGGGATTTCGTTCACCAAGTCCAGCAGCAATTGTTATCCCTTCCTGGTAAGCGTCCATGCGACTGCGCAAAATCAGTATGCTGAGTTGATATGCAGATGATGGCCTCTCGGACGATGCCCTCGAAAACATCTCAAGCTCCTTCACCCTCAATCCCCCCGAGTTGAATAATCTGGACGAGATCGAACAAAGTATACGACATGCCAGCATAACCCAGGGTGGGCGCGAAGCTCTAGCCAAGTTCTTGATCCGCGAAGAATATCTACTCAAATTAATACCACTGGTTGAAATGGCAGAGGACCTCGAGAGTCTACCGGATCTACACCGGCTGTGTAATATTATGAAGGCCCTGATTCTGATGAACGATAACACCATCATTGAGCACTTGGTCACGGACGACATCATCATCGGCGTCGTTGGAGCACTCGAGTATGATCCAGATTTCCCCACACACAAAGCCAACCATAGACAATATCTTTCGGACGAGTCGAGGTATAAAGAGGTAGTGGAGATCAAAGACCAGAACATCAAGCGAAAAATCCGACAAACATGGCGGCTGCAGTACCTAAAGGACGTGGTCCTGGCGCGCATCCTGGATGATCCCACCTTTGGCGTGTTGAATTCCCTCATATTCTTCAATCAGGTCGACATCGTACAACATCTTCAAGGCAACACAGCCTTCCTGAAGGAGCTTTTCGCCATCTTCAGCAATGACAACACAGATATCAAGCGGAAGGAACAGGCGGTGCACTTCCTGCAGCAATGCGCTGCGATTGCGAAGACGCTCCAGATGCAGTCGAGAGCAAACCTCCTGAACAACTTCATCGCACACGGTCTCTTTTCGGTCATTACTTTTGCGGTAAAGCATCCAGAACCCTCAATGAGGACGACTGGCATTGACATCCTTGTGGCACTTCTCGACCATGACCCCAACATGATGCGAGGTTATATGCTCAAGGCTGTATCCGAAAGGAAGATTCCGCTGACGGATACCCTGATCGACTTGCTGCACGCCGAGACCGACTTGGGCGTGAAGAACCAGCTGGCAGACGCGATCAAAATCTTACTGGATCCGCAACCCCCTTCCAATGACCCCATGGGCAACCGGCAAAATTCCGAATTCATGACGAAACTCTCAAGACCACAGATGACGCCAACTCAGCAAGCAAACGAGCAATTTGCGCAGGACAACTTTGACCGATCGTGTCGAAAATTGTTTCAACCACTCAAGGACCTCGAATCTAGGGAATCGATGCAGAACTTCAGTTATCAAGAGGTTTCGTTGTTTTCATATTTGGTCGAGATATTGACCTTCTTTGTCCGCCAACACTCCATGAGAAGTCGGCCTTTTGTCCTATCTGAGAATCTAGCGCCACGAGTAGCTCAGCTGCTGCAGGTTCCCCAGAAACCGCTGAAACTGACTGCTTTGAAATTTTTCAGGACAGCTGTCTCGTTACAAGATCAATTCTATGCCGCGCAGGTCATCAAAAGCGGAGCCTTCGACGCCATTCTTGGAATTGTCATTGACACGATGCCACGCGATAATCTCCTCAATTCAGCATGTCTGGAATTGTTCGAATTTATCCGAAAGGAGACGATAAAGCCGATCGTTATCCACCTTGGGGAGCATTACCGGCAAAAGATCCAGGACATTACCTACGTCGACACATTCGAGAATCTTCTCATGAGGTACGAGCAGTTGACGACCGACCATCCGGAGCCAGAACACACCTTGTTCAGCCAGGATGATGCCACGCCTCCTATGAGTCGGACACATATCAATGGTCGGTGGCAGGGCCTGACCGAAATGGATGCCAGCGAAGAGGACTATTTCAACGCCTCCGATGACGAAGAGGATGAGATAGAGGATGAGTCCGAACGTGACAATATCAAGGATGTGTCTGAAAGGGTGAACCAGTGGCACCGCAGGAGGATAAAGGCTGAGATGATGAACGGGAGCGCCAGTCCAATCAGCAAACCGCTGGTAGATTATCCTGATGATGACGAGGATGAGACGATGGACACCAAAGCCGATGCAACACCCAATACCCCTCTAACTCCAGACAGCAACAAGGATGTTTCTTCCCCCGAACCAAGAGCAACACCCGAAAAGAAGTTGCAGCCATCCCCGGAGATCAAGTCACTCGCCGAAAGTGAATTGCAGCAACCGCCTGAAAGGATGACGGAAAAACGACGACGGCAAGAAGATGATGACGAGGATGAGCTTGGCAAGCTTTCTGGCGGTCCCAAACGCAGAAACTCAGCGTCTAGCACTTCGAGCCTTTCGTCCCAAGGTGCCTTACGTCGGAAAAAGGGCTTTCTGCGATCGAAGCAGGCAGGCGGTGAAAACCCACCTATGTCGACAAGCAACACCGAGACCGAGAATCACATCGAAGGCCGAAAACCTCGAAAAATCGCCATCAGTCTCTCCAATGTGACGAACAAATCTGACGACACGCCTCCGACGACAACGGAAGTCAAGCTGCAGAATAAGCAGCAGTCGGTGGCGACCAAGGAGTAGGAAATGGATAGAGTTTTGCCGTTATCTGCGAGCACCTTGCTTCTCTTTTCGCGATGGTGTTTGATGGAGTCGACGAACCACTATTGTACACTATGACCAATATCTTGGAGGTTACGAGGTAGAAGGGAAGATCCGGTTGATCCAGACCAATAGAGGGACGATGGCAGAGTCGAGATTCGACGTGGATGTCTCCGGGTCTGCACGAATGCATGACGAAGTTGCGCAGCAGGCCGCAGTTCCAGGAGCACCAAACGGCAATCAATAGCAGGACGTTGGATGCCCTGTAGTCTGCCGGCCGGGGGACTGGGGGCTTTATCGCGGTGAGCGGCAAGGAGATGGGAGGCAAGGGAGATGAAGTCGCAAGACAGGAAGATGCGACACGAGAAGCGCTTCTCAACTTGTGAAGAGTAGTGCAAAACCCGCTCGGGGGAGAAGTGCCTCGTCCACTCCGACCGGGCTCTCTACTCTCCATTGCAGTAGTCCACTATGGGCGGCCTTGTGCAAATGCAAAAGATGAATCTTATGGTACGAGTTTGTATCGCTGCTGTCGTGCTGTCGTGCTGTCGTGCTCGTCCCTCCCTCGACTTGTTGTCTGCCTTGTATCTTCCGCCTGATGGAGGATTACAGCCTTGGTTCCCAAACACACCAAACACACCCAGAGACATTTGGCGTGTTTGGCGTGATTGTCACATTTGCCCGCGCCGTATCCTCGTATTCTGTATCATCCCACTTCAATCGACAAATGGTGGACATGTACTTCGTACCAATCATGTCTCATTTTGTTCCCCTCTGTCGTTAGGGAACCTCGTCTACAACGCGTGTTTTCAAGGGATCCTTGCCTAAAGCAAGCCGCCCGGCTGAACATTGAAGTCTGGGATCTGCGACACGTGGCTGGCTTTCCCGTTTGGTTCTCAGCTGGAACGTCTGTCTATCACCCCGTGATTCGACCCAGTACGTTCGCGAAACGTCATCCATCTTTGGACACAATGATTAACGAAGGGGCAGCTGATTAGATTCTTCTTTTCCCCTTCTTTTCCCACCATCATCCCGAGACCGAGTTTCCAGACGACGGAGAACTCCCGTCCAGCCCTTGAAGGAAAGCCTTGTCGAGCTCATTTCCGTCACAATTCTCTGTTGATAGATTGCCTGTCCATTGCTTGTGTCATATCTCGCCAATTACTGTCACCGGCGGCATGGCGGGCGAAACAATATCACCATATAGCTTTGACCATGTGATTCTACTGCTTGATACGCCGGACTTCGAGAACCCGCCGTCGTGGTTGAGTGAGAATTTTACCATCATTGAGGGTGGGACACACGCCGGTATGTTATCGACCAGAAGATGGCGAGTCTGATAACTACAGACTGGTGACTCCTTCAACCTGAGTTTCGTGTCTCGTTTTCATCGCTTTGTTTTTTACGAGCTCAATCGCATCTAACACCCCTCACGTCAAGGTGGCTCCTCCCGGAACAAACTCATCATCTTCCCTGATGGCACTTACATCGAGCTAATAAACTGGATCACCGAACCCAAAGAGTTCTTCGACTGGGCGTCCAAAGCACCAGGACTGATTGATTTCGCCCTTACAACCCCCTCCTCTGCACACGACACCTTTGATGAAGTTACGCGGCGCCTAGAGTCGAAACCGCCGCCTCCTTCTCAATCTCAGTCCTCACCGACAGAGGAGCTCTCAGGATCCAGTGCGACCGCCGGTGACGGTGGGCTGGGGGTACGTTTTAGACCTCCGCTCGCCGGCGGGCGCAAGCGAAGAGACGGCCAGGACGTCCAGTGGCACGTCACGAAACCGCTCCTGGACGATTCCGCGGAGAACGTGCCCCGACCGCTGGAAAAGTACTTTCCGACAGGACGGCTCGACACGCCGTTCTTCTGCCACGACGTGACGGCTCGGACCCTGAGGGTGCCGTACACCGAGAAAGACATCTCCGAGACGCATCCCTGCGGGGCGCGGGGGATTCTGTCGGTCGAGGTCCTCGTTCCCGAGGAGAAGATTGACAGCTACATACGCCTGTACGCCTCCGTCCTGGGCATGAAGCCGAAAGTCCAGGGCGGGTACCGGTACAGTCCGACCACGAGCGTGAGCTTCTTGCTCAGCACACCCAACCCGGACGAGGAGGCCATGAGGCGCTTGAGAGGCAGGGTCGGCGTGGTGATCCGGGCGCCGAGGGACCAAGAGGACGAAGCGTGGTTGAAGGAGAGGGGCGTGGGGATCAGAGAAGTGAGGCTGTTCGCCGAGGCAAAGGGCGAGGACGAGGTCGACGAGATGGCGTTGGACAGCGAGGGGATCGGCGCGAGTCTGGTGCTGGTGAAAGAGCCCGCGGGACTTTGGGAGGGCGGTAGCTAGTCGGGCAGCTTAGCACGGGAAGGTGAAGAACCGTGTACGTGTTTTGTTTGGGCGCCGTTAGTGTCGACCCTCGTGGGTTGGATCGGGCGAGCAAGCAAGCAAGCAAGCCGCTGCACGTCCTTGCTCAGACACGCTACAGGGAGGGAGGCTGGCTGCCGCCCAGCAATAGAATCAAGAAGACAGAGGCGATACATGTCTACTTTGATGGAGCCATCCGATTCATTACACCTCTTCGCTCTCGTCTAATCTCGACTTTTTTATGGACCTTGGTCTATCCACCCTGTCATCTACAGTTTACTGGCCCCCTTGCCCCTGGCGTCCAGGCTGCCCGGGTGGGTGCCGACCCTCAGCCGGGCGCCGCCGTCGAGGGAGATGTCCTCGCCGTTGACGTAGCTGCCGGCGCGGCTGCACAGGTAGACGACCAGGCCGGCGATGTCGTCGGGGCGGCCCAGGCGGCCCATGGGGTTCTGCAGGCCCACGACGTCCTCGCCGCCCAGGTAGTCGATCTGCGGGTTGGCCAGGCGGCTGGGGAAGAAGCCCGGGGCGATGATGTTGGTGGTGATGTTCCGGGGCACCAGCTCCAGCGCCAGGTTGCGCCCCAGGTGGTGCGCCGCCGCCTTGGACACCGAGTACATGATTGCCCCGCGGTCGCCCACGTGCGGCACGATGATGCCCCCGACCGACGACGTGATCAGGATCCGCGACGGGTCCGCGGGCGTCGCGGCGCTGGCGAGCAATGGGACCATTCTGGACGGGACATCCCCCACAAGGTCAGCAATTCCCCATCCTCATCATTCATCCTCGTCAAGGTCAAGAAGGTGCCGCCGCCAAAAAGGGGCGCCAAAAATCAACAGAGTGGGTTTAGGAGGTTTCGAGTTGCGTGAGACACAGAGAAAGGGAGGGAGTAGACCATGGGATTGTGGGGGAGGAGGGAGAGAGCACATACAATCTGCACAGATTAAACACGCCCCTCACGTTCAGCTCCAGCGTCTTGATGCTCTTCCAGTCCTCGAAGCTCTCAAAGGGCCCGCCCCAGCTCGCCGCCGCATTGGCCACGAGAATGTCCAGCCCCCGGCCGGGCCTCTCGTCCTTCTCGATCTCGGCCTGCACGTCCCGCACAAACTGCTCGATCTGGTCCGTGTGGCCCACGTTGGCCGGGATGCTCACGGCCTTGCCGCGGATGTTGGGCAGCGCGTTGAGCTGGCCCACCGCCTGCGCGAGGTTGTCGGCGTTGCGCGCCGTGATGATCACCTTGGAGCAGCCGGCCTGCAGGAAGGCGGTCGCGCAGTAGAGCCCGATGCCGCGGGAGCCTGTTTTTTGTCGAGGACAACGTGTCGTGTCAGCCGTGGGGATCAAAGAGGTTTCCCTTCTAGGTACCACTTTGGTTTCCTTTTGGGGGGTCTCTGGAGTAGGCTTTGGGGGAGAGGGATGCCAGAAAAGAAGGGGGTAAGAGGAGACGGATTGATGGACATCATTTCATCTGACCGAGCAGATCAAGTGCCACGGAGACTGTAGAAAGGGGAGCATATCGCAAAGGCGAATCAAAGAAGAGTTCAATCAACGTACCACCAGTAACGACGGCGATTTTTCCATCCAGCCTGAACAGGCTTTCAAAGTCCTTGATCGCCGCCATTGCAAAGCAACGCTTTTCCCTCTTCCCTTTACCTCTGACGAACGAAATAAAAAGAAGGGTGTTATCACGAGAATCCCACGGCCTGGATCCCTTTCTTTCCCCCCTGCTCGAATCAAGCGCTCAGTCCCCTTTCCAAGGGGTGACAGAGAGAGATAAAGGATGAGAAAGCAAAGTGACCAACGAAGTGTGCGTGACTGGAAATGTATCGCGTGGGACCTTGTCGCTTTCGTGGGTGGAAAGGTCAGGGACTTGTGCTTCGTCTGGCCCCTTCTGTTAGAGCTCGTGTTCTGGGTGTCGAAATTGGCTGAGATGCCTCCCTCAGTAGTCCTTCACTGTCCGATATCGTGCCTGCTTCACAAAGAGGGTCTTTGTCGTCCTTTCTGGTTTTCTCGGGCGGTGTATTAGGATGTCGTCTCGAAAGGAACCTCTGGATTGTTATCTTGATTGACTGGATGGAGTGTGGACTGGCGTGAATAACGCTGTCCACTCAAGACTTGAAGAGTACCGAGGATATCCCCATCAACGTGAAGCTCAATGACTTACCAGCCCCGTGTCCAATGCCATCGACATGACACGAAGCACGCTGACTCGGGGCAAGATGGGGAAGTTGACGAGGCTGAGCGATGGCCCGAAACCAACCTCGGCCATTGACTGGCCAATCAGACGGACTGGAGCTGTTCCTCAAGGCTGCGAAGCCGTCATATGGCTATGATTCTATTGTACTTTATACCGGCTGTTTCCTATTCTAACAGTCTGTATACTCTGCTTCAAGCCTAATGCAACAAATCCTGCCCTCAAGCGATACTAGAATGATTATATTCCAGCAAAACAACCCATCAGTCACCTCGCGCGAACTCAGAATAATTGATCCAAGCTTGCTCTCTGGGCAAGGTCCTTGCTAAATCTGCGAGGCATAGCTGGGAATGCTGGTCCGTCAACCGATGCTCGAGCACGGTCATGCCTATCTGTGCTCGATCTGCGTCGAGGTTTGCTGATGCTGGGTCGATATCTCGGTCCCTCGGGGTTCGTCTTCGACCTCGATCTAGCGACAGCTAATCCGTTGGATGACAGCATTGGCTTTTGAAATGCCATGCCATCCCCCCTCTTCCTGACTCCGGGACTGAGATTTCCAAAATCGCCTTGCTTCGGGCCAGCATTTGGATCTGCCACAACGTTGGTGTAACAGGGCTGATTCTTCGATGTGCGTAGGTCCTCGCCTCGCTTGTTGTCCCCGCTCGGTCTCTTTTGTGCCCACTGGCTCCGTTGTTGCCGGTTCTGGAGCTCTCTTTGCCGATTGATCATGTTTCTCTCGTGCTCACTCAACATGACCTTCCGAGGTGGCGAATCAGGCGGTATCTCGAACTCGGATTCGGAGAATCCCAACCCAGATGTCGAAACCTGAAGTCGAGGCAAGCGGGGACCCACTGGCTTTGGAGGAGAACAGTTCTCGGATGTGATTTGGCAGTGGTAACAGCTCGGATGCCTCTGGAGATGGTGGTGTGATGATGACGCCATGCTTGGGCGCCCGGGAGCGACATTCTCGTCTGTCGTCGTACCGGAGAGACCTCCTCTGCAGTGGCTGTGGGTATGCGCTAATCGTCGAGGAGACTTGTCAACGTCATTGGCTAAGCTGTCCAAGTCTTCCTGTGGCACCGGTCTCTCTTGTCTCACACGCTCGGCTGACTGTCGAACTGGAGCCGTAAAGGCTTGCCCTTGATGATGAGCTGCAAGGCTAGGGCCAGGAGGCGGTGCTGGCACTGTTTTAGACCTCTTGGCTTCGATCGAAGCGGCGACCTGTGCGAGCGAATTTGGTAAGATATCCAATGAGTTGATCGGTATGATTGTTACGGGAAGCTGGACCGCCACTGTCTTGAACATCTTTACCGTTACAACGACGTTGACAAAGTAACGAACTTCAAAATACCTCCCAGTGCTGATGGTAACATGTCCTCGTGGTGCTTCCAGTTCAATTGTGCGGACATCCGATGAATGAGACGGCACTCCCTTCCAAGTATTTGATTTCTTGAGCGTAGTTCCGCTCACCACCTCGGCGTCTGTCCGTTTCGGGAGACGAAGGTAGTTTGCGCTCTTCTCTGCAGTGCCAGCTGGAGCGTGCGTATACCAGAGCGTCGTCTTCTCCAATTGAGCCTCGATTTTCTTCACCGTTTTTGAAGTATTGTTGGCAACGTGGACGTCGATAAAGATCAAGGCGCCGTTGACCCATGTCTGGCGGTGGAGACCAGCAGTCAGCTTCACAGTTTGGATATCAGGCTCTCTTGCCAGGTACAGCGTATCCGTGGCCAGGAGAGGACTCGCCAGACTGGCCAACGCCTTCTCTGGATCGTGAACAGTGAGCATCTGAACATTCTATGTCTGTCTGATCACAGTTCTTTTGTCCCCGGTCTTGACCACAATTGATGGACATAGCAGGTACCGAATCGAAGCTTGTCTGGAAGAGTAGGGAGGAGGACCGAGCTTCAGCGGGAGGTTAACGCAGAATGGGACGACCGACGTAGCAGACTTCATTTCCCACCACAGATCTGCACCAGGCTCAGGGCTCTGCGACGTGACCAGGGAAGGCGGAGGGGGATTCTCTTTATCAAACAACTCTGTCGCAAGCGACAGAAACACCCATCGTCGGCCATCGTTAATTTCTTCCACGCCAATGACATCAATGCAAGCTTTGGAAATGTAGATTGGCTTCGTCTTCGGCTTTCTTGCTACTCCGCCATCCACTTGAATGGTGAGTTGTCCTTCTACTGTACCGCCGCCCACAAAGAGTGGCGAGGGGAGGCTGACCGACAGCTCTACTCGAGGGTGACGACTGCTGCCATGGTCGAGGACTTCGTGAGGAGGCGAGGTGCGGATGAAGGTGCGTGCAAGGGTAGGGCGGAGGACCTCAGATGATTGAGCCGCACGACCAATTGATCGCCGAACGGGAGACTCGGCTCGACCTTTGTCGCGGACCAGGGAGTCCGTTCCGTCCAGTTCTGCGATTCTCCATGTGGGCAATTCGCGCATCGAGGCCTGAATAGGACCACCGAGGCTCCGAGACAGAATGCTGGCCGACGATGTGCGCTCAGGGACGGCTCTATGGGGCAGGCTGACTGCGCTTGCGGCGCGACTTCCCAGACCCGTTGCATAATTCTTGGTGCCGCCGGAACGAAAGGCTGTCGGTGTCAGATACTCGGACGAGGTGGTATGTGAGAGCGCATCGGTTTGAGGGGCAGGGGTTGTGGGTCTGTCGACGCAACCGTCATTCCACTCGTGCACAGAATAGCCATGTGTCGCCGTCTTTGAGGACCCGGAAACTTCTCGTATGTCTGAAAGCTGATGGACTCGATGTCGGGCTAGAGCAGATATGGGGCGGGTGAATGCCTCCATTGAAGCGAGCGGGAACCGGGCAAGCTTTCCATCATCCGTGGACATTCGCTTAGGCAGATGGAACCGTTTCGAGGGATCTGAGTCTTTGTGAGCGACGTCTGCCAGAGACGCTAGGCAAGAAGATTGGCCTCAACTCACCTTTGGCCGTCCAATGCTCCATCAGGGTCAGTTGATCCGGTCATTTGCTAGGCATACGACACTAGGGGGTTGTCCAGTAGCAGTCTCACGGCACAAACAAAGAAATGAGTGTTGAGCTACAAGATTCTTCTTCCCGCTGGTCAAGGTGTGACAAAGGTGCGAGACCTCACCGGAGAGGGAATTGTGAGAGAACAGGCACCCACCATTTGCGCTTGCATCCTCTAGACAACGACAACGAATTGCGCCTGCCTGCGCCTGCCTGCGCCGGAATGCAAGCAAGAGGCCATTTCTAGTTCCGGTCGCGAAGCTGCTTCCCAATTCGACCCATTGTCCATTCAGCGACACTCACCGATTACTATGCATTGGACTCTCTCATCTTCACTCACGCCCACACACAGGCATTCGAACCCCGCAGATTCAACAACAACCTCTTGCCCCTTGAGACTAACTAAGTAGGTCCTCTGGAGGAAGCAGCGGACAAAGCGGCACACTTGAGCTTGCCGGAAGCTCGGGTTGACGATCTAAATCGGCTGGAACATGGATAGTGCAGGTGATCCATTGCTGGCACTGCTTAACCTTGGTTTACTCGGCTTCTTTTCCCTCAAGTCATGTGCGCCGTTGGCGGTGAATTGGCGCAGTATACTGGGATGGACGGATGTCGGACCGACGACCCCTGGGCACAGCAGATTTGTCGAGACCCAAGAAAGGGTCCCAAAGTGATGCTGGTTGAGGTTTGAGCTGAGGCAATCATGGCTGCTTCTTCCCTCACCCTCATCTTCCGACAATACGGGCGTTCACACCAAGGGATCTGCCCCCTCGACTTGATGCAGCCTAGGTCCACGGAGAAAGACGACGCTGGAAGAGCGGGGGAGCCCAGCTAGGGCAGGTTCCCAGGCGACCCAGGGACCCAGGGACCCCCGGATGGCGTAGGGTTGGGTTCACTAGGCTAGCCTGGCCCTCCAGCAGCGCTGCTGTTGGTTGAATTAGGCTCATCTGACGCAGCCCGGCGCTCGCCTGACGTTGGATCAGCCTTGTTTCACTTTTCCTGTTTGGCCGCTAGTGACGCCCGCTAAGCCTCTTCCAGGCACAGTTTGCGGAAGCCTCTTCTGCCATTGGCTCCCGCACATGGAAACCACGGCGTGAAAATTTTTTCCCACGTGGCGCGTGGCCGGCTTCCCTCCAATCCCGCCCCTTGGTTCATCTCGTCCTTTCCAGCTTCCTCCGCGGTTTCGACAATGAAAACTTTTCATGCTCTCGTGGAAGCCCCCCTCGAGCAGAAAGTATGGCCTAATGCTCGATGTGCTGCCCTCCCCCCTTGTGTGGTCGGCCTCTGACAGGACCTATAGCGCTGGAATATTTTCCGTGCCATCCACCTGCCCAGACTGACCGCCTCATTCGAGAAGTGGATGGCGCAACGATCGTCTGGTTCTCCTCACCTTCTAGTTCCAACCAACTTGCCTGTTTGAGCAGCCTCTCTGCCATCTCGGATGTGGTCCCCCCCCCCCCCAGATTTTTTTTTCTTTTCCTCCCAAGCCCGAAGCTCATATCACATCCTGAATTAGTCGAGCTGGGGTTTCCAAGGGCGCGCGACCCACGGCAAAACAGGGTCGGAGCCACCACTCTTGGATCGTTCTTGCATCAGTTTTCATAAGCCTTGCTTTTGCCTCCCACACCATCCCGTGCTCCTCCTCTTCCCGTAAAAAATCTGTTAGCTCATTTGATTACCTCACCCCCGTTCCATCTCCGGGCTGTTCATTGCACCTTCATCCCTTATCTCTGTTTCCTGTTGTCAACTATCTCTCTGTTTTACGTGTTGGATATCAGCTCACCTCACGCGGCGCGCGCGCGTATCGTTGTTTTACCCCTGGTCGCGTATCTCGACAATCGAACCCTTATCGGCGCTTATGCCAGGAACATTGCATTAGACTCGGTTGCGTGGAGAAGGAATGGGCTCTGTCGCCAACACCGACGTCACGCTACCCGACGCTGTGGTGCCAAAACGGGAGTCGAGTGGTGAACGATATTCTTCCTCGTCAGCCTCGACCCCGGAGGCGGCAGACGACGCAGGAGGCGACGAAGGCCACAGCTCCAAGGAGCCAGCGCCTGCGCCGAAGCGTAAAGGAGGTAGAAAGCCGGTAAGTCCTCTTGAGAAGCATTATCGGAGTGGACTGGACCGTGGGACTCACCCCGGCGCACAGATTTATGCGACCTCAGAGGAACGCAAACAGCGTAACCGTCAGGCTCAGGCGGCTTTTCGCGAACGACGGACCGAGTACATCAAACAACTCGAGTCAACCATTCAGCACCATGAGGAGACGCTCCAGAATCTCCAGCAGAGTCACCGTGCTGCGGCCGACGAGTGTCTAATGCTTCGGTACAAAAACTCGCTCCTAGAACGGATTCTGCTTGAAAAAGGTACATCTCCTGCTCTGCCCTGTTGCGACGAAATCCCAATCCTGAACTCTTTCCTGCCAGGCATCGACGTCCAAGCCGAACTCGCGCTCAAAGGGAGTCCCACCCTTCGACCACATCGCGCGCCTCCCATCACTGGGCAGGCTTCGCCAATGCAAAAGGCCATGCTCAGCAGACAGCAAGCAAGGCCTCGAACCACGATGGCACCCCCAACTCAGACTGTAAATCCTCCTTCCCATGTTGGAGGCACGCGAAATTTCGCAGGCTCACCCACAGCACAGCCCACTCCTCCTTCACAGCACTCCTCACCTTCCACAGCAAGATCGCCTGGTTTTGCTTTGCAAGGTGGGATGACTTCACCCGCGATGGACATGGCAACTCAGACACCTCAACAGCAGCTGCAGGCCCGAACCTTACCTCCACCGCATCGCAGCTCGTTTCTTGCGCAGTCTAGGCACCAAGGACATCCTATGTCCGGACCGAGCACATCGCAAGCTTATCCTCCACGAACCCAACAAGAGAGCTACTATCCAGCCTCTTTCCAGAAACATTACACTCAACTCGGCAAGCTGACCCGTTCCATTGTCCCCCTTCTTCCGCTTGTGGAGCTTTGTTCGTCCTAGACTGATTCCGTGAGTACAGAGCAGGAGTACGATGCGCAAGCCAGTATCATGGACGATCTGGACGGCGACGACGTCGATACCGATAGCTTCATCCCCAACTTTCGTCTTCCTCCCACCACGACGACAGCAGGCATGTCCATGGGCATGCAGGCATCGCCTCCAACGACCACTAGTGCGGCTAGTGACGGCGGCGGGGGAGGCGGAGGCGGCGGCATTGTCATCGATCCATACGATCCCATGCTGGATGCCGACCCTTTCGGTCTGACTGCCAGCATGCATTTTCCCAACCCTTATCCCTATCCGCCTACACACGCCAGAAGGTGAAAATGTGGGCCTTTTGTCACGAAAAAAACCTTTCCTCATTGCTATCTCAGCATGAGTATCATCATTCATGAGTATTCACAAAATGGGCATTTAGCGACGGTGCATTTGCTTGCCAGCTGGGGGGCATGAGGCTGAAGGTGACGGGTTTTCTGCGTGTATGCACGCACCATTTTGTTTCCAAGCGACACGCAAGTTTTATGACCGCGGGAGATTTTACTGCTTCCCTGTAGATACCTATTGCACGAACCCCTGAAAACGTTTATAATGCCTTCTTTACCGCCTTGCTTCTCGTAATTACCCCATGGGCAGCCTGCAGCATGATTGGCACCTCCCCAAAGCAAGCACCGTGCCCTAGCCCTAAGAAATGCCAAGATCTGTCCAAATATGGTTAGCGTGATAAATGGTCCTGTTGCGAAATCTGCGCATGATGATTTCGCTTTGCGTCCGAGGTCCTGGCTTGAATTTCATCACCGCTCAATCCGACTCAACTTCATCTCGACTCGACAAGGTCCTACTACGTGGTAGTCGAGGACGTTGTCTTGGTCGGGCGTCTCACCCTCTTTCACCCCAAGTTGGAGTTTCATTAACAGGAAGCCTTCACGGAAGGCGCTCGAGAGGAAACGTCATGGCGGACGTCAAGAGCAAGGTGAGCATCAGCTGAAAATGAACCTCCAACTATCCCATTTCCCATCACTATGGCTGTTCAATCACTGACCACAATGTCTATAGAACCTCTACGAGCTGTTGGGTATGACCGTCCACCTGCGCCATTGGATTCACCGCGACTGATTTTGATGATTCAGGAAATACGTCAGACCAGGATTCTGACCGCGAGCCTGATCCACCTACAAAGGCCATTGACAAGCCAGTCGCTCGTCATGGTAAACGCGATGCGCCCAAAGAGGCACCTGCTACGACCGAACGTGCGAACGTAGCTCCTCGCGGTCGAGGTGGTCATCGTGGAGGCGGCTTCAATGACAATGAAGCAGGTATACACACCTGGACTCTTAAAAGAAAATCTGCCTGTCGCTGACTGTCTATCAAGCTTTCCGCAACAGAGCCACAGGCAGGAACTACAACCGTGACCAACCCACCGAGGGTGGTGGCGAGGATGGCTATGGCAACCGCCCTGGCCGCGATCGAGGCCCTGGCGCGCAACGTTATGGTCGCGGTCCTCGTGGACCTCGTCGAGGTGGTGATCGCCACAGCCGCACTGGGATAGCGTGAGTGAACTTGAGCTACCCCATCTTTTCTCGCGCTGACCAGACTAGCAACCACCCAAAGCAAGAGGGACATGGATGGGGTGAAAACACTGGCGACGGCGAATGGGCTGACGAAAAGGCGGGAGAAGCCTTGGCAAAAGAAGACGAAAAGGTTGCCAATTGGGATGCTGGCGGCCAGAACCCAGCGTGGAATGAAAATGCCGAACCGGCCACTATTCCTGAGGGCGGTGAGGCTGTCCAAGACGCCAATGCGGCGGAGCCCGAGGCGGAAGAGCCTCAGGATCACCACAAGTCGTACGCCGACTACTTGGCTGAGCAAGCTGCCAAGAGACTGGAAGGACTCGGTCTGAAGGAGGCTCGTGCACCTAACGAAGGCTCCAAGGAGAACAAAAAATGGACCGGCGCGAAAGAGCTCACTAAGGTCGAGGATGAGGACTACTTCAAAGGCGAAGAGAAGGGCAAGCGTGAACGTGAGCGGGCGCAGAAGAAAGAGTTCCTCGACATTGACTACAGCTTCAAGGAGCAGCCACGTGAGTCCCGTGGTCGCGGCGGCCGTGGCGCTGGGCGAGGACGAGGAGGAGACCGTGGAGAGTTCCGCGGCGGACGTGGACGTGGACGTGGCGATCGTGGAGAGCATCGTGGGGAGCATCGTGGAGAGTATCGTGGCCGTGGTCGTGGTGGCCGCGGCGATGCTCCCCCGGTGGCTGTCGACGACGAATCTGCTTTCCCCAGCTTGGGAAAGTAGAGCCGGTCGTCGCCGTCGTCCAACCTCCGGAGCAACCAGCCTGCAAGGCCACCGCCTACCATTCTCTTCGACCTGAAAAACTCACCCACCGACCTTTGTACTATGTGAAAGGCCACACTCGTTGACTCGATCGCGTCAAAACTACTGTACTGGCGACTTCGGAGGCAGAGAGCAAAGCATTTGCAAGGAGAAAGATCGGGTATTGTTTTGACCAAATGGCAATGATTCCACCCCAAAAAGAGCACTTGAGCAGCAGACGGATCAATGGAGAAGGAGGGATTTTGTTCTGCCATCTCGAGCAATTCCATCTGGCTAGCTTGGAATTCGTGTAAGATAGGAATTATCCTTCCTTGTTGCTCCAAATGCCGTTGCATTCAGAATGGGATTTCACTTGATCCTTTCTCGTGGTCGTGTCGTGATCGAAGTAAATGATCGTGCCATCACCGTCCGTCTCTTGAGCTTGTAGAGAGGGCTGTATATCTCCCGACAGTTTGCTGACCGCCCAACTGCCGGAGGGCGGCAGAGGGCAGCAGTACGTATGAATGTCTGCAATGTCTTTTGATCTCGTCTCACAAGTAACCCGGTTTACGTGGTAATCTTTTGCGATGTACGAGTCCCATGTATCTCTGGTGTCCCGATCATCCCCCTCTTCATCAACGGCGATCCGACGATCAAAAATATCCCCGGTTCCAGGTCATCTCGGCTCCATGTCGGCAGTTGACAATTTCGGCATCAGAAAGATAGATTTGAGGCAGGCCGTCTGTCAGCGTGGTCCAGAGGGAGAGTTGCGTAGCTGGAATGGCGCAACAAGAACGGAGATGCAGTCGGCAGTTGCACCTCCAAATCATCTGCCGAACGTCGCCTGCGGCAGCGCAGCCACCCAGATCCATCAACTCCCCCCCAAATTCAAGGCTCCGTGTCGACTCTCCTGCGCTGCTTACCACGGTCTGAAGATGCTAGCCACTACAAGCCCTCGAGAAAGTCCATTTTCCTCTTTCCACCCGCCGAATCTCAGACTCTGGCACCCACGCCGACACCCCACATCCATTGCCGCCCTGAGCCGGACTGTCCACTTGGACCCCAGACTTGCCTTTCTCGCTCGCCACAGCCTCCCCTTTACTGGCTTTTGATGTCCTGAAGGTCTTCCCTTGGAGCATGTGCCGGGGACCTCATGGCTGCTTCTGGGCAGGGCTGGTCGACGGAGCCTGACTAGGTCATGACCACTGGCGGGCTGTCGATTCGCTGGCCTTGCGTCTTCAAGGTGCTACCTATGCTTGATGTAGGGTCCGCTCCACGGCCCCCTCGTGCAAAAGAGAACTGCCGAAGCTCAATTAGCCACTTGACTCTTTCCAGCATCAGCCATGGCTGTTAAAGATCGGATGGATCTTGGTTCTCAGCGTGACGGAACCATGTCTCGGTCTCGGGGATGCCGCCTGACGTCCATGGTGTTGACAGAACCTACATGATTTCGCTAAATCGCCTCGACTTATCCTATTTCCCACCGATCAAGGTAGAAAACCATCATTGCGAGCCCTCCTTGCCTGTTCAGCCGCATCTTTACCCTTTACCCAGCTAGACTACGTGACCATGATCGAGTCAATCGTCCCGGCCATTGTCAACAACTGGCCCATAGCGGTGGCCGTTGTTGTTGTGGGCTATCTACTGAGCAACTATTTCAACCATGGCCTCAACAAGTATCCCGGGCCAGTGCTGGCGAGGTTTACGGATTGGTGGAGGTTCTTCGACGTGTATGGCCGACGACCAGACATCACACACCTCAAACTGCATCGCCAGCATGGAGATGTTGTCAGACTCGGACCGAACACCCTTTCGTTTGCAAATCCCAAGGCGTTGAAGACCATCTATGGTCTGAATAAGGGGTTCGTCAAGGTATGGCTCCTTCAAGATCTGGATCGGCAACATACTGAACAGTTTCCTCCAGTCTGGATTCTACCCGGTCCAAATGGGCGTCAGCAAGGGCAAGCGACTGCCTTCGCTTTTCTCCACCATAGACGAGTCTTATCATGCAAACCTTCGCAGATCTGTGAACAATGCGTTCTCCATGAGCCAGCTGGTCCAGTACGAGCCTGGCGTCACTGAATGTATCGAGGTCTTTCTGGACCAGACGGAGAGAATCTATGCACGGACAGGCAAGGTCTGCGATTTTGCAGAGTGGCTTCAATATTTTGCGTTTGACGTAAGTTCTTGTGATTGATGTCGATGGCTGGGTCTAACTGTCTTCTAGGTCATTGGGTACATCACATACAGCAAGCGCCATGGGTTCATGGAGAGAAATGAGGATGTAGACGGCATGATTGCATACCTCGGGCGGCTATTTTCCTATGTGGCACCGGTGAGTGTCCGGCGTCCAAAATGCTGCAGCGTCGAAGCTAATCCACCAGCAGATTGGACAAATGCCATGGCTAGACCTTCTCTTTCTGAAAAATCCACTGGTTCTCTTACTTGATCGACTTGGAGTCAAGCTCTTTGCATTTCCGGTTGCCACCTTTGCTGTGCAGCGAATGCAGGAGAGGCTCGCCGAAATGGAGGCGCAGGGCATCGAGAAGGGAACGGAGAAGCCAGATCTTCTGTCCATGTTCCTCAAGGCGCAAAGAGACCGCCCGGAGTTCATGACCGACCAGAGGGTTCTCACCATGGCAGTGTCGATGGCGTTCGCTGGGTCCGAGACTACGGCCATCAGTCTGGCGGCGGCGTTTTACTATCTCCTCCGCAACCCTCGGTGTTATGAGAAACTGATGCAGGAATTGAACGAGGCTGTCGAGGAAGGGAGAATTGCGGATACACCTTCAGGAACGATCACGTGGGCCGAATCCCAACAACTCCCTTACCTCGACGCATGCATCAAGGAAGCATTCAGAATGCACCCCGCGGCAGGATTGCCTCTAGAAAGAGTCACGCCGCCACAGGGGATCGAAATTGATGGCCACTTTGTCCCTGGGGGTACGATTGTCGGTTGCAATGCGTGGGTCATCCACAAGCGCGAAGATGTCTTCGGCTCCCAGATCGACAGCTATATCCCCGAGAGGTGGCTGGATGTTGGGAAGGAGCAGCTGAAGGAGATGAACGGCACTCTGTTCCAGTTTGGCGCTGGTTCACGGACCTGTATTGGAAAGAACATCAGTTTGCTGGAGATGTACAAGCTGGTCCCTGCTGTCCTGCGTCGTTTCGAGGTGAGCAGCTGACCGAGTTTGGCTCGACACAATTTCTCGCGCGCGAGGCTGACGTAATTTCGGCTCTAGGTACGTTTCGATGATCCCAACCGAGACTGGAAACTGCACAACGGTGAGTCTTCTCAAGATTGAACCTTGCCTTACTGGTGCTGACTTGAGAATAGCTTGGTTTGTGAAAGAGCACGACTTCTACTGCCGCTTCAAGCCACGAAAGATGGGATAAACAATATACTCACACAGCTTCCGGCACTCCGCTCCCTGCGAGAACGAGAGCGATTTGGCGTCATTTCCGAGATATTGTCGCAAGAACAGGTGTTCCATGCCAATAGCTCACGATCAAACGAAGTCAACATGATGTGGTTTCCAAGTGTGTCGTCGAGACTAATCAGTCAAGAGGAGTTTGTTTGATGTCTTTGGATTGGAGTTTTGTACATGCGTAGCCGTCCCACAAAATCGAGACAGTCCCATTATCACCGACCTATTCTCGAGCTCCTTTCGCCTGTCCCTGTCGCAAAGACCTTATATTCCGCATCGTCTCCACTGGCTGACCAAGACAAAACGTCCTTCTGCACCGAGAATTGGTCAGACGAATCTGTAATGCCCACTATCTGTCCATGCAGCGGTCGTCCACGTGACGCCCGAATCTCTCGCCCGATAGACTCCGAAGCGGCTTGCTTCTACCATTACTCGCTGCAATGTATCGACCAAAGTCTGATGCGATGCATACCCGCCGCCCATGGTGAGTGCGTGTGCGTGCGTGTGTGTCTGGGGATTTGTGATCCTTGCATAACCGAGACCCAGTCCGTGGCCCATGGGTCGGCGATATCTACGAGAATCGGTCGTGGTTGGGCCTGATCGACATGATTGCCAGAGGGGCAGAGAGATAGTTAGAATACCTATCGATCGAATCGAGTCGAGCCGAGGTGTGTGTGTGAGAGGATTATCAGCCGCGAGTGTCTTTTGCCCCCTCCCCCGCCGAAAGCATAGCTCGAAGGGGGGGGCTGTGAGGATCCTGGCTGAGTGGGAATGGATTGTAGGATGGATGGCTGAGCTGGCTACGGGTTCCTTTCTCGAGGGTTCTAGATACGCGCTGGACTTCCGGATGTATGCATGCATAGGGTATCTGTACTCATGCATGCATGTATGTATGTAGGTACGGAGGCATGTAGGCATGTATGTATGGTAGTTATCTCACGGAGTTAAGTTGCCCTTGCATCACTCTCCCTCCCTCCCTCGCCTACCCTAGGCATACACCGGTAGATAGGTAGATGGGTAGGTAGGATGGAGACCGGTTGACTGACTCATGGAAGAGAAATCTTCCACTCAGGCTGGGCAAAGGGCCATCTTCGCCCGCAGAAGAACGGGCGTGTGTGCAGACGATACGAGGTACCTATCTACCCAAGGTGCCTTTCCACGAGGCGTCCCTCAAGGCGGGCAGCGCCCGTATACGAGGTCTCTACGAGGCCCATTCATACCTGTCTAGATTAGGTACTGGGGTACCTAGCTATGTAGAAGGGTTCCGCGCCAGCCTGCGAAAACCCCACCATTGAGGAGCCTTTGTTCTCTGTCGGCCGAGTCTTCGGTGCCCACTACACACTGCACACTGCCCACCCTTACGTCGCGTCGTGGTATGGCCCTTGCATTAGTAACGGGCTCGGCCAGCCAAGTAGCTACAAGCACACCGCACATCGGAAAAGTATTGGACAGGGAGCTGGGGCGCCGAAACAGAGTGCACCCTTTTTTGGTGAGCTAGCTCTTGGGTACCTTCGACCAGGTTCTCTCATGCGGGACTGCTTCTGAGGACAGGTCTGTCCCAAACGCAGACGCGGGGCCCGCCCCAAAAGGCACAAGGATCATATTACGCCCTGGATGGATAGACAGGATGGCCGGGCCGAGCGTTTGTGTTGGTTTGATTGTTAATTCAATTCGTCTCTTGTTGGGGCCTCCGGCTCGTGTTGCGTGATCTTGCCATCTGCTGTTTCGTTCGCCGGTCCAGACGGGTAAGGCTCTGTAGAGATAAAAGGGCCTCGGGACCTGCCTCCCACCTGGCAAAGTTGTTCTTCTTCCAATCCCACAGCTTGTTTCGTGACTTTTGCCTCGTCGAACGTCAAGTGTCTCACCGTTTGCACTTACATAGAGCACCTACCTGTCGCTCATCAACCGTCGACACATTCCCATCAAACTCAACGCCATTCGCAACTATGGGCAAATCTGACACCTTCCTGGACCTCGTCAAGGGCCGCCGCTCCATCTACGCTCTCTCTCAAGAGTCCACCATCCCGGACTCCAAGGTCGAAGAGATTGTCAAGTTCGCCGTGACATGGGCGCCCTCGACATACAACGTGCAGTCGGCCCGCGCCGTGGTCCTGTTCAAGGAGAACCACGCCAAACTCTGGGACATTGTCAAGAAGCACATGGACCAGGTGCCGCTGGACGAGGGCATGCGGGGGTACATGGACGGCCGGATTGCTGGGTGGAAGGGCAGTTATGGGACGGTGCTGTGGTTTGAGGACCAGACGGCCTTGGACGGATTGGGGGAGAAGAACCCGATGGTCAAGCCCATGTTGACTGAATGTGAGAGCCCGCGTGGACTGTCAGGAGGAGCTGGTGCGGTTGAAGTTGTGTACTGACGAAGTGATGCCTTTCACAGGGTCCGATCATTCCACCGGTATGCATCAGTTCATCGGTAAGTCAGACCTGGATCCTCGCATCCATCGTCCATCGTGGCTACGGCAACGTCCTGACCTCTCCTCTCTTCTTGCAGTCTGGACCGCCCTCGAAGCTGAGGGCCTGGGTGCCAACCTCCAACACTTCAACTTCCACCCCGGCATCACGGCGGACATCAAGTCAACATTTGATATCCCCGAGGCGTGGAAACTCAAGGCTCAATTGGTGTTCGGCAAGCCCACCGGCGGACCGCAGGACAAGACGTTCGAGCCGATCGAGAAGAGAGTCGTGGTGAAGTCGTAAGGTGGTGCCAGGTGCCAGGTGCCAGGTGCCGGGGGAAGCTCCAATGCCCGCTGTGGCTTTGATAGATGTCTCGCATTTTACCAGCGCGTTGCTAGTCAGGTTCCTCTCGTTGCCAAGAGCTTGAAGGGGGTTTTGCAAATCGGCATCCACAGATCATACCACCGCCAGGGCTGCGTTGTATGATATAGAGTGGCAGTGATTGTCAATGGCAGCCCCCTGAATGGCGCAAGATGGCAGCGTTATTTCCCTGTGCCCGCCAAGCGCCCAAGGCGGCATAGTGGCGTCTTTTCTTAGCCAACGGGCTCACTCCACCAACGTCTGTCGTTGAACATCCAATCTTCATCTTCGTCTTCATCATCTTCAATCCTCCAACCCCTTATTCCTGATTCATCGCTCTCTTCCCACCCCATCAACACCGCTCGTTAAACCGCATCATCCCGTTTCTTGATTTCTCCCTCATCGCCCCTAGGCGTTTATTTTCTTTGCCCTCCCGACGCCTCCAGCGATACCGTACACGAAGGGAAAAGGTGGACAACTGTTGCTAATACCCAACTGTCTTGCCTGACCGGAGAACTCGGGAGGTATTCTGACAAGCGGGTCACCCGAAGAGGCCCCTATTCACACAAACTTCCACTTGGACGCGAGCAGGGGTTCTGAACTCACGTTCACCTTGGCGTTCTCACTGTATTCGATTATCTTGTATAACTTGGATCACCGAGTTTATCATCTTTTCTCTCGTGACATAGCAACTTGGAAGTCGCGTCCAAATCGTCAAGATGCGCGGCTCTTTTCTGTCGCTGCCGGCCACGCTGGCCATCTTACTCCTCAGCACGCTCACCATTGCTTACCGACCCCTCCAATTCGTCAAGCACACGGGCCAGTCAGGCCGCGCTGATCAGGCTTTCAGTATGGTCAACTACTTCAACGAGACGACGCAACAGTCCGACCTCTATGTCCATATGTGGATGTTCCGGTACAAGTCCTCCAACAAGGGTTGGGCCTCCTTGGGGCTGGGTCCGCGGATGAAAGGCGCCCTGATGTTCATCATCTACGGTGATCCCAACTCTGAGGATAAAGGCATGACCTTGACGGTGAGGACCGTGGACGGCCATCACCCTCCCCGACCTACGGATGAGATGAAGGAGTTTTACAGCGGCGATGTTCCCGAGGTGGAAGTGGTGACGGCTCATTTCGAGGACTACACCGGCGACTGGTACTCGGAGCAAATGCAAGCAAAGCCCTCGCATCTGGGCATAGCCGATTTCATCGTCCGCGGATACGACAGATGGGGCGCCGCCGAACTTGGGGTCAGTAACGAAACCACGAAACAAGCCATGATCTGGAGTTCCAATTTTCGACAAGACTTTGAAGGCGACTTCTCCGTTGATAGAGCCATCGACATGCACCAGTTTGGTCTGGGGTTCGGGTTTTTGTGGGTGGATCTTCTGAATGCGAGGAGCGACGTCGCATTTTTTGGCGCCATCAATGAATTGAACGATCATACTGGCATCAGTGAGACGGCAGAGCCCAAGCCGCCGACGGAGGACGAGTTGAAGAAAGGGGATGAGATCATCGCGGCACAGATTGGCGGTGGCAGCACAAGTGAGGTTGACAATGGAACTGGTGAGGGCGACTCGAAAGAGGCGGTACCAGAAGACTCTGGGGATAAAGCAGCAGACGAGTCGACTCCTCCTGCCACAGATGCGACTCCCGATTCCGATACTACTACACCTGGAGCGGACGACGGCAGTAAGGTCGAGGAGCCTGTCAAGTCGGTCAAGCAGTGGAACATCAGGTCAATGATGTGGTATGTATATCGCCGCCCGTACATCCCCGCTCTCCCATGGATGTTCTATACCCATATTCCACTCCCCCTTTCGAGCACCACTAATCATCTACTTTACAATCACAGGCACCTCCACGGCTTCTTCATGACCATCCCTTTCGTCGTCGGCTACCCCTTGGCGGTCTACCTCCTCCGCTCTCCGCGCACGAGCGCGGCAGGGACGGCGTTCAACTACCACTGGACGGTCAACTCTCTGTCGTCCATCTCCGTCTCCATCGGCGCGCTGATCGGCTTCGTGAACTCCCGCTCCATCTCCATCACTCACCAGTACATCGGCATTCTCATTGTCTGCGCCCTGACTGTCCAGCTCGTTCTGGGCTGGCGACACCACGTCGTGTTCGTCGCGACCGGCGGCCGCAAGACCTGGATGAGCACCGTCCATGTCATCTTGGGCCGCGTCGTCTTCCCTGTGGGCATTATCAACGTCGTCTCAGGCCTCATGCTGCGACACTACGGCTGGCCAGTCATCTCGCTCTGCATTGCACTGGCCGTGGTTGAGGTGGTTGTCTTGACCCTCGTGGTGGGCCAGGCGAGGAAGAGGAGGCCCGGCGCTATGCAAAAGGGCCCCACGGCACCGACGGCCGACGAGGCAGAGGAGTACTTCCAACTCGGCGGCGACGATGACGACGAATTCAGCGACGACGACGACGACGAGACCGGCAGGTTGAACGCCGAGGAGAGGGTCAAGAAGGAAGCGGAGCGCGATGAGCAAAGGAAGAAGTTGGCCAAGTTGGATCGTGTGTAGATGGTCCATGGACGAGGGTACACGACATACGGAGGAAAAATTCATTTTGGGATGTAATTTCTTAACAAATACAAGGGCTAGATTAGGTGGTTTACTGAGAGAGAGAGTGTGTGTGTGAGGAAAGGGACCGGACGTTGTCAAGAGGGCCTGGGGGTTCGTTCTACATTTGAGCACTATTCTGGAAAAGGACACAGTGGATAAATGAAGGTGATGTTCATCAATGAATGGTATTTCGAGACATCCTTGATTCTCCCTCCGCATGCATCTGGTCATGACCCCAGGCTCTACCATATGATCCTCATGGCCATGGCATTGTCTATACGTTATTGTTCAATGCACTACCACACCACACCACTCCACTCCAGAGTCCTTTTGTACTGGGCACTGTCGTATGTGGTATATGGCATGCGGTATTGTCCATATATGGGTGCATATATCTTGTACCTAGGTATCGACCGGAAAACGATATGGCGAGTACCTAGGTACTCCGTATACCGCGGGAAGTTGCTGCTTGGGCACTCGGAATGATCGGAAAGGCTTCAGGGCTGTCTGAGCATGTTCTCGGCGTGCATGGCTAGTTTACAAAGGTGCCCTCACATCACGGTTGATCGCCTAGCTGTGTTATTGCGAAGAGGCAGTTGTTCCCATTACGAAGACGAGGCTGCGAATGTGGGAAATGCGGCCAACGTCCAGACGAGACAAGAATGCTTCTCGAACAAAGTTGTTGAACCGTTCTGTCGTCGTCGACGCGCTACGCCCGAATCCAACCCCACAAATTGCATAGCAGAAACAGAGTGCCCGCTCATTTCTCTCGAGATAGACACCGGTCGTTTCCTTCGTTTCAGACGTGAATCTATGTGCATTCGTGGCATCTTTCGTCATAGGCCACCCACGATCTCCCTCCACTGCGGTATGAAATCGCCCACAAAGTACGTGCCCCATAAAGTCCCAGCGGCGATGAAGAGCCCGCTCAGCTTCTCCGTCCACGTATGAAACCAAATAGCCGTCATCATGAGCATCCAAAAATCAAGCACAACCACAGCATATAGAAAGTATCTCGACCATATCCGCACCATCGCCACGGATTCCGACTCCCAGCCCCCGACTGCCTTGCGCTCTTCCTCGGTCATATCGTGGGCCACCGCCGCGGCGGCTCGAGGCGAAACGGACGGATGCGCAGATTCCCGGTCGGCGATGTAGATTTCGTAGAGAAGGAAGGCCGAGGAGAGAGCGAGCATGAATACATGGCCTGAGATGTCGTGTCCGCCGCGCCATTCTCCGCCAGCAGCTTTACATGCGGGGCCCGATGCGATCGTGGTCATGTCCATCGCTTCTTTCAGCCCGGTGGTGTTTATCAATTGAGGCTCACAGTGACCGCCGGTGATGGTGAAACTTCGATCGACAAGCGCGGGACCAAAGCACCACTGTGTGGTCAGAAACCATGAAATGGTAACTAGGCCATAGCGTAAAGTCGATTGTACGTAATGTTTGAGCGCACTGGCTGGGGGTGGTCGAGTGGTGATTTGAAGAAGTACGAAGGCCAGAGTTGTCCAAAACCAGCCAAACTTCACAAAGTATACATTGATTATGTTGCGCTTTCCGGCAAAATAGTTTGTCGAATGAAAGTGCGGGACGTTTAGGTCGGAGGTGATCCCTGGAGCGAGTGATTCGGCGGGTGGAGGACTGGCGACTGGGGAGAGGAAGGCGAAAAGCGATCCCAGAGCGAGGACGACGGGGTAGACGAGGAGGAGGTAGGCCGACGGTCTGTGCCGCGTAGAAGTCATTGAGCTAGAGGTAGCTGGCTGCGTGCGTTCTTGTTGCTTTTCCTGAGTTGCAGTTATTCGGCCGTTGCGTTGCACCGCAGGCATGGTAGAAGGGAAGAGAGAGGACTGCAGGGCGGAGGACAGCAGAATGTCAGCTAGGGCTCAACATGACCTTTTTCAAACAATTCCAGGAGTGAAGAGAGGTGTCCACAAGATGAGTACGGTGGCAGTCAAGGCGAGACAAGAGGCAGAGGCAGAGGCGATGACGGGTGCAGAAGGAAAAGAATGAAGGCCCGAAGCTGTTTGGGCCAAATGACGTCAATCTCTTCGAAACGCCGCCCAGGTGTTTTGTTTGTCCAGGATAAAGTCAGCCTTGACCTTTACAGAGTACACTTTCTACACTTTAAAACGCATTGCGGCCGTGTCCTTGTTTCCTTCTCCCCTTTTTCGGACTATTGCTGCGTTTACCACGGTTTCCCTATATGTCTCTCAGCCGTTCCATGCTCGCCGGATTCTCTCCCACTTGCCACACCCTCGATGTCGGCCCCACGTAACTGAGTTGGAACTGCGATCCAGGTTGAATGGGAAGAAGAGGAGTTGTGGTCATACACTGCGGAGTTGAGATCATCTGGCGAGAGACACAGGGAGACGTGGAAGTGAATCAAAGATAGCCTGGACTGCGGCAAAAGACGCTTCTTGCATCACCATGTCCTTGGGCTTGAGGACAATGTCGGCTCCATGATGGAGATATACATTCAAAATGGCAGCAAGAAGATGTGCAGGTGTTCGGCGTCGATTGCTACCAAAGCATATCCATGGCTCTGACTTCGCACTCGGCCTTCTTTCTGCCTCATTTCCTTTGGATACATGCCGTTGAGACAACAGATCTGCGAGTTCTCGCCCTCAAGCGGTTCCCTCTAGGCGCGCCACTTGGACTGTGGCGCAAGGCATTGACGAGGCTGATTGGATTCTCCGTACTGAGTAGGCCGTTCGTGACTCTTGCATTTCGACCCGGCCGCGTCTCTCGCCACTCCTTGTTAAGATATGGCGGTAGATGCTGTTAGTATTTTGTATGCCTTGTGTGCCTTACTTCCTACTCGGCTCCACAGAGCGACATGGTCTCTCTCGCATGCCCAATCAGCGACTTCAAGATCCATGTCTGGTGCTGTGCTGCCTGCGCCCGCTCATCCATCGGGATAGCGCTCGTACCCTGGAGATTAATCTGCAGTTGACTGGTTCGGGTCTCACGCACAGCCGGTGACAGACCTGTATGCCCTTGTATGCCATGCAGGAGGTCTGCCATCTATGACAGGACCGAGCAGATTGTTTAGATCGCAGGGTCTGAATCCACCATCGAAGAAAACCATGTCCAACGGACTCGGTAGTCGCAGGTCTACAGCAGGCAGAAAGTGAATACGTCTGATTGAATTTTCAGCTTACCAGTGTTGTGTCGCCTTACAAATCTGCTGGACGGCTTCACCGCATGGTCGCCTTGGTTTCGTATTCACTTTGTGAGACACTGACTTTGCATATCAGCTGCTAGAGACCACCAGGGCCATCGACCGTATCTCTGCGACAAACGACTTCACACCTCCGGTTCGAAAATGGACCTCCAACGAGCAAGGAAGGCTGTTGTGTCGGGTAGCAGCAGCCTTGTCGACCTCCCCGAATACATCATCACTTCGTTTGTCCCTGGAGCACGGCCGTTGCTAGACAAACATCCATCCTTCTTCCGCTTCTTCGGTGTCCTCCTGGCCCTGTACTACTTTGGCCCCGTCGCTCGGTTGAAATCACTATGGTCTCAATTCTCGTCCGTCATCGTCGCCACCATCAATATCTCGTCTGAAGAAGACCTTTTCGGCTACCTGACTGCCTACCTGTCAGAGCGCAAAACCCTCCGCGCAGACCAGGTCTTGAATGCCGTGTCCAACAACTCGCAGGACAACGGCCGGCGAAGAAATCGCCGTCATGAGCCAGACGTCGAGGAGACCAGGCGGGCTAATGAAACCCCCAAAATCAAGTACGAGCAAGGCCAGGGCTTGCAATTGTTCGTCCACAAGGGCAAGCTCTTCTTCTGTAGTCGCAAATACGGCGAGGGCCACACTTACTACGGAAATCGTTACAAGAGAATGGAAATCATCTCTCTATCGTGCCTGGGTCGCTCAACGCAACCTATCAAGGACCTGATTGAACATGTCTACTACTTGAACAAGGCCAAAGAACGCTCATTGACTATTATTCGACGGCCCTACAGAGGGGGCCAGACATGGAGCCGAGTCACCTCAAAACCCCGGAGAGCACTCGACACGGTGATACTGGAAGCGGAGCAAAAGGAACAGGTTATCGAAGACGTGGCCGAGTACATGGACGAAGCAACCATGAATTTCTATGCCAATCACGGTATCCCTTACCGACGTGGGTATCTTTTCCACGGCCCGCCCGGAGTCGGCAAGACATCATTCGCACTTGCGCTGGCTTCCAACTTCAATCTCGACGTATATAACCTTTCGTTGCTCGACAACGACCTGACAGACTCGGATCTTATTTCGCTTCTCAATCAGCTCCCAGGCCGGTCGTTATTGTTGTTGGAAGACATTGACACCGCAGGTCTGAACAGAAAAGGAGGGAAGTCCACCACGTCATCGCGAAGTTGGAATAGTCGGCGTGTGAGGCTACCTCCTCGTGACCCTGACGATTATGATGTCGACAACGACGAAGAAGGCGGCTCTGCCTCGCGGGTCACGCTGAGTGGGTTGCTCAATGCCATCGATGGTGTGGCCGCGCCGGAGGGCCACGTTTTGATCATGTAAGTCTATCCCATACCACTTCTAGTATTGAAGCAGTAAGAAACAACTTTGCTAACCGTGCTGATAAAGGACGACCAACAAACCGAACGAACTCGACGACGCGCTCGTGCGGGCAGGCCGGATCAGCGTGAGGGTGGGATTCAGGAATGCCAGCAAAAGGCAGGCAGAGGAGATATTCTTGAGGATGTACTTGGATTTGCCGACCGGCTCAAGCTTGAGAGGGATCGAGGAGGCAGCAGCAGCAGCAGCAGCAGCAGCCACCAACACGGCCACTGCTCCCGCGCCTTCGTCTGACAGCGATACGGAAAAGAGGAACCTCGAACTGCCCGATGACATGGAAACTGCGCGCCTCCGTGGTTTGGCGCAGAAATTTGCCTCGCTCATCCCCGAAGGCGACTTCTCGCCCGCAGACCTCCAAGACTACCTTCTCATCCACAAGAAGGACCCGGAGGAAGCGCTGGACGAGCTGCCCCAGTGGATGGAAAAGATCTACGAGGAGAGGAAGAGGAAGGAGGAGGAGAAGGAGGAGGAAAGAGAAGGGAAGAGGGAGAAGAACCGGGAGGAAAGAAGGCGGTTTAGGGAGGAGGTCAAGAGGGCCGTGAAGGGCGTGGAGGGCGATGAAGATGAGGATGAGGATCGGGATGACGCTGACGACAAGAGCAAAAGGAAGAACGGGGAAGAGGACAGCAAGGAAAAGGAAATGGGAGAGGAAAGAGATGGATCTACGGGTGGTGATGGTGGCCATGAGAACGCCGAGGACAAGGACGTTGACACTGGCGCCGACGCTGACAGCGACAAATCTGGCCAGAAGAGCGGCACCGCCCAGGAGGAAAACCGCAACAATGCTTAGACCGCAGAGAAGAACGACATACACACATAAACCGCGCCCCAAAGCCCTACATGATTAGCTCTTTATTACTCAACCAGCATGCCTGCTAGACCTGATCCATTGGCCCCCCTCGCCCTTTCTGTCTCGCGTTATATTGAATTCGATTTGATCGCCAAGTGCATGGCAGAGCCTCGCCATTCTCAGCGCTAGAATCGAAGCGATGGAAGGAATTTGAGGAAAAGGGCGAGTGCTCAAATATACACTCAGTGGCACTCGCACCGGCACCGGCATCTTGAGTTCCAGGAATGTTGGATTTTGGTTAGAGTCTCGCCGGGAGGCCTGCATACATCACAATAGAGGAATAATCGAAGGGCGACGAAGTCGTGGAGTTTGCTTGGAACCTCGGATAGAGAGTACTGCATATTTTTGCAACGTCTGCCTGATGTCAGACGATGTAGAACTGATTCCTTGGTCTCAGGCCCATCATTCACTACAGACTGGACGAGTCGACTCATCTAGCCACCTATCTTCCAACCGCTTCTTGTCCCTGAGAATCCCCCAGAAGCTCCATTTCCGCTGTCGTCCGCACAGGTGAAACTGCATCTCGCTCAGCCTATGACATTAGTACACAAATGGGATCATTCTCCATCTCTTGATGATCTCCCACGCCCTGTCAGGGAATTTTGCCCGAAGCCATTTCTTCGTCCCGTCAGCCGTCACACCGAGGTTCACCGTAACGAAGACCAGCGCGCAGAAGAGTGTCCAGTTTACCGACAGTATTGCTGGTTTCTGATTGTCATCACGACGCTGATGGTGATCTTGTCGGGGAGGCGCGTCTAGGAAGGAGAGGCTCAGGTAAATGAGACATTCGGCCGTATAGTGTGGTGCGACCACCCATCGGAACGCATATTTTTCGGGTAAGGTGTATTTCTTCAGGTTCGACAGGTACCGGTGATAGAGATTCTGCCGGTCACTGGCCCAGAAGAAGAGGAACGTCCAGGCCAGAGTCTTGGCCGTCCATAGAATACTCCCTTGATTCCTGTCTGGGCTGGTCGTCTGAGCTTGACTGTGGTTGACGTCGAGATGCTCAACCCAGATGGCCATGTTTGTGACCATGTAAAATGCCATGCCAATGGCATAGTGGCCAATCCACATTCGCGAGTTACTCTGTTGAGCAAGCACGAGACATTCAACCAGCCGCCGACAACCTTGAAGCAGCATCAACATCGAACAAAAAAGAGGGATGTCCATGGCCTGGCCCTCGATCGTCCCTGCATAGTGATGGAAAGTGAATAGACAAGCCAATGAGCATGTAACGGACAGTACGTAGAAGTGAGTGAACCATGCATGAGGAACCGTGAGAGTGGCAACGCAGTCCAGAAAGTGGCCGCCTATCGAAGGCTCGTCCTGCTTTGTGGATTTGTTTCTCTCTTTACTGCGGGCGTGGTCTCCCGCACGCGCTCCGTACGCGAGGAATCGGCCTCCGAGGGCAGGAATTAGGCGAACGGCGAGGATTGCCAGACTGCTGAGGAGGTAGAAGGCTTTGATCGCCCGAATGGCCAGAGGGAGCATCAGGGTCTCTCGACCGTCCGTGTCTGGCTACGGACTGGCGGAATTTGTGTTGCAGAGCTCGGACTTCATGCAGGAGAATTCAAAAGTACGCCAATGTTGGCTTTGGCATCTTGCTCTTGCGCTTGCTGACTTTTTGCAGATCAGAAACGCGGTCGCACACGGCGCAGAACAGGCGATTCTGGGAGCACCGGCCCGCTCGGGGAAGTCAAAGCAAACAATACGAGAGACAGCAGATGGCGGATACAGGGGAGGGCTGGCGTGACTCGCAGTCGTAGTGGATGGTCCTCCAAGAGACGAAATCTGGTTCGAGAAGAGATGGAAATTGGGCTCCTGATCAAAGATCCGTTGGGCGCCGGAAGGTTCTGCCATGGGCCCCTCCGACTGGCTGTGATTAAGCTTGGGGGGCCTGTGATAAGTGCCTTGTTTCTAGTAGGGAGGCGAGCCGTAGGCGGCAGGTAAGAGGCCTGGAACTATGAGTGGGGGGAGCCACCAATGCCAATTTGAGCCCCCCGGGCCTCTGGGGCAACTTCGTCTCACGTGAACAAGATCTGCAAGCCAACAAGACTTGGAGTCGAAATCGAGTTTCGTCTCTCCCGTCTCTTGGGCTTGTGTTTCTGTGCTTCACAATGTGGTGAACCCATCAAAACGCCCACCCAGACAAGACCCTTCATCTCCCTGCGCCGGGTCAGAACTCCTTCCATAACGTCAACCTTCATCCACAGCTTTGAGACGCTATCGCCCGCCCGGGAGACCACATCTGTTGACCTTCACCGCCGCAGCCCGTCAACACCTGCTGCCCCAGCCTCCCACTCTATCCGCAACGCCCAATCTTCCGTCCAAAACGGCAAACGACACCTTCCATGGTAATAATGAAGAGGAGGCGACCATCGTTATGACTGATGCGGTCGGCTCCAAGGAGTCTCAAGATGCCACAGCCCGAAAGGCCACCGACCAGGCGACCACTGGCGGACCGACCAGTGCACCTGCCACAGTTTCAAAGCCCAAAGAAATGACCTCAAATCCCACGCCTGCTAGACGCAGCATTGACCAAGTCATGGCTGATGCAGTTGCTGAAGCGGATGCGGATGCCGATTCAGAGGCAGAGACACTGATTCAGTCACCAGAGAAGCAGAGGACCACCACCGATAACACATCTGTAAAAGAACCGGCAAGTGTTACCAAGGCCAAAGACGGAGGATCGGCTGCTGGAGCCACTGCGACCGAAAATGACAACAATTCCAGAAAGCGCAAGCGTAGCATCGATGATGCGCAGGACGATCCCGCCTTTTCCACCTCCAGCCGTCGTAGCTCACCTTTATCATCACCTCGAATACTGCCGCAATCCCCAGATAGCGATTCAGACATATCAGTCGATATTGCATCCCAAATGCCAAAGCCGGTGCGGCGGAAACGAGAAGACGATGTCACCGGATTGCGTGCTGCCGAAGAGAAGCAAGTCAAGAATCCAAGTCGCAAGCGTCGTCCAAGCGATATCCTGCCTCCGATAAGCAAACATCGCACAAAGAACAGTAGTGGCGGAGTGGATCCGACCTCGTCAGAGCGCCGCGAAACCAGATCAGCTACTTACCCTCGCCATTCCTCGCAAGACCGCTCTCCCTCGCCAAGGCCACAAAGACGGGAGCACAGGCGTGGAATCTCGACCCAATTCACGCTTGGCGATGTTGAGAGGAAAAAGCGCGGTCGACCTCCATCAATTCACACTAGACGAAGTGGTTCGGCAGACAACACTCGTGACCGATCGGTCTCGTCGGATGTGTCAGACTCCCCCAGACAGCCACGGCCTGCCCTGCTACACAAATTCTCGTCTGCAGAGCATGATACCATGTCACCGATCAAACCTCCTGGCCCTCGCAAGTGGCGCGACAAGAATGGTAGAACCTTCCTGTCTCGGGCCTGTAGCAACAATGACCTGGCGGCGGCGAAAGTCAAATTCTCCGAAAGACCTGAAGACCTGAACCTCCCAGACAACGCAGGAAACACTCCCCTTCAAATCGCTGCGCTCCAGGGCTACGTCGATATCGTGAAATTCTTGTTGGAGAACGGATGTGAAGTGGATACTCGGAATATCGATAAAGATACGGCTCTTATTGATGCGGTTGAGAATGGTCATGTTGAAGTCGTCAGACTCCTCCTCGAGTACGGAGCAAATCCACGAGTGGGCAACGCTAAGGGCGATGAGCCATACGAACTTGTTCCTCAAGATGACGAAAACTATGAACAGATCCGACGACTACTGGCTGACGCGAAAGACAAACCCAGCAATAGGCGAGTGTCTTCTGAACACAACGAAATGGCTCGAGACGGAAATTCATCCCGAGCGGCTTCTGCTGCTAGTCCCCGCGATTCACCACCCTTGACGGGTCCCAGGAGTCCGCCACCTGCTTACGGGAGGCGAAGAACCGGTCGTAGTGAATCAACTCGAAACGATCTTCTCTGGCAAGCTAACACTCAGGACAATCTGAAAAAGTTGGCCGGAAAAGGTGATGTCCAAGGTGTGGCAAATATCCTCAACGTTTTGCAAAAGGCGGAAACGGAGTCCTTGATTGCAGCCGCCAAAGCAGGTCATGAGGAGGTGTTGCAGCTGATTCTGGCGATGGGCGACCCCGAACCTGACCCTGACCCGATCCGCACTATCAGACCTGGCTACAATACTCCCATGCTTGCAGCTATTGGAAGGGGGCATCCGGAAGTTGTCGAACTTCTCGTCGAGCAGCTCGGTTTCAATCCTACGAGGAGGATTCTTAAGGGGAAGACTTACTTTGAGGTCGCTGCCGAGCGGAAAGGTGAACGATGGGAGCAGGAGTACGAGATTTTGAAGTCCGCCTACGACAAATTCATGGCCAAGCACCGAAGATTCAGCTCTCCGCGAATTACTAGAGATGTGGACAAGGGAAAACTTCGTGTCAGTCGCCGTTCTCAATCTCCGGCCTCCAACAAATTGCAAATTTCTTCGAATCCGATCTTGACGCAGAAACAGTTAGGAGGCAAGTCACCATATTTGACAGAGAAAGAAAAGAATCGCGACCTTGGTTCTGTGGATGGGCAAGACAGGCACAAACACCATGTTTCCAGACGAGATGTCGCAGGTTCACCTGTCGCAGTCTCTTCTGATCAGGATTCGACCACAATCGTTGGTCGCAAGGGTCACATCAAACGACGGAGTCAGAGCGACCTGCCACCACCACCCAATCTGGACTCTGAGGTCACGCATCGAAGAAGACGTCTCGTTACCGGCAAAGAGCATCGCAGCCGCAAGAGCAATTTAGATCTGTCATCAGATGAAGAGATGACAGTGGCGGTGAAGACGGAGAGCAGACCGAGTACGGTGCTCAAACGAACTCGAGAAAACGTTTCGCCAGGGCCAGCAGTGACACAGGAGGGTGACAATGGTCGCGGCACAGCTAAGAAGCGGAGGACCGTCATCGAAAGCAGTCCGGAAGAAACCCGCCCTGGCCCAAAGAACCAATACCGTGACTCGTTATCTCCAACGCTTAACCGCAAATTGGAAGAAGAAGCTGGTTCGGGGCGTGAGAAATTGAAACCTCAGCCGGCTGTACAGGAAGGATCGAAGGGATTCATGGATATTGACGAGTTCGGACTAGATGAAATGGGCGACACTATTGAAGTTGAAAGTGGGCCAAGCGTCTACGCTGATGCATGGCTTCGAGGCACGGTGACAGCCGAATCCATCAAACGCGAGCCGGTCGAAAGGGGTCTTTCCGAGACCGATCTTCAGCTTCAAAGAGAAGAAAATGCTCGTCAAGCCGAGGAAGCCAAGCGACTTGAGGAGAGTAAACAACTTGAAGAATCCAGGCGACTCGAGGAGGCCAAACGACTTGAAGAGACCCGACGTATTGAAGAGGCTAAACGTCTTGAAGAAACCCTACGGCTTGAAGAGGCAAGGCGACAGGAAGAAATGAGACGGTTGGAAGAGGCAAGACGAGCTGAGGAATCCCGACGACTTGAAGAGGCCAGACGACGTGAGGAGCTCCGACGACTCGAAGAGTACCGACGACTTGAAGAGGAACGACGACTGGAAGAGGAACGAAAACTCGAAGAAGCAAGACGACTCGAAGAGGCTAGGCGGATCGAGCAAGAAAGAATTGCAGCTGAGAAGGCAGCGGAAGAGCGAAGACTTGCGGAAGAGGCCGAACAACGTAGAAAGGCAGAAGAGGAAGCTGCTCTTAGGCGGAAGGAAGAGGAGGAGCGGAGAGAGCGCATTAGGCGTGAGCTCGAAGAAAGACAACGCAGACAGGAAGAGCAGCTCAGAGAGCAGCAACGTCGAGAACGACTCGAGGCCGAGCAGCGCCGCCGGGAGGCGTTGCCGGCATTACTCAAGCACTGCGCCCTGCTCATCGACAATGGCGATCCTAAGGCCAGAAGCGAACCCTGGTTGAAGCTTTTCTTGCCATTGTACGCCGTCAAATCCGCCCAGCTCGACCCCAATACTCCGGATGCAAATCAAAACGACCTCTGGGTTCCGAACTTTCAAGTTGCTGGACTTCTTGCGACCAAGGATTTGAACCTACGCAGTTATACTTCGTTGGAGAGACGTCCTGTCACACCACACGAACGACAACGTCTTTGGCAAGTATCGAGGAATAACCTGTCGTACGAGTTCCAAACCAATCAGTACAATACGACGATCAAGATGGCGATACAGCGCGAGCGAGAGGAGCGACCAAAGTTCTTTGCAATGGAAGAACTTTTCTGGGTCAAGGTATGTGGTCTATTCGTGCTAGGAGGTCAATGATGGTGGAAGTTAACCTGAACGCAGCTCTCTGGCTTTGAAGATCAGATCTTCCGACATCCGCACCTGGCGAACCTGAAGATCAGCAAACAACCCATCTCACTTAGGGTCCTTTCCTTGCAGCAGTATAACGCAGATGATTCGTCACCGCAAAGCCCTGCTGCGCTCCCCGACTTTGGTAGTAATATGAAATCAAGCCAACTGACGAACGGCACAGCTTCCCATGCGTCGCCAATTGTCAATGGCAACGGAACCGGGCACACTCGTTGAGAGGGTTTAATGACTGATGACCGTGAGAACAACGACCTTGCTTGGCCACTTGCAGATTTGTTTCAAGGACCGGACTCTGATGTTCATGGTCTCGATCGGCTTTTGGGTGCAGATTGAGCCATCCATTCGTTGACAGGAAGAACGATATGAAGGCATGATGAATCTACCGTGTATGGGGTCTGTACTGTAGATAGCAATCATTGAACTGTGTCCAGGAACACAATACAATGTGCATGACGGGAGAGTTTGTCCTCCAAATGAATGCCGCACATCATACCCATGGACCCCCAGGCAATTTCCTGCTAGTGCTCTCCGTTTACGAGGATCTCTGCACCCCCCCTCCCTTGGCGGTTTCATGCACCTAGTCTCCTAGTGATACCACCTGTGCCACACCTCAGAATGACAGGCACGTGACGACGTTGTAGTCTTGGCAAAGTCTTGGGAGACACGCACCGTAATTTCGCCCATTTTCGAAAAAGTTCCGATCTTTCCTTTTGCATGATACCATTCATTCCTTTCGCGAGTTGACTCTTTGAGGATCATCCGACAAATTGTTGATAGACAAGTTACTTGCACACAAGTCACGAATCGCCAATATGGTATGTCTCGCCCTCCCGCCAAACACTTTTTCTCAAATGTTATGCGAGCCGAAAGTCTTGGATGGTCCCCCCCCCCATATCCCGTTGTGCCCGAGTGACCACTGGGGTGTTTTTTGGGAGGATAGATATGTTTCTTTCATGGAGGATAGTTGGAACATGGAGAGGCACAGCACGACGACGTGACGGAGGATTTTCTTTTATTGTTGCTTTGCCCGCATGATTTTGCCTGTGAGAAGCCAAGAAAATACTGACGGATGATTTTGTCCCTGCGCAGTCGGAAGGAGAAGAGCCCACTTCCCCCGTCGAAGAAGTCGCCGCGGCCGATGAGGTCGAAGTCTCTGGCGATGCCGGCGCCTCCGGTTCCATGTCCGTCCTTGACGCTCTGAAAGGTGTGTTGCGCGTATTTCTTTTTGGGAGAGGAACATCAACATCAGACAACGCAAGAGGCGGAAACGAAAACCCCGGTGGCTCTCCAACGAGAACAAGGGTAGAAAAAGAGATGGCTGGAACAAAAGAATCTCAAAATGTCATATCGAGTGAGGGCTAACCACGGTTTTTTTGCAACAACATTCAGGCGTTCTCAAACTCGCCCTCATCCACGACGGCCTCGCCCGCGGCCTGCGCGAAGCCTCCAAGGCCCTCGACCGCCGCCAGGCACACATGTGCGTCCTCAACGAGGCCTGCGAGGAGGAAGCCTACAAGAAGCTCGTCGTCGCCCTGTGCTCGGAGCACAAGATCCCGCTGATCAAGGTCCCCGACGGCAAAATGCTCGGCGAGTGGGCGGGCCTGTGCGTCCTGGATCGCGAGGGCAACGCCCGCAAGGTGGTCAACTGCAGCTGCGTCGTGGTTAGGGACTGGGGCGAGGAGAGCCAGGAGCGCAACGTCTTGTTGAACTACTTCCAGACCGAGCAGTAGACGAGCACGGAGAGACTGCTGTCACCGCTACCGCCACCGCTGCTGCTGCTGCTGCTTGTCTACTCTTTCTATCAATTTTTACCTTGCCGCTCGCTGGGATAGGGTTGGTGGGAGGCGGACATGGACATGGACATGGCCGGGGAGACGGAGACGGAGACGGAGACGCAGGCGGAGGAGACTATGCGGTGGCTGTGTGCGCTGCGTACGGGACGAGATGGCTGGTCGGAAGAATTCAAATACCCTCACACTACCTTTGCTCTACTTTTCTCTACTGTACCTTGCTATGCTCTGCTATGCTCCGCTTTGCTTCGCATGGCAAGGCATGGCATGGCATGGCACAACGCGCAAGGAAGGGACGGAATCCTGGAAAGAGCAAACCCCAAAAGAAAAGAACAAAGTCACACGGGCAAATGGAAAAAACAACTACCCAACAAAACCAAACACACAAACCTTCAAAGGATCTTTTTCTCCCTTCTTGAGGGGAAGAAAGAAAACTCTTCCCCCCCCCCCCCAATCTTGACAACTTCACCCAACGAATCAGGTATATTTCTTCTCTTGCCCATTCCTTTACCTGTCCCTGCTTCGCCCAGCCCAATTACCACGGACTTGGATTTTCGGGGGGGTAAATCTCGCATTGTGTCTCTTCACATGGCTTGATGGTCCATGTATCATTCTGGGATTCTAACGTCATATCTGGCCGAAGGATGGCCCTCCGATGTCTGGATTTCTGACCGTCTCATCTGTGGTCGTGAAATGCATTCTGTGATCGTAGTGGCTAGCTGCAAAAAACATTGCAGAAATGAGCGTCTATTGTGGTGTTGGCCGTGATCTCGTAACTCGTCTCAGTGTCAAGGGCGGTTGAGCACCCCCCCATTGATGTAATGATAGACTAGAGTTGGTCTGACCAGAAGTCGATTCCCTAGCAGTCGCTGAGACCGGGTCTGTCCGTCGAAAAGCTGGCTGATCATCTACCTCCCTGCCACTTTTCCACCTCTTCGACCTCGCTTAGACCACACCCATACTCTCCGTACCTTCGCCGCCCCTGGTGCCAGCAGTATTCTCCTGCATCAGCCGAATCTTCCTCTTCGCACTCCCAAATCCGTCGATTCCTTTCTCTTGGTTCTCGCCCAGCCACGCCTTCGCCGCCTCTCCCATCACACCCTTTCCGAAATAATACACAAAGTGGCCAATCATAATAAGTGTGAATGCAATAGGGTACATCCAATGCACGTGTAAATGGAACACCTGCAACCCGATAATGACACCCCAAAAGTTTCCTGTCAAGAGAGAAATGTTTTGGAACGCTGCGCTGGCGAAGCGATACAGGATTGGAACGAGGGTGTAGAAAATGAACAGAATAAGGGTGTAGCCTGTCAAATAGCCACCGACTTTGCCGTTCCAAGTCGCGGTGTGGAAGGAGTGGCGGTCAAAGATACCGGCTTGTGCGCCATTGATGATGGTGGCCCAGAAGCCAAGTTGACCGATGACTTCATAGAGGGGTCGGCCGGAGACAAACCATTCCTCATAGACGTTGTCCAGGCCGTAGAAGGTCGCACCCAACAAGGCGAACAGGTCGCCTTTGAGTTGGTTGCCGGAAGAGACGTCCCCACCATTGGAGCCAGTGATGTGGTCGGAGGCTAGCAAAAGCCCCATTCCACCGATGCAGACGAAGATACCGAGGACTTGAGCCCAGTGGTAACGCACGCGGAGGAAGACGAAGGAGATGATGACCACGACGACAATGGCCCAAAAGTTGATGAGTTGGGCCGAGAGTATGGTGGTGTAACGGTAGGCGAGGACAGTGAAGTAGTTGCCCTCGACATCGAAGAAAGCAAGAATGATATCTGTAGTCGATTGTTAGTTTTGGAGCGTTCTGATGTGACAAATGGTGGCGAATCATTACATTTCCAACCATCCTTGATGACCACCCGCAACCACTTCTTAAAGCCATACTTGTAGAGAGTGTAGCCCGTGTAGACGAAATTAAGCAATACGTAATTGAACAGGGTCTGGAAGGCGGGGATGCTGTTCCCCTCGGCCGCCAACAAGCTTGTCAAAGTGTTTGTGCCGGTGATGCAGATAGCCAGTACCTGGCCCAGACATAGAATGAACCAAAAATCCTTGGTCTTGAAGAATGCCAACTTGGAGCGCCATGACTGCTTGTTAGGTCCGCCTGTTTCTTCACCGAGGGCAATGGGGCCGCGTTCGGGGCTCGCTTCGACGATCTCGGGGTGTCCATGCTCGACAGGGGAATGAGAGCTGGAGGAACCGGTGCCATAGTCACGGCCAAGGTCGACGCTCGTGGCACGGATGACTTTAATGTCCTTGGAGTCGCTCATTGTGGGTAGCTCTCGGTGGCAATCAGGAATCGTCAAAGGATCACGATTGGAGGAAATGGTCAGGTTGGAGCTTTATGTCGAGAAGCGAGCGCAAAACTCCCGAAGTCGCTCACTGTGGAAGATAGGTTTGAGGATGCCTGGGAAGGGCGATGGGAAAGAGGGGAAGAGAGCAGAGAAGAAAAAGCAGGGAAGGACATTTTGTAGGGTCTTTTTCGCATGTTGCATCTGGTGATCGGTGGTGACCGAAATGATGTGCGTTGGGTTGGTGAGTAGCGGGAGCAGCACCAGATCGGGTCACTCGACTGGTCCAGAGCGTGGTAGAGGGGACCGCAAGCGCACAGAAAGACTGCAGAAAGAGTGGGGGGTGAGGTGGTGTCTGCCAGTGGAATTTTTTTCTTTAGTCTTTGGTGTTTGGTAAAGAGGCCAAAGAGGTCAATGAATCCGCTTATCTGGCGGCCACCACCCACGTGATGCGGGAGGTTGGGAGAAAGGATTTTCCGAGCTCCAAGAGACTAGTGCCGACACGTGACTGAGTGGCACCTGCTGACATAAACCATTCACGTCGGCGGTGTTGGAAGTGCACAACTTGTATAGATCCCTGGGTATAGATAGCTAGGAAGTATGCACTACACAAGACGGGGTCCGGAGCAGACAAGCCCCAACAAAACCAGCACTTGGATAGTCCCTGTCTATATACTCCCCTCACTCCCTCCTGATCCGCGGACTCGGACCAGAACGGCGCCACCATCAGCTCAGGGGGCGGCTTGGGCAAAATCTAACACGGCCCCGCCCCACCTTGACCACAAATGGCTCGCTGGGACAATTTCCCTGGATACTGTCTGAGACTATCTTATACCAACCAGGTAGCATTGGCAACATTGGCAGTATTGGCGGTTTCGGCAAGAGGCGGCTAGCAGGGAATCAAGGCGGAGGCTAATGCAGGGATGGTCCAGAGGCATCTCTCGATATGCTGCGGTTCAGCCTCATCAGGCTGGTGCGAGGCGCCATTCAGCACGCGAGCAAATAGTAAGCCGAGCACCAGGGGCCATCCGAAGGCGTCCAAGAGCGTCCAAGAAACCTTTATGGTCGTAGACTGATCCCATCAGACCGTCCAAGCCCAATGTCGTGATTTCAAGCGTCGATTGCACGCACCAGGTTATCCCACCGTCTGTCCTCTCCACGCTCGTTGACTGCTGGTGACTCTCTTTTTTTCCTTGTTGTCTCCCACGAACTCTCCTTTGATCGCTCATTCTTGTTAAGAGACTAATTCCAGGGCACGGCGGATCTTTTTTTGCAAGGGGCGCGGGCGCGCCTTTATCCTCTCCTTTGACGCCACCACCCTGTTCACTTCATTTCATTCCATCCAATACCAAGTCTTCAAGACACTCGGCTCTCAGACACGCCATCACCTTCCCAAGAGAGGCCCAGCGAGGTCGCTAATCATGATAGCAAGATGACCGAACACGAGCTCCAAACCCTCCGAGAGCCTCTCATCAAGGACGAGGGAGATCTCTTTCTGGACACCGATGCTCCTTCCAGCCATAGCTTTGAACCAGAATCACTTCAACAAATCCCCAAACGCATTATCTCTACAGCCCTTGCGCACGCCCGACCGGCCACTGTCTACAAACTGAGCAAAAGATTTGCCTACTGCTTCGCTCCTCAGATTGCGCGGTCGCGATACTGGAACGATCATGCTTCCAAGCCGAAGCAATTTCCTACCAGCTACCTCAATGGCCTCCGAGGCATCACCTCCATCAAGGTCTTTACCTTTCACTTCATCATGGCATTCAGCGATATTGGCTTTCAGCCCTGGGGCACCAACGATCGCCATCGCTATCTTCTCGAGCTCCCCATAATCCGATATTTCTATTCCGGCTTCACGGCTCACGTCTTCTTCGGCATCGCAGGATACCTGACCTCTCTACGACTGTTCCAGCTCCTTGACAAACGCGACCAAACCTCGCAGTCCAAGGTCCTGCTGAACGTGTCGGGGGCTCTGTTCCGTCGAGCATTCAGACTCTATCTCCCTGTCCTCATCGTCACTCTCATCACGGCTCACTACATCCATTTCGGCTTCTACGAAGGAAATCGAGTCTACATCACCGATCACGAAAAGCTCTTCCCGGGCGACTGGAATGAACCCAAGCCTGAAATGTTTCCGACCTACTATCGGCAGCTGAGCTACTGGGCGCGGGAAATGTTCGACTTGACAAACATCTTCGCCCCCGGCTCTGTTTATCCCTATCACGATCAGCATTTGTGGTCCATTCTGGCCGAGTTGAAGGGTTCGATTTTCCTCTACATGATCTTGATGGGCACTGCGCAGTGCCAGAAATACGTTCGATTGGCAGGCTTGTGTATCATGACGGTCATGTTCTTTCTGTGGAACCACTGGGAGATCTGGGTCTACATCATCGGCGCCGTGGTGGCACAGATCGACCTCCTTCTCACCGAACACGAGCAGGAAAAGAAACTCACACTGGTCCCAAACCGCCTGCCTCCGTCGCCGCCGCACTCGCCCAAACCAGACTACAAGCCGCCGCCCTCCTGGTCCGATTACGTGTCGACGCCGCCCAAGGGATGGCTGTACGGCCTCCGTGTCCTCGGGTTCCTGCTGGCCTTCTATTTCCTGTCCTACCCCATTGACGGCTCGAGAGATTACGCCCCGGGATACATGACACTGAACAAGCTGATTCCCGAATGGATGGACCGCAAGGACAAGTTCTACCCGAACCTCGGGACGGGCCTCCTGTTGTTCCTGCTCGCCCGCGCCGACCCCGACACCTCGATCTGGCGACGCCTGCTCAACAGCAGCCTGGCGCAGTACCTGGGCAAAATCAGCTTCGGGCTCTATTTGGTCCACGGCCCAATCCTCCACGCCGTCGGATACATGATCCCCCACCGGATCTGGTGGTCCATGGGCGTGCAGGGCCTCGACACGACGGATGCTGTGTGGACGGCGGTCATAATCACGGGCTGGACCATCAGCCTGGCGCTGTCCCTGTGGGCGGCCGACGTGTGGACGAGGGAGGTGGAAAGCAGATGTGTCAAGGCCGTCAAGAAATTGGAGGAAGTGTGCTTTGCCGCCAAAGCCTGAAACCCAAGAGAAAAGAAAAGAAAAGAAATTGTGCGTAGATCAATGCAAAATCCCCGTGGTTTTGGGCTGCGATACTACTGCTTGCATACTATGTATTTTGCTCCTGGCGTCGTATTCAGCGTTTCAGCGAGCACGGCATATTGGCGTTTTGCATTCATGGATGGAACGGTACGGTACGGTTCATGCTCCAAGACTGGCCTAAGATACCCCCATTAATCAAGCCGAGATTGCCCGCTTCAATGACAGTCTGCATCGCCCATGGCCGTAGGACGCTCGTGAGTGACACATGCGTTGATCACGTCGATGTGACCAGCGCCGCCCGTGTGATTGTTCGCGTCTACAACCCCCGTCTTTGTTTGAATCGCCCGTCATCCCCATCGCCACAAGTCACGATCCCCAACAGCGTCCGCCACAAATCCAACCTTTCCGACGATCCGTTATTCCGTCGCCGCCGCCTGTCGTTGTTTCTCTTCATATGCCACGATGTCCGCGACGGTCTCGCGGGCCGAGACCCTGGCCGACTTCCACTGCTGTCCGCCGAACGCCTGTTCGAATTTCGATATGTCCGTCTTGACCATGTTTGCTCCACCATTGACATCTTCTTCAGGAGCGGGAACCCGATCCCTCAGCTGGGGAAAATCCTCTCGCACCGCGCGCGCAATCTCGTCGGTCACCATCAGCTCGGGCGAGTGGAACATGTACCGTTCGTTGCCGGGGACGGTGGGCGAAAGGGCCTGGACGTGCACGCGGGCGACGTCCTCGACGTCCCTAGAAGACGGAGGAGCAAAAGGTCAGCAGAGTGTTTCCTGAACGGTGGGGGTGGACGTTCGTGATTCAGGAGAGTGTTGGGGGAATGTGAATGTTCAGTGGCTGGTGAGGTTGGACGTGGGTGCATCAAGGGAGTGTTTGAAAAATGGTTCAGTCGCTGGTGAGCCTGAAGAACCGTCAATCAGTAGAGTGTTTGGGGGTTGTTGGGTCGCCCGGTGAGCTTGGACGCTCATGAATCAGAAGAGTGTTTGGTGAGTTCTGGATCTTTGCGGTTCGGCGGAGCTTTTCGTAGATATTTGGTCGCCCTAGTGAGCTGGACGGTCGTGATTCAGTAGCGTGTTGGAAGATGTTCAGTCGCTGGTGAGTTGGAGGACGCCCGTGATTCAGGAGAGTGTTAGAAGGATATATAGTCGCTGGTCAGGCTGGACACTCGTGATTTGGCAGAGTGTGAAATGTTCAGCCGCTTGTGAGGTTCGAGGACGCTGGTAATTCAGCAATGGACTTGGAAGAGTTTTGGGTTGGGATCCCATTTGGAAGGTCAACGTTGTCCTGCCAGACCAGGGCTCTTTTGAAAGAACTCCAACCCGGCTCATCAGACCAGAAGAGTCAAAGTGCCAGAGTGAATCGAAGTATTTGCTTGGTTTGGCAGATGCCGCGACACCGCACAGAAAGAAAGGCCAAACACCTACATGAAGTACGGGTACAAGAACCCAGGCTTGTCGCAGTCGAACAGTCCCTTGTATAGGCCCGGCTGCCCACCAAGGCGTCCCTTGTCCGGTTTGAAATCGGCCTGCGGACTCTTGCCTGTGATCGACGGTGCCAGCAAGACGACCAGGTCAAACGGCCGCGGCGTCTCCTTCATGAACTCCCAGGCCTTCTTCTCCGCCGAGACCTTGGAGTAGCAATACGCATTCAAGGGATTCAGCTCCGCTTCTTCGAGGGTGATGGGATTCCAGCTCTCGTCCGATACAGTCTTGTCAGAGTACAGATCCTCAATACGCATCGTCGCCACCATGCTCCCTGTCACGACCACCCTCCTCACCCGGCCCGCTGACTTCTGGGCTGCGCTCAGGACATTGTGCACAATGGCCCAGCTGGGCTTGATGGTCGTCTCCATGAGATTATCGAACGTCAGCGGGGTGGCTATGTGGATGATCGCGTCGGCTTTGCTGGCTGGCTCGTCAAAGGCGTGGGGGGCGGTCATGTCTGGGATCTCCACAAAGGATAGACGGCCTTCTGAGACCTGGGAGGCGTATCTGGACCGCAAGGATGCTTCAGATCGCGCGAGAGACCGGAGCACGACAATCACGTCGATGTTGGGATCTGCAGCGAGGAGGGCCAGAGTCGAAGCACCCAGTGCTCCGCTGGCTCCAGTGAGAAGAATGGTTGTTTTGGACATGGCGGGATGTGATCTTCTAGGTCGACGACAAGCCTGTCACGACGATGGACCACCTTTGCAGAGACGGCATATCGACTTCTTGATATCTTTTATCCCATCTTTTATCCCACCTCGACAAACACCGGGCCCCACCTCTCATTCAGCACCACCCACGGAGTAAGTGCACAGCATCCAGACGTGAAGCCCTAGTGTACGAGCTGACGAAACTATTGGCTGTCATTTTCGCGTTCTGAGGAATGGCATGAAGGGTTGCGCTCGAAGGGCCTTGCGGATCCAGCGAGAATGTGGAGGGAGAAAACGGCCAGATCTACAGGCACACATACAAGGACGTATCCAAAGGGCTGGACCTGAGCTCCTACTAAACGACAGTCCTCGTTTACTAAGCAACACCCTTGCGGAAGCTCCCTTTCGTTGGCCGTGCTTCTGCAGGGATGTGGCTCGTGTTGCGTGACGGGTGCCGGCATCTTGTCGGGGACATGTATGGGCGCCGTCAGCCCGCGGCGATCAGGAGCTCGTTTGCGCGACTTTCTCTGGGCAGGCACTGTTTGGTCTTACCATCTTACCAGAAATCTGGAACCGAAGAGCATTCGGGAGAGTCCGAACTCGCCGGGGCTCTAGGAGCACAGCAATGCCGTCCGAGATATTGTTGGAAGCTACACCCAGTCTTGTGCCGCCTAACCATCTGTATTCTTATGGCATATGCCCCTGGATGAGCTGAGCACAACCGGACCGACTATTGTGTGCACAAGGGAAGCTTACTGCTTGCATCCTGCCGGGTGTTCCGGAGAACGTCGAAATACTAAATCTCGGCTGCCCTGAACAAACCACACCCAGCTTTGATCCCGTACTTTTGTACAATTGCACTTTAAAAGCAAAGTCAAGAAATCTACGAGCAAGGAAAGGCCTAGTGATAATTCAAAAAGCGATCCGCCCCTGAGCAAGAAAAAGAGCCCAACCCGACATGCTCGCGCAGAACCAGCCTCGGACACACCACCCCCATCTGGCTCTGTCCAGGAGGGAACAACCCCAGAAGCAGGTCCCGCAGGAAAACTGTGTTTACATGGCGATTGCCTTGATAGGCGGTGTGATCCTGATCACGAAACCCGCCCTGGTTGTCCTTGCCCTCCTCCTCGTCGGCTACGGTCGATTGTACCACTTCGAGCAGCCGCACGAACAGTCTCGGCGGCCATTGTGGTCTCGGGAGCATCATAATCGCTCGGAACACTCTCTGCTGCACTTTGGACCGAGCCCAGAGAGGCACGACGAGCAAAGGACCCGAGCAAGTTTGCATGACTTGGCCAAAGGGTTGAACCTCCCGAAAGTGAGGATCGAAGGGGACGGGAAAGTCCATCTTCATTGAGACACGCCCAGCATGCTAACCGACAATGCGAGGTATGCCGGCCGGTGTCTGCTCAGCTCTAAATGAACTAGACATGCGACTTGTTTCGGCGAGCAGATTTCTATGCGATTGGCGGCCCAAGATACGTGCTCACCATGGCAGAGCATGGCCAATCACCGGCAATCAAAACCTGCTCACCGGTGAAGAGCACCATGCCTCTTGCATTGGGAAATGGTACCTGTTCTCGTGCGGATGTCTCTCTTAAGACCACCGGGACAGATGCTCGACTGGTTCTCAACCCAATTCTCTTGAGAGTTTGCATTGATATTTTACATCCGGAGCAAAAAGTTACTTCAGACGGCGTGCAAATGTCTTCAATGTCCATGTCAATGCCTACCTCGACCTTGATCGCCATGTCCATGACCTCTACCATGTCGATGGCTACGGCATCCGCTTCCCCGTCCAGCGGAATGAGCATGGGAGGCAGCTCTTGCAAGATCTCCATGACCTGGAACTGGTACACCGTCGGAGCCTGTGAGTTAAGCATGACTTCCCTTCAACCCGGGCTGGGCTGACTATCTGGTTCTGCCCTGACCAGGCTTCATCTCCAAATCATGGCAGGTCACCTCAGGTGGCATCTTCGCGCTCTCCTGCATCGGCGTCATTTTGCTCGTCATCTCGCTCGAATTCCTTCGCCGGGTCCAGCGCGAGTACGACGGCTGGATCCGCCGCACAGATCAGAAGACGTCGGCCATAGCCACCGCGACTCGACACTCCGAGAACGGGGCTTCTGCCTCGTACGAGCAGGTTCCGGATTCTTCGAGGAAAACAACGACGATGACCGGTGCATCACTCCCGGAACGACCTCTTCTTCGGCGCCGACCAGTTGACCGGATGACCCTCCTCCAGCGCCAGTTCGTGCGTTCTCTTATCCACATGGTGCAGTTCGGTGTGGCATACTTTGTCATGCTGCTGGCCATGTACTACAACGGTTTACCTCCCTTTAATCCTCCTCTCCCCTCTACCTGCACCGCACCATGTTCTGCAACTCTTAAGCGTTCCCAAGCAAACTCCTGACAGAGACTGACGTCCTGTCCGCTTGCAGGATACATCATCATCTGCATCATCATCGGTGCCTTCCTCGGCTGCTTCATCTTCAGCTGGGACCAGCTCTTGACCGAACCGAAGTCAGTACCACTTCTGTACTTCCCCTCCATGTCCTCGCCCGTTGTCTTCTCAATACTCAATTCCCTTAGCACGCCCCAGAGACTGACCTGATCACCGATCGAGATAGGGAAAAGCCCGAAGCGGCCGACATCACCGGGTGCTGCGGCTAGTGTGGATGGATCTGTGGCTCCGTGGTTCTGCAGAGACACGGTTGACGATGAAGGGGCTCAGACGAATGAAACCACTTTATGAGCCTGCCCTGGCTTGGCTGGAGGTGCCATATTCGTGTTTTCGTACCTCGTACTGATCCTAGAAAGCGCCGGGGGTTTTCACAAATGGGACATTGAGGATTATCATACTCATGGCCATGGCCATAGGCGAAAGGGCTTCAAATATCCCGATTTTCCCTATAACGACGACTTCTGGAAAAGAAAAATATTATCGCTGTTACTGCTCCTCCTGCTGCTCCTCCCCATTCTTCAAGGACTTCTGGAGGATAGCTACAGAAAGGCCACCGAGTGCGAATATAGAGTACATGGCCAGAACAGCCATGTGGACTTGCTGCAGGACGCCGCGGTAGCTCCAGGCGTAGCCGAGCACGGCGGCCCGCATGACCAGCCGAGTTGAGTTTGCCGCGACGTCTGAAGAGATATTGTAGATGGATTCCCCCCAGCCAAGGCCGCGCTTGGGCAGCATGTCCTCGCTCCATAGACCTGCTTCCCAGTCGCTGTCGTCCGAAGACAGGCCCTTGAGCCGGCCGACGAGACTGCTGTTGTACGTGCTGCGGGCGATCCCGTTAGCCACCGCCGCGGCGAGGATGCCTTCCACGATGAAGGGGTAGTTGTACGACGCGGAGGGCGGGGACGACGCGGCGTCCCACACGCCAGCTGCGGCTGCGGTGATGGAGAACGCCGTCGCGTTCTGTCCGGGCAGCTCGGGGAAGAGGAGCTGCGCCCAGTCCGCGCTGATCGTGGTTCTGGGCCAGAGCGGGTTGTTGGTGCCCACGGCGTGGAAGTCGGGCGGGCAGCCCGTGACGACTTTGGGGTTGTCGCGTGTTCCCGAGGCGGTGGTGTTGGCGGACCGGCCGTCGACAGTGCATGTATACACTCCCGAATCGCCCGCGCTGGTCAGCGGGAATGTGGCGACGGCGCCAACGCTGCTGTTGGCGGGGATTTGACATGTCGATCCGTCGACCCAGGTGAGTGCGGGCTGGTTGGTGGATGTCATTAGACTCTTGATCTGCTCGATGAACGAGGAGTTGTGGCAGGTGATGCGTGTCGCAGGATCGACAAAGCAGCCAGAGGCATCACCGACACAGTCAGGCGCCTTTAGAACGGGGAACTGGATCTCCAAGTCGTTGAGAGCGTCGACGTCCACGAGCTGTTCAGTGCATCGAGCTTGGACGACGGGCTGTGGTGCCGTCGAGGTGTATCTTGCATCTCGTCGGAACTTGAACTTCTGGCGACCCCGGCTGTTTGCTGCCGCGAACGCCCACAATCTTCCCGTCTCGGAAACCCCGTCTGCAGTAATGGATTGTTGGGTGGTGGCGCTCGAGTACGCATTTTGCCATATGCTTCGTGTGTCAGCGTTCTCGGTCGAACGATGTCTTACGGCCATTGACCGGGCTGAGAGGGGACTGCTTAGGGCGATGGACTCCGGCATGGATCCCATGGGTCTCAAATCAGGCCAGTATGCATGATACTGTCGTTGGATAAGTTGCCAGTCACCATATGGACACGCTAGATCGCCTGTGTCGGTTTTGCAATGAGCCAAAGACGAGTCGAACTCCATCTTGCCGGGTTGGAGACGATCGAAGGCTGCGTCTGTCCAGAAATCAGTCCCTCCAGCAGGCCAGTAGCCGAGACGTGGCTGCATCAGGCTGGCCGTGGAAGGGCCAACGGATACAGCTAACAAGGTGCAGCTGATGAGCAAGGTGACCAACACCCAGTTCTTGTGTGCCCGTTTCCACATAGCCTTGATCGTACTTCGAAGTCCAGGAGAGCATTTGAGGCTGGATTTTCCAGTTTCGGGGTCAGTGGACAAGATTCTCTGGGGAAGGTGACCATCACCAACCAACTCCGCCCGTAGGTAGGTAAAGAAGACGGCCACCAACGACGCGATCATCAGAAACTCATGGACCTTGGCGGCAAACTGCAGAGCTCCAAGCTTCTCATCATCATGTCCCGATGGGCCGGAGAGTTCGCCGCCAACATAGTATTCGCCCAGGTTCAAGGCTACAAGAGCCAAAGCAGCCGAGGCCGGGACCAGGTACACAGCATATCGAAGCATTGCGAGGGGCCGCCCCTTGTGGATTGTGATGCTGGAGTATCTGGTGAGAGCATGTCCCGGCGAGGGCAAGGAGGCTGTTAACAAGGCTCGCTCTGAAAGACTGATAAAGAGATTCAGTTGTCTCCCACATTGTCTGTGGTCCGCCGGCAATGCTGCCCATTGTTTGATCCATCATTCTAAAGCTGGCCGAACACGGAAGCTCCATTCTTTGACAAGAGGTAACGGGTCATAGATTGGACCGTGGGTGATAGTGCCGACACAATAGCACAACACAATGGCTGTGTGCTTGGAGTGATCGAGAGGAGGAAGTCGCCTAGGCAAAGTGCGCTTTTGCAAAGGCGAAATACCAGCATTCGCATACCTTAGAATACCGACGCAGTCACCTTCATGGCATAGTCTTATACAGCATCAGTATGTTAGGGGAGGTTGTGTTCTTGAAGTCCTGTGACCCTTTCGGTGGGTGGTTAAGAAGGGGGATGCAAGGGGAGCTGTCACCTAGATTGAGCCTGCGCCGCAGACGGAAATACACAGCAGTTTGACGACACGTCTTCCACCCTGCAATGCAATGGCATTCGTGTATTCTCAACCACCACGAGGGCAACTCTCAATGATGTCGTCAGTTCCTTTCTTTGAGGACCGACCACCTCACCGAAGCTTTTGATATGTGAGACTGGCCCCCCCAAACACGCCCCGGCAAACCTAGTCAGCCAGCCACAGGAAGCGTTAGATGCTTCTCCACGGCCAATCTCTCCTGCCCTCGTACCGAAAAGACCCTGCTAGGCTCCTCACCCACGCTTCCGCGAGTCGACCGGTGTCCCTTAAGCGAAAACCCCATGACTATGCCTCCTCGGCAGCTGCGAAAGCTGACTGTTCGAACTGCTCTCCTTTCCGCTATCCTCATCACAACGTTCTTCGACGTGGTCGGCCATCACCGATGGATCATAAACCAGGCAGCACGAAAGCCTCGTTCCGATGTTGGAGCCCAGAGGATATTTATTGCAAGCACGCATTGGAACAATGAGGCCATTCTGCGGGACCATTGGAACGCCGCCGTTCTTGCGCTGTGCCGCCACTTCGGGACCGAGAATGTTTACATATCCATATACGAAAGCGGCAGCTGGGACGACTCGAAAGGCGCCTTGCGCGAGCTGAACCACAGCCTCCAAGAGCTTGGGGTCAATCGGACAATTGTGCTCGACCCGACCACACACCAAGATGCCATCTCTCAAACGCCAGGATCCACTGGCTGGGTTGACACGCCTCGAAATGCCCGCGAGCTCAGGAGAATTCCTTACCTTTCCTACCTGCGAAATTTATCTTTATCGCCGCTAGAGAGATTAAGAGCGTCCGGTGTCCTGTTCGACAAGGTTTTGTTCCTCAACGACGTGGTGTTCACAGTCGCTGATGTTGTAACCCTCTTGAATACGAACAGCGGTGACTATGCTGCAGCGTGCTCTCTGGACTTTTCGAAGCCGCCCAGCTACTACGATACGTTTGCCTTGAGAGACGCCGAGGGCCATGGGACAGTGATGCAAACATGGCCGTACTTTCGCTCGGCGAGATCAAGGGGTGCGCTGAAAAGAAATCAACCAGTCCCGGTCAAGAGCTGCTGGAATGGAATGGTCTTCATGGACGCAACGCCCTTCTACAATATCAATGCGACTTCTCTGGGTAGGCTTCGTTTCCGAGGCATTGACGACTCCCTGGCCCAAGCCCATCTTGAAGCGTCCGAGTGTTGCCTTATTCACATGGACAATCCCCTCTCTCGTACCAGCGGTGTCTGGCTGAATCCAGATGTCCTTGTAGGCTACAATAAGCTCGCGTATGATACCGTCCACTCCCGCGAACATCGAATGTCGTTGCTAGGGTATCTACGAGCATCGTGGGAAAATCGAATACGACGCTGGCTCACGACAGACTGGTTCAAGAAGATGGCGGTCTATTTGCGTCTACGGCAGTGGGAAAAGGAAGACTCGGCCCACCTGGAGTCTGGCGTCGATTGTCTCATCAACGAAATGCAAGTGCTGATATCGAATGGCTGGAAACATCTATGAGCGCATATCATTCCAGAATCGGCCTTGAGAAAGCCTCCCATCCCGCCCTGTCGCTAGACCTCGTCCTACGAATACCTTTCCAAGTCCTCGTCTAGTCGAAAAGCAAGCTTGTACCACCGGACCGCCTCGTCCCTGTTTCCGGCATCTTCAAGTCGCTGGGCGAGATCCAGCGCCTTCAACGCCCGTTCTTTGGCGGCGAACTTATGAGGAGGATACATTTCGTCAAAGGTAAACGGCCGTGCGCGCTGGAACATCATATCTGTCCTTAGCAGGTACTTCACGCCCGATCGAAGTACCTTGCCGTCGTGGTAGATGTCGTCGCGGAAGATCGCTGCAGAGCCCTCGACAGGCTGGTTTTGGGAAAGCACACTGCTCGTCGAGTTGTCGGCCTGAGGATCACAGGAGCTGCTGGTGCCCGGCGGATATGTCGTTAGGTCGAGGAGGAAGCGTGTTGCTCCGCCGTGCTCTGCTGGAACAGTGTTCAGATAAATGTTGACTGTCATGAAGGACTGGGTATCGACTGTTGCGAGACGGCGACCGTCGACATGGGTACTGAATCCGTCACCTGCAAGGTTGGCTCCTTGTTAGATAAGATGCGTCTTTTCCTCGGTTTCTTTCCAACTCTCGAACATTGCATGCGACCGCAGAACGAAGATACCGGAATGTCAAGGGGATGACTTACCAGCCCTATATTTACAAAGCCTGAAACAGGGATTCAATCCCATGGCAGACCAGACCTGGCCGTCCTCGTCAACCACTTCCGTGCCCTGGTAGATCCTCGAAAGCCGCGACCAGAGCAATTCGGCGAGGTCGTCGTCTTCGATTATCTTGCGCAAGCGGGACGTGTACGTGCCGCTGATGGCGTGCATGTCCGCTTCGTGGTCGTGTGTTGTGATAAGGTCGGTGCATTCGGCGGGCGTGAGAAGCGACGAGACAATGTCTACAGACCGACTTGGGGCGGGATTCTTGGAAGAAGGGGAAATGGGGATGGGACGCCTGGTCAATACCACGGACGAGGCTGGTTCAGCCATAGTCCATACTCAGTCCTACTGTAGGCAATCAATCTGCCAATGTTCGGCTGATGGTCAGAGGGTATTTAGTAGCGAGCAGATGTCGAGGATGCATTCATATAGAACCGAAACCTGGGGCACGAGTCTTCTGGCAGCCACTTCGATTGTGCACCAGTACTTTTGGCCGCAGCAAGACATGAGTCACGCTCTGATTCATCGTCGCTGGCTGGCGCGAGGCTGAGCCGCTTGTGTGTGGAGGCTGTGCAAAGCAACACGACGACGGTCTGAAGTATCCTCGAGTCCGGCGTGAGCGAGATGTTTCTGCGGCCTTTTTCTGAGAGAGAGAGAGAGAGATGACTTCTTCTTCGACGTTGTCTTCTTGCTCTGCGTCTATCTTTTGTGATCAACTTGTGTGTGGATCGCCCCGTCGACTCACTGAGGGTATGGGAAGACGTGTATAGTTTCAGTGGCACATACTATCCAGGGTTCCATCAATCAAACCGTGCTGCTCTCACAGACTTTTCTTCAATGTGGTTCCCCATTCTAGATCTTGCAGGCAAACTTTGCAGCTCTGGGAGAGAAACACGAAGCCTGACCAGGAATGGGCGCATATCGAATGGTGAACGAAGTTGATGAAATGACCGTGATGTAGCCTTGTGTGGCACTGCTGTAAGGCTGCAACTTGGTCGGGTAAGCTTCCTCTTGGTGGGTTGCGCGCGAGGCTATCAGGTTGGAGTGTCTCTCGTACCTAAGGGTGGCACCTGGCACCCATAAAATCACAGCAATCTCGGCCGCACCAAAAGTTTGTCTTATCGTTGGCGGCATTGCTCACTTTTTGTTCCACCCAAGCACCCATCCGGTGCAGGCCGAGATATATAAAGCATAACCCACCAAAAATACTGCTAGGATCCTACAGTCGATGTTAACTGTATCAAGGCATCGATGATCAAAGTCAAACCAACATCACATCATCTGGACTTGATTCCTTCACACCTCATTGTATGCCGATCAAGTCAATCATCGACTAAAAGCGCTCAATCAAGATTCGAATCCTGAGGCGGAAATAATCAACGCTGCCATCAGAGGATGCACCGCCAGATGTTGCCGGAGTCAATACCTGGATCCATGACGTCCAGCCGTGCGGAGGAAAAGTTGGATGTACGAAGACGGGTGTGGAAGACGTTGCGCACAGTCGCCCGGCCAGACTCGCGTTTCCATTTCGACTTCACCAGCTTTATTACGGACTTCGAGGGGTCAGATCGGGCGACGGCGAGGTTGGTCGAGTTGTCATCCTACAAAAACTCGACCGTCGTTTTCATCACTCCCGACAACTGTTTAGAAGAGCTACGATTACGTGCATTGCGGGATGGAAAAACCGTGTTGATGACGACGTACGGCATTCGTCGAGGGTTTTGGGAATTGGATCCCGTCAAAATCGAAGAGAGCCAGTACGCCAACGCGGCAATGTTGGACGGGATGGAACGACTGGGCACTCCCTTGAGTCTCGCCGACATTCTAGCCAAACGCTGGCACATCCCGTTCATGGTGACCGGCACCGGAGCCATCAACACTCGAGGAGTCCGGTTCGGCAAAGGCCACGGATTCTTCGACCTCGAATGGGCCATCCTGTACACCCTGGGAGTCGTCGACCAGACGACCGTCGCCGCGGCCATCGTCCACGACTGCCAGGTGCTCGAGGAAGAGTTGCATCCTGAGGAATTCGACACCCTTTGTGAGGTTGTCGTCACCCCCACCCGGGTCCTGCATGTCCCTGACGTGCAAAAGCCGACCTGCGGCGTGCTGTGGCCGCTCCTCCAGCCCAACATGTTGGAACGCATTCCCCCGCTGCAGGAACTCAAGGCGATGAGCTTGCAAAAATTGTAGCTGGGAGAACGTACGGACTACTTGCCGGATAACGGGGAGCCGATGGGGACATTCTCGGTACCCAAAAGATACACCAGAAAATCTCAGGACAAATGATTCTAATTCCTCCTATCTGTTCACCAAACTTCCCACGAGGAACCGACGTAGCTCGACGATTGTAATGTGCATGTGTCATTCCAGATGCACGTTTGATCGTTGGTCATGAGTGTATGTGTACGCATGAGGTGTCCGGTGCCCTTTCCTTCGAGTGGCCCTTCTTCCCACCTTCTCTCTCCCTCTTGAGCGGGAAATCTCAGCCGCATTGCCACAATTATCGTACATCCCCCCCGCCGGCGCCCGACAGTGGACAATCATCCCTATGTTTCTGCCGGTTGGGGCCAGTTGATGAACTGGTCCGACTGCCAACTATATCTACACGGAGTAAATCTCGACGCGGAGGAGTTTCCCGACCGACCCGCGCGAAAGTTCTACGATTCGTCCCCAAAATCAATCATCTTGGTGTTTCTGTGCCTCAGGGTGGGTGAGGACCGCGGTCCCTTCAGGCGGGTGAGCTCTTGGACTGTCCCGCACCGATAACGGGAGCGGAGGAATTCTTTGGGCTCGCCCGCCCCGCGTCTGGGGGACAGGTACCGACACACTTCATGACCGTGCAATACGGGAAACGTCGTATCACAAACCGTCTTTTCATCTGTCCCCCTGTCGTGCTCGGCAGCCCGGACGGGAAAGATGGTCGACTCACCCGCACGATAGGGTGGGCAGTGGTGGACGAAAAAAAGGCGCAAGCCACGCATGCGACGTGGAGACGCTTTGATTGGAATCTGAATCGCCTGGACAGACGCGGCTTGCCCTGTAACGGTCACCGCACCGGGTCGGCCGTGGTAAAGACGTCGCTGAACCAAGACTCAAAGTCCTCGTCGGCAGACATCGACTGGTTGTGTGCACCGGCTGCTGTGGCAGAGCCGTCGTGTGGTTCATAGACTTGCCCCTCGTAGACGAACGGTGTGGCCAGCTCGGCTGCACCCAAGAAAACCCAGTCGGCACTGAACCGCTTCACAATGTCATGGAAATCAATCGTCTTCGGGCATGGGCCTATCGATTGCCCGGGAGCTTCTATTTCCGTCATGGCTCCGTCGACTTCTGCGAGGATGGCGCCGACCAAGAATATCCCCCGTCTGGCCAGGACGTCGTGCTTGCGGCCTTCGAGACGACTCGTGGCCGTCTGGACCAAGCCGCGAAACATTTCGTGCCGGTCTTTGGAATGTGTGGCCGCGCCCATGGCGATTTCAAAACAGAGGATGACGGCGGCCGTGATGCAGAATGCGGTGTGAGTCCACAGACACAATTCTCCCGACGAGGCAATGTTCTCGTGTTCTCGAAGAATCGTCACGGCCGCAAATACACACGTCTTCCTTGTGCGAGCATAAGCGTCCGAGAGAAACGACCGAAAGATGAATGGCCTGTGAATCATGATGATCTAGCTCAAGTCAGTCACGAACAGTTTCACATGCGCCCAGAGTCGGTACCTTTTCCGCCGCCGTGATGGCAAGACTGCGACGGGCAATCCCCAACCAGCCCACCAGTGCCTCCTTTTGGGCGTCATGGCGAAGGAGGAAGTCGGGGATTGTCTGCACAACGTCGCGCATCTTTTGATCCATGCGCAAAACGTGTTGGTACTGTTCTGCCAGGGGCTTTCGGGCGTTCAACGGTCCCAATCCGTCGACAAAGTCGGGCATCAATTTGGCAATCGTGGCCAACACGCGGGTATATGTACTGATGGTGGGGACCGAGTCTGGTCTGGCCACGAGGTCATGGTCATGGGCATTGCTGGCCAGACTGGTAGAGTATTGAGCAGGATTGATGGCGTAGGAATCGGTAAAGGGGATCGCAAAGTAGTCTTGGATGATCATCTGGCACCAGACCCTTCTGCCCACTTCCTTTTCGACCGTTTCGTGCCAGGCCTCTTCGGGGGTCAAATGGGGGGACACGCCGTCTTGAATCTTGTGCACCCCCAGACACTCTGCGATCCTGATGGCGGCGCTGAAGAGGGTGGCGTTGAGCTGGCTCAATCCAAAATTGTGCGCCACCTCGGTCGAAATGACAATGGCCTGGACGGCGTAGAAGGATATGTTTTGGAGAAAGTGGCTCGTGTAGAGCACCTCGACCATGGTCTTGAACAGCTGCTGCGCCGTTTCTATGCCGGACTCGAGATCGAATTCTTCGAGAAATTGTGCACTATTTTGGACGCAAAACAAGGTCGTGCTCAGTACAGCGTAATACAAGGCAATCCACTGGGGATGGTCGCATTTCCCCGTCTGCCAAAACGCCTGGCACTGTCTCCAAAAGGTCGGAGAGTGGATGCAGTTGTGGTGCCAGGTGATACGGGTGAGATGAAAGGATACCAATCTCTCCGCGTCGGCACAGTCTGGAAGGGTGGCCACGGCCGCCATCTGGGAGGCGGCAAAGTCAAACGACTGGCTGTTCATTGGGGACATTGCTATCCAATGCTGGCGATACAGACAGGCACAGTGTCGATGCGGATAGCAGTTGCCATTGCTGCGACCCCAAGCTAGATGCTCGACCGCCGTCACGATGGCTGAATCTTGTCCTTCGACCAAGGCCATCGAATCACTATCCAGGTGGCCATGCCCCGACTCGAGTCGGATCTTTTCAAGGCTTGCGTTGACATTCAAATTCGACCCCAATTTAAGTGACTCGATGTGATCCGTGAGTCTTCGGACAATGCTATCGATCTCGGTCGGCTGAGCTCGTTCCAAGTCCTCCCTGATCGACGTCAAGAATTGGATCTCCAGGCCGTGCTGACCCAGCCGGCGACGGATGTGGACAATCTCACGGCTGCAATTGAGTCCTAGCCGCTCGCACCGTGAACAGGGTATGGTTTTGTCACATTTTCGTTTTCGCCTGGTACATTCTGGGTCTGTATCAACGACGTGCACCTTCACTATGACGAGCAAAACTCACCCCAACAAGCCAAAGGTTGGCGCTGTGAAACACGGACTTGCGTCGACATGAAGTCGATCCCAGGGGGTGCCTGACTTCACGGCATCGAGGTGGCTTCGCAGGATGAATTTACGCCGCCATTGGCGGATTAGACAGGAGGCGCAGAATTGGGAGAAGGTGAACTTCTTGCAAGGTCGGGCTTTAGGAAATATACTCCTTCTAGTCCAGTACGTTCCCGCACTCTACCTTGGGTGTGCCGATTCGTTCCCAGACACCCCACCACTGACACGTCCCTCGGAATAGAGCCTCTCGCGCTAGGACACCTTCGACACTTGTCAAGGGTCCGAGTTTCGTTAGTAGCGTCTGGACGAAGCCGGCCTAGACGCAGATAACGACTAAACTAAAGAGATACCGAAGAGAAGGGTATCCCAAGAGGCTGCGTCCAACGTGAGCACTACAAGTATATATACAGTTTCGACTCAACAATCCAGAACATGCTCTGAACTTTCCTCCACGGTATGGCCTTCTGGAGTTACTTTGCAAGTCTCGACATGGCCCTGATCTTGGGACCAAAAAAGTAGAGCACATAGACCAGGACCACCAATCCGACCGAGATGAACCCCAACACTGCCATTGCCCGTTTGGCGCTCATATTCTCAAACATGATGATTCCTGGGAAAAATCAATCTCGGGTTCTTGCCCGTCGCCTGGAGAAAACTCACCAATATGTGTACACGCTCCCGCGATGGCGAAAGATGGTATGCAAAATGCAGCAATGGCCGAAGCAGCAAAGTTGGAGTAGCTGTCCGCAATATAATTGAGCATGCTCAACCAGAGAAGAGGGTCGCAAAATCCCAATACAGTGCCAGCAATAATGGGCGACCAGTAGTTGGTGTTGCCGTCGCAGGTGAAGGCAAACCATAGTAGGGACACTGGGAATAGCCAGACAGTGACGAGCGAAGTCAGGAATCGAGCTTCTGGGCGAGCGTGTCCGTGCTTGATTCGATCTTTGGTAAACAATCGAGTCTGGACTGGTAAGAATAGAAACACGATAAAGGCACCCACGACGAAATTGAGATACGTCAAGTCGGCTCCCATGTAACTGGCGCGAGTTAGTATGCGATCACGCAAGACGAGAGGAATTTCGTCTCCTCGACACCACTTACGAGAGACCATTATTGACCACGAACACATTCCACACGCCATCGAGGTAGAGATATAGCAGACCATAGGCGAATCCGTTGAACACGCCCAAAAAAAGCACAATGGGTTCGGTGGCCAGGATACGCAGGGCCATTGTCACCACAAATACCGTCTCGCGGAGAACGTCGAAGCGTTGGTGAGCAACCACATTCTCCTCGGGGTCCGGGTTCTGTTGACGCCTGGCAGCATTCCTGATCACCACCCGGGGCAGCGTTTCGGGGATGAAGCACATGCCGATGGCAAAGGCACCGCCAATGATCACACTAAAAACGTCAGTGCCGGGGTCGCGTGGCGTTCGAGGGGGGGAGGCTGCACGTACTTGATCCAGAATATCCAAGGCCGCCCCATGTTGATGTTTTCCACGATCAACTCGCCCACCGGAGATCCAATGCCCGGGCCGACGTTGGCACTCATGACGAACAGGGCCATGGGCTGGCCTGCGCCATCCAGAGATCCGTACAGGTCCGCCACCGTCCCAGCCACGTTGGTGAGCGCCGTGCTCCCGGCCGCCCCGGCCAAAAATTGAAAGATGATGAGCATTGGCAGATTGAGTGCCAGGGCGGTGCCGATGTTGAGCAGGGCAAACAGTGCCATCGACCCGACGTACACCCATTTTCGCCCTTCAAGGTCACTCAAAGGCCCGAGAAACACGGGTCCGACCGCAGTCCCCAAGATAAACATGCTCTGGCCCAGAGTGACGGTCTGTTCGGTGCCGCCATAGCGCTCTTGGATCAATCCCTTCGCCGACGCGTAAGTCGTCGATGACATGGTGACAAACACTTGGAGCAGGCAGTAGACAGTGACAATCGTCCACTTTTTCCAAGCCGACCAGTGAATCGGATGGTCGACGTGACTGGCCTTGATGTGTTGCAATGCCACCGTCGGGTCTCTTTCAACACAGTCAGTCCCTGGAACTCCCAGCTCCGTGGACGAAGCATTGGCCGCGCGAGGAGCCTTTTCATCTTGCTCGAGGAACCCCGTCATTTCGAAGAAATCACAAGGCTGTGAAAAACTTTTGACGGTCGAATGGATCGAGGACGAGGCGGAGATCACAATTGAGATAGTTCGGACAAAACTGTTAGCAACGACGGTTTATATAAGTTGTATGACTTGTGCCAGAAGGGTAAACCCACGGCTTTGGCGTCACCAAACCTTCATCACAGCCTCCAGATATGGTTCTGGCACTTTGGTCTTGGCCATGAAGCTGAGTGATAAGGGCCACCTCGAGGATAAGGGGGCCTTATCATGACTTCGAAGCCGTGAGCGTATTCACGGACGCCAGATGAACGTTGATAGAGACGTCCTCACTGATATCAGCCAGAAAGGGAAGCCCTGAGACGCTGTGACTGAAATGACAATACGTCTCGTACGAGACGATACGGTATTTCTTTTGCTTGACACCGGCCTTGCGTAAAGCTTCCGACCACGGCTGAGCTTCAAGTTCATCTTTTTCAGAGATATGAAGGAACCAAAGTCAAGCCCACGGGGAGACCACCGATCCCAGGCCCTTGAGCGTCCGGAGGACACCGTGACGGACGAGAAGGAAGATAAGGCCGCATTTCTTGACCACAGCCGACCACACGGTAGCGGATCTGATAAGACACAAAATTTCGAAGAAAAGGTGTTGCAGGAACCACACATTCATTGCTTCTTTATACATCATCGCTCGCTTGATCTCGTGATGCCTCCCTGAGTGGCCCATCCTCACCGTACAACCAGAAACATCTTTTCACATCGACTCCGAGACTCGCCAATCCAGGATGAATAGTCACCCACAGGCAAACGACGTTTTGTCGGGAGTCTCTGGGCCAACTTTGGCGTTGAGATGGCCTGCCGTTGGCGCTATCGGACTCACTCTGGCAGTCCTCCTTTTCATCGTAAGCGACACACAGCCACACTTGCTCATTATCCACACTTACGGAATGACTGAAGTGGGCGGCGTATCAAACGAATTATCCTAGCATCGCCAACCTCCCCGAAGCCCCGGGATCCTTTCCCTTTGTCGGCCACTTGCCATGTTTGGGTGGTCGATTGGGGGTGAACGACGCCGACGTCTTTTCGAGATGGAGTCGACAGCTGGCGTCGGGAATCTATCAGATCAAACTTGGGTATCAACGGACCGTCATCGTCAGTTCTTGGGCCGTCATGGAGGAGCTCTTCGTTTCCAAGAACAGTTCCATGTTGGACCGCGTGCACCAACATGGGTTTTCGGACTACATTGGCCTCGACATATCCGGGTCTTCCTTGACTCCGGATGTGAAGAAGTGCAGAGCCGCTGCGGTTGTACGTGACGAATTTTTCTTCGACCTGACCAAGCCCGTCCTGACGTTTGATAGAGAGCTCTTGGAAAATCAATGTGGCATGGATATTACAAACTGATTGAGCCCGACTCGGTCAAGTTCATCACCAAGATTTACGAGAGTGGGAGGAACGGACAAGTTCCCCTCGAGACATATCCGTGGCTACGTCAGGTTCGTCGCCACAAAAGCATCTGCCGTCGAACGCTAACCGGCGTAGATTATGTTCAATTTGGCCCTGCACATGACATACGGGATTCGAGTCGGAGATTTTGATGAAGAACTGTCCACTCGACTATTGAACAGTCTGAATGTCATTACAGAATGTCGTGGTTCGACTGCCGAATATCGTCACTACGTGCCACTCCTTCGAGCGTGGCCGTCCTCGAAATCCAAGCTTATTGCCGCCGCCGAAGAACGGGATAGATGTGCCAAGGTCTTGCACGAGCAATACAAGCGCAGAGCGGAAGAAGGAAAGGCTCCCGACTGTCTGGTGTCGTCGCTGAGTGCCGAGCGATTGACGCCGGAGGAGTTGTTCGGCACCTGTATGTCTATACTCCAGGCCGCACCGGACACGGTCTCTTCGAGCACTTATCAGTGCATGGCATGGCTGTGTAGCGCGCAAGGACAGGTGTTCCAGGAAGAGTGTCTGGAAAACATTCTGGAGGTTTACGGCGACCGAGATCTGGCCTGGGACATGGCCTTTCGTGAAGAAAAGGTTCCCCTGCTGGTTTCGCTGTACAAGGAGACGCTGCGCTTCTATGCCACGTCCGCCTTCAACATGCGCCGCACGTCAAAAGAAGTGACTGTCGGAGACGCCACGCTCCCCAAAGGCATGGGCGTGACGATGAATATTCGAGGGGTCAACCACGACCCCGAACATTACGGCCCGGATGCCCTGATGTTCAACCCCCGAAGATTTCTCAAGGACACGTCGTCGTATCTCCCACACCTCACCTTTGGTACAGGATCGCGCATCTGCCCTGCTTACATGATCGCCAACCGAATCATCTACGCCATGCTCCTTCGACTCATCTTGGCTTTCAGACTCAAACAGGTCCCAGGAACAAGGCTCCCGTCAATTGGCAGAGTCGATTTCTCCGACGCCATGGGGCTGATTGCCGTGCCCCGAGCGTACGATTGCGCATTCACCGCTAGAGATGACGCGTGGCTGAAGAACAAATTGGTAGGATGAGACCGGAAAAGTGACATATGTCTACGAGTGCTCTCTCCCTCACACCAACACTGTACATTTACTTCTCAACGTCCAATGTATAGAAGGCGGATCTAGATTTGAAATGACCGAGTCGACGTTCTGTCGGAAGAAATGTGTGTACCACAGGCCCTCCTCCGGGATGCGATGTTTGTGGATCGTTTTGTGGTGCGGATGGGTTCGACGAAAAGTCACGATTGACCCGACAAAAGCCGTGGTCGAGCAGCTGAAAACCTGTGGCTGATGTGGGATGGTCGTCAAGTCTTTGTGCAGGACACAGCGGGACACTCCTATGGTCAATTGTTTGTTCCGTGGGCCATATACCACCATCCTCGGCGGCGAATCCTGACCTTTCCAGATGTCCATTTCGGTTTCCGGACCTGACACACATCGCCTGAGCCATGACTGAGCCATTCTGTCCTATCCAGAGAGCTCCTCGATGTAAGTCCTCATTCATGGGTCTCAGATATATAGTACGGTCAGTTTGAAGTAAGGCCTGGCGACTGCGCTGCTCCAGGTAGATGTACTGTTGAATAGTAGGTCCGATTAGTCTTCTCTCTATAGGGGTAAACTCTATCGTTCAACCCGTGGAGGAGCCTCTCGGTCCTGTAGTCGCGGCGGACAGTAGGCAATAACTAACATTTATGGCTGTGGAATCAGTTGTTCCGTCATATGCAATGGTCGCTTCGGCAAGTTTCCTTCCAGCCACAGTGAAATACCAGCAGGATTACTTAGTGGCTTGGACATGCTTGGCCCGTCTTATGCGGCCTATACTAGTATACACTAAGGGAATCCAATTGCTAGTTCGACCAATGGAATCCCAGAGCAAAAGCCGACAGATATTCTGGCATCCGTTGAATCATAAGGTATGAGCTACACACCTGAAGAATCCGTGCGGCTCAGAGCGCAGTAGAGGAAAGGTCAACAAAGATGATGGTCACTGACGAATCGTCCATAATTTCGAGGAAGTCTTTGCGGAGCATTTAGAGCCTCGAAAGCTAGTCTCTCCAGCTATCAAGTACATGCGAGGACTCTTGGCTCTAATGACGAATTAAAGCCAATGAGTTGTATCATTCGTCTTCATCAACCTCTTGCGCTTGCCAGCAAGCCCCTAGAATAGCCAAAAGATAAGAGATTTCGTACCTTTCGTACATAAAACGTATACTCTACGGCCGGAAAATCTTTCCCCGAGATGAAATTCGAAGCATACGAAGAGCCTCGGTTTCCCACGGCAACTTAACATGTTGAACACACCCAGGATTTGGAAACTGAGGTCTCAACAGGTTGCTTGATGCCGATGGCCTCGGAATTTAATCTGTGGGATGTCAACCCGATATAGAATCGACCTATAAAGTCGACGTTGTTGCTACATCTTGAATGCTCATTTCTTCAAACAGCCATACAAATCATCTCTGCACTACTTCCCAGATTTGTCGTCGTTATTTCGCACATCGTCGCAATGCCTCGACCAGCAGCTCCCGTCTACGTTCTCGGTGTGGGAATGACGAAATTTCTCAAACCGAGGGGAAAGGTTGAATGTAAGTCATGCATCCAACCTGATCGACTCTTATACTAACTTCGGAGACACCGAGAGTAAATCTCCCCATCAATGAGGTCCGATAGTGCCAGGAAGATACGAATTTATCTGTCTATCCTGGCGACATGTCTTTAGTGCTAATAACAAATCAGTTGCTTTCGAAGCCGGTATCAAGGCCATGCTTGACGCTCGCATCAACTATGATGATGTTGATCAGGGCATCGGCTGCTATGTCTACGGCGACTCTACGACTGCTCAGCGGGTTTTCTATCAATTCGGCATGACTTCAATTCCTATATATAATGTCAACAGTAACTGCTCCACCGGAAGTAGTGGCTTGAACATGGCAAGGCAGACGGTTGCGTACGGCGCCGCAGACTGTGTACTTGTCGTCGGTTTCGAAAAGATGTTTCCCGGCAGTCTGAAAGGATTCTGGAATGACCGTGAGTCTCCTATGGCGACAACTGCCCTGATGCTGCAGGACACCGCAGGATTTACAAACTCCCCTATGGCTGCTCAACTCTTCGGCAATGCTGCCCGAGAATATATCAAGAAGTACGGCGCTACGGACGAGGACTTCGCTGAAATCGCCCGCATCAATCATGAACACAGCAAGCGAAATCCCTACGCACAATTTCAAGAAGAATACACCTTGGAGGAGATTCAACAGGCACCGATGATCCATGCGCCGATGACAAAACTACAATGCTGCCCGACCTCTGATGGTGCGGCGGCCGTTGTCCTCGTTTCCCAGGCGTTCCTAGACAAGAGACCACACCTAAGATCTCAAGCAGTTCAGATTATTGGTCAGCACCTCGCCACAGACTCTCCAGATCTCTTCAGTCGATCTGCAATCGATCTTTGTGGCTATCATATGACTGAGATTGCCGCGAAGGAAGCCTTCAAACAGGCTGGGATCACTCCTGACGACGTGAGC